CAAAGGTTTCAACATTCCATTCAGCCTTTTCATGTCGATTTGCAAGTATAGATTCATGTCTCTCTTGAGCTGTTTTGCCCAGAGTATGAAGGAAGGTTTCGGATTTGAAATTAGGATCATGAAGTTCATTGGTTTGGTTTGCAGAGCTTGGAATTGATGCTCCTTCTGCCAGGGATTCCTGGTCTTGTTCTGGATCATTTCGAGCTGCCATTGCAGCTTTTTCTTCAGCTGTATAAGCCATAGCGAGTTGCTATTTCAATTTCGGTTTATATCGTCAAGTCAGACACATATTGCCAAAGGCCCTATTGTGCAGTTGTTGGCCGTAGGAGCCACTCGAGAGGAGCGCACTTCCCTCACAGTTACATCCTTGTCGAGGGAGCGTTGTAAAAGGTCTGACTTGCGAAGGTGGTGTGTGTGTGTCGAGCTGACTGTCGAAAGCCAACTTTGAGGGGTTGCCTCGAGATCGTCCTGGAATCGACTTCCGGATAAGGTTTCTGGTTCTGGGGTTTTCAAAGAGTGGATTTCGATTTCGATTTCAGAAGAGGGTTCAGCTCAAAGAGCAGGAAAAGAGGTATAAGAGAGATTGAGTTTTATGTCACGGTTCACCAAGGCATAGGGCGCCAGTTGGGTATTATGAATTAAACTCAATCTAGAGAAGAAAGGAAAGAGAAGAGGAGCACTCGAGCAGTGGCTCGATCTATATACAGCTATTGTGGAGTGAATTCTCTTTAGCGAGACCAGTTCTGAGAATTCACTCCACAACTGAAAACTTCGCTCCAACCCCGGAAAGCTCCCCACACCCCTGAACCCCCACTCGAGCTGCAAGGCGCACTTGATATCGTAACAGGGAGCTTTCTGGGGTTGGAGCGAAGTTTTCAGTTGTGGAGTGAATTCTCAGAACTGGTCTCGCTAAAGAGAATTCACTCTACAACAACATAGCTGTATATAGATCGAGCCACTGCTCGAGTGCTCCTCTTCTCTTTCCTTTCTTCTCTAGATTGAGTTTAATTCATAATACCCAACTGGCGCCCTATGCCTTGGTGAACCGTGACAGACATCAGCCATAACCACTCCGCCTTTACTGCTTTCCAATTTCGGGACCAGGATGGACACTGGCAGTTGCCTTGCGTTTGTGGTGTCAAGCATCAATACATCGATTGCCCATATCTCAATGATGCTATCCAAACTTCAGGGTGGCAAAAGAATGAGAAGACAGCCGCCAAAGTGGCAAATGCTCTTCGAAAATTCAAAGTAAAGCAGCAGGTCGACAAGCAGCTTGCAAACTGGAGAAAGGAGCAAGAAGAGAAGACGAAATCCAACCCCAATTCCAGCGACGCTATAGAGCCACAAAAGAAAGGGTCATGGGCAACGGCTATAAGAAGCTCCTTCACTGGCTCAACAGATGACTTCCTACAAGACTGCACGCTGCTCGACTCTGCTTGCACCGACCATGTGATAAATCACCGAAGAAAAGAACGCTTCGTCAAAATGAGATCCGCAGGGCCTGACGACATCCTATATGCTGGTAAAGATCAGTATCAGATTGAAGCTTTCAGCAATAGCTGGATCGAAATCATGACTCCAACAGGGACAGAGCGCCAGGATCTTGAGAACATAGCGTACGTACCAGGGTTTCTAACAAACTGCATATCACTGAGCCAGTTGAAGAAGAAGAACGTGCATTTCGATTCCCAGTTTGACCGACTACACAGCAATGGAAAAACGCTTGTTACTTTACAGCCTTCTCACGGCCATTGGATGCTTGAACACAACATACAGCTGCCCTCGACTGTATTCGCCAGCAAGAGGAGCACTGCCCAAACCCAGAGCAGGAAGACTGCAGCTCACTGGCATGATGTCCTTGCACATGCGGGCTGTGAAGTTATCGACCATCTACAGAACGCAACAATGGGTTGTGAAGTCGACTTCTCAGAGCCATGCCCATCGACGATAGACTGCAGCACTTGCGCTGTTTCCAAGATGACCAAGCAAGTGTCACGACGTACAGATGTTGAGGAATACTCTGAAGAAGCGTGGTTCCGTGTAGAATGCGATATAAGTTTTAATCAGGTTGGATACAACCGGCATGAGTACACTCTACACATCAGATGCAAAACAACACTTGTCAACCTAGTGTACACCATCCAAAAGAAGTCTGATGCTCTCCGAATCATCAAGGCTGCAATACGTCTCATAAAACAGCGATGGCAAGGCAGAGTAGTCTTCATACGACTAGATGGTGAATCAGCTCTCCAGGAAAGCTTCGATCAAGCATGCGAAGAAGAGGGTATCACCCCAGAGCGCACAGCACCAGACACCGCAGCTCAAAATGGTGGTAGCGAACGCAGCGGCCGTACGATCATTACGAAAGCACGAACAATGGTGGTTGCAGCCGGTCTTCCAGACTTCCTATGGCCAGAGGTACACAAAGCCGCTGGCTACATTCTCAACCGTACACCACACAAGCAGCTCAATTGGCAAACACCCATGGGGGTCATGAGAAAGGAGAAGCCTCGAATTGGACACCTACGACGATACGGGTGTAGGGCATACGCTATGTGCCATGGTGTGCCAAAAAAGGACAAACTCCAGCCCCGAGCTCACATTGGCTATCTTGTTGGCTACGACTCAACCAACATCTTCCGAATCTGGATTCCAAGCATCGAACGTGTGATACGCACACGGGATGTGATTTTTGATGAGAAAACCTTGTATAACCCAGCTGACATTGATTGGAGTCAACTCCATGAATCTGAGGCAGTTGAGGACCTCGTTGAAGTGCTAGATCCGCTAGCAGCATCACAAAAAAAAACAGAGGATGAAGATACCATAATTGTTGACTGGCAGGGAGCTATAGCTTCACGGAAGCCTGTTAAGTCAAAACCAGCTTATTCCAAGCCCCAAAACCAAGACCAATTGCTGTCTCCGCAATTGACTCCATCTCCGCAGTCGATGCTATCTCCCCAGTTAGCAGCGTCACTCTCACCACTGCCAGAGATTCATGTTCAGCCCCAGCTACATGCATCTAATAACGGAGATTCTGAAGATCTCGTCGTACCAACCAGCTATCACCTTGAAGGAGGACAACCATCACGCAATGGCTCTGATTTCAGTGAAGCCAACATCATTCCTGGCGGGAGAACGCGACAGTCAGCCTATGCAACGCACAGTCAGCCCCCTACTAAGGCTATTACCAGCTTCCAACCATTCTACGCTGCGTTCTCAGCTGGAAGGGCGATGCCCAAGCTAAAGATTCATAGGGATAACCTTCCTACAACACCAAGGAATTGGAGGGAGATGCTGGCCCATCCACACGCTGAAGAATTCAGGGTCGCCGCGCAGAAAGAACATGATGACCTTCTTCGCAAGAGAGTCTTTGAGTACGTCGACTCAGGCTACTCAGAACAAAAACCACTACCGCTTATGTGGGTTTTCACATACAAATTCGATCCTGATGGCTTCTTGATCAAGCACAAGGCCAGACTCTGCGCACGCGGAGATCTACAGGAAACCATGGATGAGACGTATGCAGCAACACTGGCTGCACAAACCTTTAGGTTTATGATGGCCATTGCCGCCTACTTTGACCTTGAAGTATGGCAATATGACGCTGTTAACGCCTTCACCAACTCAACACTTGACCCACCTATCCTCTGCAGATGCCCAGACGGCTTCGAAAACTTTGGGCATGCAGTTTGGCTGCTCATGGCATTGTACGGTCTTAAGGTCTCGCCACTTCTTTGGTATAGGGAGTTCACAGCTACTCTGGCAGATCTGGGCCTTTCGCCTGTCCCGGGAGTGAACTGTTTATTCACGAATGGCTGGCTCACTCTCCTTTTCTATGTGGACGATGTCATACTCTTTTGTAGTACAGCTAACCTTCCTAAAATGAGGGTCTTTGAAGCTAAGCTTTTAAAGAGATATGAGTTCAGAAAGCTTGGAGAGATCGACCACTTTCTTGGTATTAGAGTGATTCGGGACAGAGCATCAAAAAAGGTCTGGCTTCTTCAGGATGCCTACATTTCTAAGATAGTAGCAAAATACAACGTCAAACCACACCAGACGAAGCCCAAAACACCACTACCAACCACTCCACTCATGGCTAACTCTCTACAAGCCTCGAAGAATGAGATATATGAGTATCAACAGAAGGTGGGCTCCATCAACTACTCTAGCGTCATAACGCGCGCAGATATTGCTAGGGCAGTCTCAAAGTTGTCCGAATTTCTACAGAACCACTCAAGAGAACACCTCTTCGCTGTCGACCAGACTATTCTTTACTTAGACGCCACAAAATATTATGCTATTCTGTATAATGGCAGGGTCAAGGATTACAAGCGCCTGTCTTGTGTGCAAGCGATGCTTCATTCGCCGATAACCTACTCACTAGGTTCAGCTCCCAAGGTTATATCTTTACCCTATTTGGCGGCATCATCCATTACAGGGCTACGAAACAGAAAACCGTGACTACTTCTAGCACGGAAGCTGAGCTTCTAGCTCTACAACTCACTGCTGGCGAACTCATGTGGTGGATGCGGTTCTTCAAGGCCATACACTTCGAACTCGACGAACCATTCACTATTCTCTGCGACAACCAGCAGACACTTCGACTCCTCAACCGGGAGACCCCAAAACTAGTGACCAAACTACGCCATGTCGACGTGCACCAGTCATGGTTGCGTCAAGAAGTTCAGAAGGGAACGTTCAAGACTGAATGGGTGCCGACTAGCCAAATGCCAGCTGATGGGTTCACCAAGGAGCTCCCACGCCAAAAGCATGAAGAATTCGTGCGACAGCTTGGACTGGTGGATCTACAGGATACTCACTTCGATGACGCTGGAAAACTACGGTCAACTTGCACATGATAGAGTCATTGCCTACAGATCCATCACTTTCTCTCACAAATTGCTTCCAATACTGATGAATGAAGGGCGTGTTGGACTCAAACAGCCAGGGCGTGGTTTCCCGATTAGGCGACACAACGCCGTCGCCCCTGCATCAGCTGCATCACTATATAGCTTCAGAAGAAGAACATCCTTACGATGCTCTTCAATCAATCAATCAATCCAATACGATTCAATGCATCGATGCCCCAACAGTGACCATCCTCGGTCAACAAATGGTCCAAAGACTGCAACATCAAGCAGATAAACAGTCAAAGTCTGCTCCCGTATCTAAAGTCGACTTTTCGACTCAATTTCTTTCCCACGAAAAACGGGCAAGGTATTCACAAAGTATTCCCAGTCTTTCTCCTTCAAAATGGGAGAAGTAGCCCAAAGCGCCGCTTTTTGAGGCGGACTATCGGAAGGTCAAAGTGGAGATTGCTATACAGGCTGGTATAGTCCATGAGTTTGAAGATTCCAGGTCATCAAGGGAGCCAGGCTCGACCGGACTGGCTTTCCATCTCACCTGGTAGGGCTGCCAGATGAGGAGATACACTCCTCGTTCTGCCTACCGCCCAGAAAGGAACTCGAGCGTGCTTGCAACTCCTCAGATCCCATCCTTCTCCGAATTATCAATGGTACAAGATCTCTCTTACAGGATGCCTACCAGCTGTGTAGCAATAATTCACCCGATTGTAAGATGACTTACCAACGCGCTACTATCCTAAATGAGTTCTACTCGGGGGCTTCAGGGAAATCAGCAGCCTTCCGTGCTCGTAAGCTCGAGTCGACACTCGTGGATTATTTCCAAACCTGGACAGAGCTGGTCGTATATTACTACCGGGTAGTCTACAAGGAAGATGGCCACTTTAAGGGTACACCTGAGTCCCAGCAATTGCCAAAGGATATTATTCAGCCCACATCTCAGCAGCAAAGTACAATGCAGGAGGTTGTCAGTGCTCCTAAGGCGTACCAAGAAGAGGAGGATAACGAGGAGAAGCAGGCTGCACTACAGCGTGCCCTCCAGAAGTTATTTCACATCGTTGGCAGCGTACCCTTTCGATCTCCAGCTTTGCGCCATGCTATCATGATCCAAGCGGGTAACTCCAAGGGTTGCAATTGAGGGTGGGCAGCCACATACAATAGGGCGATGGAAGGAGCCAGAGATCTTTAGCAGCCATCTCTCTGCCTTAACTTGGACAGCCCAGTTCCTCATATTCGACTATGCATGCTTTCATGAGCAGGACAATGAGAATCAGATTCCGGTGTTGCTGTCAAAACTCTGGAGCAAGTTCTTTCAGCAGCTTGCTGAGACTCCATTTGGCCATATCTTGCAGTGGAGACTATATCTTTTCCAGGTTGGCAGGCGACAGCTTGCAAGACACCAGGCACGATGGTCTCTTGACAGGCAGACTGTAGGATATCGAGGGGTTAACCTGCATATAAAACACATCCCACAGCTAGTTATCTCGGAGTATCAGGCGGCTTATGCAATATTGCACGAGGATCTTTTGTTCGAGGCTAAGTCGGCTCTAGACCTAGACCAGGATTCAGTTCCTTATATGCTACTCAAGGCATGGAAACTGAAGGATGACCTTGACGTTGCCGACTTTGGAGAGTCGTGGGTAACCTACCCTGAGAATGCCGAGCTGGTCCAGAAAGCTGAGGGGGCTCTCCTTCGCCGTATCCAGCAAGATGCTAAGCTGCGGGCGATGCTTCTGATTGAAGGCAAGGATGGAGCTATAGGATTCAATCCTAAGGTTATTGACATTTATGAGACTTTCTCAAGCATCGGCATATCATGATCTGGGAGAAGCTAGTCATGATCTTCACTCAGTATCACAAGGGACAGCAGCAGTCGGGTACGTACAAGGAAAATACACGCTTCCTACCTAAGCCAATTGGGGATATGCTCTTGCAGTAAGCATATCGGCTTGGTTATACCACTCCGGCAAATCTTCCTCCGCCAGCGTAATCCAAAGGGCGTGATCTCGCCGTATCTCTGGGCCGAACTCGAAGGAAAGGTCTGGCCAGATCGGACGGTGTTCAAGTGCCTCACGAGAGCATGTGCTCGGGCCAAGATCGCACGCCTGCATACGCTTAAGTGGCGTCATTTCTCAGCTGCTATCTGCAAGGAGAAGTTCTCAGGCAAGGATCTTGCCACGTTTAGCAACGAGGATATTACTGCGGAGGATATGGAGGACAAGTATGACCTGGTCACATTAGAGCTACAGAGTAACCATAGCTACGCTACCTTTAATATGACTTATGCTGGGTCAACTATGCTTACGATAGATACCCTCCTCCATCGAAACCATCGGGCGTCAATGCTCTGGCATAATCTCATCCAGTTCGAAGCCGTCCTTCAGAAAAAGCGAGGGCGATCCGACTCGGATGTACTCTCCTTCCGGATGCATGATGACATCAAGCGTGGTCAGCAGCGGAGGAAGAGGGTGTATTCAGAGGCTGACCTTGTTGCCGTTACCCGTAGGGTGTATGGAGCACCGGAGCTCCGGCTACGTGTGCCAGGTCAGCGAGCCGCGGTGCTTGCAGTACTCGGGCCACAGAAGGCTGAGCAGGTTATTATTGTACTAGCAACAGGATCAGGAAAGACATTGATTGTTATTTTGGCTGTATCAATTGCTGATACTGGAACAACCATTCTCATCCTTCCACTGATAGCTCTTAGGAATGACATGCTCCGGCGCTTTAGTGATGTCGGAATCCAGCCGCTGGTGTGGACTCCGGACTATGCGGACTGCTCCTTTGGTCATTGTCTCTGTTGAAGCTGCATGCTCGGAGCGGTTTGTTGAGTATGCCCAGGGTCTGGTTATGCGTGGTGGTAAAGTGCATCACGTTGGTATTGTCATTGTGACAGTAGGGCTGGTGAAGGCCGCGGAGCCCAGAATTGGTTTCAAACAAGGTACAGAAATATCGCGGGTACACAACAGGGTATCTATCATATAACATGGTGTATACATGCGAGAGTTGTTATTGCGTAGAGCAGTTATGACAACTTTGTCGAGAAATTGTGAGAAGGGTCAGATGGAGGATGAGAGTTAGTCATGCTTCCCGAAGAGCGTGATTAGGAAGTTCTTCAATTGTTGGCCTGTGGAGGATGAGAAATCGTCCGGTGGAAATGGATACGGTGAGTTACATGGCTAGATTGGGGATGAGAGCTGATTCTATCGAAGCTGCTCTCCTGCCATCTTTGACTTTGGAGGCTCAGTAAATGGGAGCTATGGATGGCTACCTAAACTATGGCACCTCGACTGGCATGCCCTGCTTCTATTTAAAAGCGAGAGCTGCGGCGACTACCATCTCAACACGTCGCGGCCCCTCCAAGTCCCAGCATGGTCAGACCGCGCAGACAAGTGACGGTTGCGGCGCCAGAGAATATGTGTACATCTTCCACTCTCGCAATAATACCCCGCTGACAACCGCAGTGTATCCCCGATCCGAACGATCCTACAGGCGTCTGCCTCACCTGCAAGAACAAGGCTGCCAATATAAATTTCCAGAAACCGGCCTGCATCCTCTACAAGGTGACAGATATGAAGTGGACTCAGCGCTGTCACCATAGAGGTTAGCGAGGGATACACGTCTACGCCGCTCAAGCTCGTAGCCTGCGAAGGGTGATGTTCTCGAGCGCAGCTGGTGGGGATTGGAGGCGAGAAGAAGTCGGTCACTATCCCGTTATATGCTATCCAAGATTTACCGGCGGCCAAAGCCGCTTATGAGCGGTATATTAATGCGTTGGTGGTGGTGTGGGCCGGATGTTGCGCCTCAGCTGCCACCATGGGTGAGAAGCTGGGAGCGTATGCAGCCCAATAGTATACCGCATTATCTTCAACCGAAGGCGGATGGTGATTGGAAAGAGCCCAGCTTCAGCTTCCAGGATAACTCCAGCCGCTGTCACGCCGAACAGCCAAATTTTGCTGTTAAGATACCACAGAGCGAAGTCGTTATAATTGAACCACTTGACAGTAAAGATGACGCTTCTGGTGGTTAATTGGACAAGGGTAGAATATTTCAGAGTGTGAATATAATATTAATCAAGATTAAGTAGGTCGGGTTTACAGGCTTAGGGCAGTAGGGTTAGAGTTAAGAAGTGTACACCGAGATTTGTCACTTCACGCCCCATGGGGCTTGGGTTTTCAAAGTATTAGGCCCCATGGGGCTTGGAATTTCTGATCTTGTGATTTCGCAATTTCGCACATCCTGTGTCAGGCCCCATGGGGCTTCGGATTTCCGACCCTTGTGATTTCTCAATTTGGCACTTCCCATGTCAGTCAGGCCCCATGGGGCTTCGGATTTCCGACTTTGTGATTTTTTCAATTTGGCACCTCCAGTATGAGGCCCCATGGGGCGTTGGATTTCCCACTTGCAATTTCTCATATTCACACACCCCATATAAGGCCCCATGGGGCTTCGGACTTCCGACTTTGTGATTTATCCCATGTCAGACTGCATGGGGCCTCAGATTTTCGACTTTGTAGTTTCTCAATTTCGCACTTCCCACGGCTCGATCTATTCGCATGATTCCCGACCATTGACTCGGGAGTGACGATGACAATCCCTGACTACATAAGCGCAGCACAATTGGTCAGTACTGCAGCTCAAGGTGATGAAAGCGTCCTTATGGGTTGGCAATTCAATATGCGCCAGACATGGATGGACGTGGAGCTCGTAATTGGTTTAAAACAAGGTACAGCAGCAGCGACATTGACTTAAGAGTCAACAACACCTAATTGTAATTACAAGGGTTAGCAACCCTCCTGAAGGCTAGAGCACTCCCCTGTCCGTTCCCCGACCCAAACAATTTATCCAAACAATCTCCCCGTCTTCTCTTTCCCTCCAACTACTTGTAAACATCAGCCCCTATGTTGATAATACGCTCAACTTCTTACTGCTAATTGTATAAGTCCTCTGTGTTGATCATGGCTCCAGAGATGTCCCATCAAAGGCCAGCTACCCCGCCGACCTCCCGATAAGCAGAGCAATCAAGCGTGTGATCAGTGTTTCCAGTAGTATTGCCCGTATACGGGAGGCTCTCGTATACGGGCCCGTATTATACTTAAGTATTCATACAACCCGTATCATAACACCTCTCCACCGCTAGTATTATACTTAAGTATTGCTGGCCATACTTCAGTATTATACTGGCAATACTTAAGTATTCCACGTGATCCTTTCACAATTTTTAGGTCGTCGTGAAAACTCTGCATTCTATCCTTACGTCTTATGATTCAGCCTACATCATGGCTTCTGAACCTTCTGATGTTGTATCTACTAACGTGCATGTATAACGAAAGTGCCAAACAAGCGAAAGTGCCAAAATCATGTGGTGACCAACCCCCCCAACTAAATGTTAAATTCCTCCACAACAAAACATGCGCCATAAAAATGATGAAAGCAAATTAGTGCTAGCTATCCAAGCTATGCAAAGCGACCCAAATTTGCGCCTTCGAGTTGCAGCTAGGATCTATTCCGTAGACCACTGCAAGCTACGTCACCGTTTACAAGGCGTACCTTCACGACGCGATATCCAAGCCAACTTATGGAAATTAAGTAACCTAGAGGAATCAGTTCTTGTTCAGTATATACTTGACTTAGCTGCTAAAGGGTTCCCTCCTCAGTTGTCTATTGTTGAAGATATGGCAAATCGACTACTTGCAACACGTGACGCGCCACACGTCGGGTCACGTTGGGCTTCAAACTTTGTTAAGCGCCATGTAGAGCTCCGGACACGCTTCCAGCGAGAATACGACTACCAGCGGGCTAAGTGTGAAGATCCAGAAGTCATTCGTGGCTGGTTTGAGCTTGTATGGAACACAATTCTAAAGTATGGCATCAACAATGCAGATATCTACAACTTTGATGAGACTGGGTTTATGATGGGCGTCATCTCAAGCGCAACGGTAGTAACGAGCTCAGATGGGCGGGCAAAGGCAAAAAAGGTGCAGTGCCGCCATTTGTCACATTGGCAGGTAAAAACCACCTTGCATCTTGGTATGAGAATAGCGGATTTCCAGCAGATTGGGTAATCGCTGTTACTGCAAATGGCTGGACTACAAACGAGAGAGGTATGGATTGGATTCAGCATTTTGAGAAGCACACAAAGCCCCGAAGTGTTGGTGGTTATCGCTTTTAGTCCTTGATGGTCATGAGAGCCACCACTCAGACAAGTTTGAGGAGTACTGCAAAGAACACAACATTATTACACTTTGTATGCCTGCTCACTCTTCCCATATACTCCAACCACTTGATGTTGGCTGTTTTGGCCCATTAAAGAGAGCTTACGGTCGGCAAATTGAAGATATGATGTGGGCTCATATTATTCACATTACTAAGGATGACTTCTTTCCTGCCTTCCACGCTGCATTTAACATTGCAATGACAGAAAGCAATATTCAGGGAAGGTTCCGAGGTGCTGGGCTTCTTCCATTTAGCCCTGAGAGTGTAATATCTATACTTGACCTTAGGTTTAAGACGCCAACACCTCCAACCTCTCGCCCAAACACCGCTCAACCATGGGTTTCTCAGACACCAAATAACCCAACTGAAGCTGTATCACAGTCTACTTTCATTAAAAACTAAATTGCGCATCATCAAAATAGTGTAATGGTGGGTGCACCAGATGTGAGAATCTAGCCACCCAAGGAAGGGATGAATTTACTAAGACAACACACTGTCTTAGAAAACAGAGCCAAAGGGTCGTAGCTTAGACTATTCCACAATGCAGCAATCAGGTGTGTGATGTAGTGAAGTGGTTCAGACAAGTTGCAACAAATGTTGAGTCTGGGAACTTAGGGGTAAGTCAGAGGTTAACACCTCACTGACTTTTCAGAAACAAGGAGTAACAAGATCAATGCTTGGAAGCTTGGAAAAGACGTGGAAGTATGTGATAGTCAATTTACTGTATTGTCTGCTTGCCCTTTCTTAAGGAAAGGGCAATCCTATTTATGCTAAAGGAGTGTAGTTCTCTCATTTTCCAAGACTTTCCATGACTAACCAGGCTTGGTAACTGTAGTCGACGTAAGAGAATCCCATAGAACCATCTCTTAGGTTCGTAGCCTATAGAAAGTAAAAGGAGGTCCAAGGTCAGAGTACCCCTATAGACAAATTATGTCATAGACAAATTATGTCATAGACAAATTATGTCATAGACAAATTATGTCATAACTTAACCAATCTTGTGGGTAACTAAAGAGCGATGACATGTAATGAATCATAGAGGTTCGTAGGGATATGCTATGTGGTAATATCGGCCCAGTAACTAAGGAGCGATGACGTGTAATGAATCATAGATGGTTGTAGCAATCGTTGAGTAGTATTGCTCTTGTTGTTGGTGTGATAAGCCAAAATATGTATAGTGACTTGTAGGTTTGAGGAGGAGATTTCCAAGTTTGCTCTTGAGTTTGATAGCAAACTGAGTGCAACGAATGTCAGTATACAAATAGCTCTCCAACCTCAATCTCTGCAGCTGTTGACCAGTTTACAAAGGGTGCATCGCAAATAATGCATCAATTAGCATTGTTAAAAGCAGAGAACCAAAACCTGCAACAGGCAAATGAAGTGCTAAGCAAGCGCCGGAGAGCTAAAAAAACACGACTACAGCAAGGAGGATCACTTAGTCAACAGGTAGCACAGGAGCTACAGGACGAGAGGGACATTGTGCAGCAAGTAGAGCAAGAAATAAGGGCAAGTAGTGGTTGGAAGCCAAGGGAAGAAACCCATGCACGTCGCTGTGGCAAGTGTGGTGAGACTGGACACAATGCGCGCACTTGTCAGATTGTAATAGACAGGTCTTAGGAAGAGGACTCCGAGTAGTTTTAATTAATTTATATTGTTGTGGTGGATTTATCGCAATTCTTATGGGGTAGTCACGATATTTTGGCACTTTCGTTATACATGCACGTTATCGAAAGTGAACAATTTAATCAGTTTGAACAGGATACTACAACCTCATCAACTATTGGCTGCTCTATTCCGTCCCAATCTACCTCCCGTACTATGTCAAAGGTAGCTAAGCTACGCACATCACCGATATGGGACTTTACAAAAGTAGGACATTATGAAATAACCTTCAATATCTACGGCAAGGAGTCCTGGTGTTGCAAGTTCTGTTCTAAGGAGTATACTGTTAGTGGGGGCACTAATATCATCATCAAGCACTTAAAGGAGCACCATTCCATGACTTGAAAACACCACAAGAGCAACGCATTGATGGATATCAATCCACAATAGCTGGAGCCTTTGCCAGGCCACACACAATCAATCATAAACGCCGTAGACCCAACAATGTCACTGCTGTTAGGCCTTTAGATCCACGTGTTCTTGAAGATCTCTATGTGCGCTGGATAGTAGCATGTGGAATTGCATTCCAAATGGTTTCAATCCCTGAGTTCCGCACGTAAGTAGTATTACCTTTCATGATTTAAGGCTTTTATTAATATATATATAGCATGCCTCACTATTTAAATCCAGCCATCAATGAATGGCTGCCTCATAGCTCGACAACAATTCATGATTGGGTCCTTCGTAAATATACAGAAGAGAAGGTTATCATTCGACAGGCTGTTCAAGCTGCCCTTACAAATATCCACTTTACAGTGGATTATGGACTTCTCCAAATTCCTTGCAATCCTCAGCATTGTCACTCACTATATATCAGCAACTGGTAATCTAGATAACTCTGTTCTTGCACTACGAGAAGTTAATGGCGAGCATTCTGGTGAGAACCAAGCTGTGGAAATTCTTGATGTTATCAACGACTATGGCATTGCTTCAAAAGATGGTTATTTTGTAATGGACAATGCAACAAATAATGATACAATGAGATAATATGGGACCATAGGCGACATAGATTACGGTGTAACAGCCATGTGATCAACCTCGTTGTTCAAGCCTTTCTCTTTGCAAGTGATGAGGAGGACCTCTCACAGGATAATAATACGGAGCTATTGTCGTCGCTGACAGAAATAGAGATGTAGCAGTGGAGAAAGAAAGGTCCACTTGGTAAACTACATAACATTGTAGTTTATATCCAATGCAGCCCACAACGTATCACCAGCTTTAAGTTGATGAGCAATAACCTATGTTTGTTGAGAGATAATTCAACATGTTGGAATAGCTGGTATTCAATGCTACAATGGGCGCTATCGGTACAACATGCTATAGACTGTTCTGCGTAAAATTCAAGGAGAATGAGAATGACCTCCGTAAGTACATAGCTTCACCCGTACCGTATTGATACGGCCCATATCATAATGGCCCGAATACTTAAGTATTATACTAATGGGAACACTGGGCTCCATTAGTCCCAATTATCACTGGCCGAGCTTGGGAGAGAGTGCAAATCGACCTAATTGATATGCGCCATGAGCCCTCTGGCCAATTTAAGTGGATTCTACACATTAAGGATCACTTCTCCAAATATACACAGCTGTATCCATTGAAGAGCAAGCACGCAGAGCCAATTGCAGAGGCTTTCACTGAATTCATTGCAGCCTTTCTACCGCCAAAGATTATGCAATGTGATAACGGAAAGGAGTTCAAAGGGGCACTGCTTATTCTACTACGCAAGTTTGGGATTCAAATCATCAATGGAGCACCAAGGTCACCACAAACCCAAGGCTTAGTTGAGCAGGCCAACGGAGTAGTGGAAATAAAATTAAGGGTTTGGAAAATGGACAATGGGTCAACTGAGTGGGCTGATGGAATACTGGAGGTTACGCTGGCTATGAACACTCAAATCCACTCTACAATTGGATGTGCACCTGTAGAATTACTATTTCGAGAGCGTACATCATATATTGACTGGCTCAATAGCTATGCTCGTAAGGATCTTTGTCATACTGACATTCGTTGCACTCAGTTTGCTATCAAACTCAAGAGCAAACTTAGAAATCTCCTCCTCAAACCTACAAGTCACCATACATATCTTGGCTTATCACACCAACAACAGAAGCAATACTACTCAACGATTGCTGCAAACTCTTCTACTACATCTGTTTATGCTACATACATCACGGCATATCATTTGGACACTCATTGAACAAGTTATTAAGAAAATCTCCTCCTTAAGGGGGTGGGCCAATACTACCACATGGCATATCTCTACCAACTAGAGGCCTAGGAACATGAACGATAGCTCTAGAAGCTTTGACAACCCTCTATGATTCATTACACGTCATCGCTCCTTAGTTACCCACAAGATTGGTTAAGTTATGACATAATTTGTCTATAGGTACTCTGACCTTGGACCTCCTTTTCACTTCCTATAGGCTAGGAACCCAAGAGATGGTTCTATGGGATTCTCTTACGTTCACTACATGATTAGCAAGCTAGTTGTGGGTCGCACTTGATTTCTAATACATTTACCAAGCCTGGTTAGTCATGGAAAGTCATGGAAAATGAGAGAACTACACTCCTTTGGCATAAATAGGATTGCCCTTTCCTTAAGAAAGGGCAAGCAGGTAATACAGTAAATCGACTAGCACATACTTCTACGTCTTTTCCAAGCTTCCAAGCATTCATCTTGTTACTCCTTGTTTCTGAAAAGTCAGTGAGGTGCTAACCTCTGACTTACCCCTGAGTTCTCAGACTCAACATTTGTTGCAACTTGTCTAAACCACTTCACCACATCATACACCTGATTGCTGCGTTGTGGAATAGTCTAAGCTACAACCTTTTGGCTCTGTTTCCTAAGACAGTGTGTTGTCTTAGTAAATTCATCCCTTCCTTGGGTGGCTAGATTCTCATATCTGGTGCACCCACCATTACAATCTTGCTATTGGAGTTGCTCAAGAAGACCCTACTCAATCTCCAATATACGCTCTAAGCCCAGGTTCATTCCAAGGCTCTAGAATTGATATTGGGATTTGCTCTGGCAACTCGCAAATCACTATGCGTATTAGTCCAGAGGCTGGTGCAGCAATCAACCTACGGATTGCTCCACCAGCTCAAAGCTCTCCAATTGACGAGTGGTTTGATATCGACGCCTACGACCCAGGAGTGTAAGGACACAGGGCACCCAGCTCACAGTAATAGCATATGAGAGTGCGAGTCGGAGGCTAAACGGATGCTATCCTATAGGTCTACTACGAAGGATACAAAAAAGATGATGGGGGAACCCCGTGAGTCGATTGTCTCAAGTACCCGAAACCCATCCGACTCGGTTCTGTCATACTGACATTCGTTGCACTCAGTTTGCTATCAAACTCAAGAGCAAACTTGGAAATCTCCTCCTCAAACCTACAAGTCACTATACATATTTTGGCTTATCACACCAACAACAAGAGCAATACTACTCAACGATTGCTACAACCATCTATGATTCATTACACATCATCGCTCCTTAGTTACTGGGCCGATATTACCACATAGCATATCTCTACAACCCTCTATGATTCATTACATGACATCACTCATACTACCACATGACATATCTCTACCAACTAGAGGCCTAGGAGCATGAACGATAGCTCTAAAAGCTCCTACGAACCTCTATGATTCATTACATGTCATCGCTCTTTAGTTACCCACAAGATTGGTTAAGTTCTGACATAATTTGTCTATGACATAATTTGTCTATGACATAATTTGTCTATGACATAATTTGTCTATAGGGGTACTCTGACCTTGGACCTCCTTTTACTTCCTATAGGCTACGAACCTAAGAGATGGTTCTATGGGATTCTCTTATGTCGACTACAGTTACCAAGCCTGGTAAGTCATGGAAAGTCTTGGAAAATGAGAGAACTATACTCCTTTAGCATAAATAGGATTGCCCTTTCCTTAAGAAAGGGCAAGCAGACAATACAGTAAATCGACTATCACATACTTCCACGTCTTTTCCAAGCTTCCAAGCATTCATCTTGTTACTCCTTGTTTCTGAAAAGTCAGTGAGGTGTTAACCTCTGACTTACCCCTGAGTTCCCAGACTCAACATTTGTTGCAACTTGTCTAAACCACTTCACCACATCATACACCTGATTGCTGCATTGTGGAATAGTCTAAGCTACGACCCTTTGGCTCTGTTTCCTAAGACAGTGTGTTGTCTTAGTAAATTCATCCCTTCCTTGGGTGGCTAGATTCTCACATCTGGTGCACCCACCATTACAGGTTCCGACTCGGTTAGCCCACCCAAATGATCACACGTGACCCCGCGGCTACCCAGAGTCTACTCCCTAGAATGAGAGACGAGAAGGCATCGTTACACTACTGAGAGACGAGAAGGCATCCTTACACTACTGAGAGACGAGAAGGCATCCTTACACTACTGAGAGACGAGAAGGCATCCTTACACTACTGAGAGACGAGAAGGCATCCTTACACTACTGAGAGACGAGAAGGCATCCTTACACTACTGATAGACGAGAAGGCATCCTTACAAGGAGTTCAACTCACGGGTCAACTTACGGGTCAACTTACGAGCCAACTTACTGTTACGATGGTCATAGAGGTCATGATGCCAGTCCAGGAAAAGTAATCTAGATTGAATCTAAAGAGAGAAGAAGAAGAAGAAGGAAGGAAGGTGAGGCTATTCCTCATAACATACAGTTGTCTGCTTAGCGGTTGTAACCTTGTGGCTAAGGCTACACCCGTAATCCCCATAACAACCGTAATAACCGTAATAACTGTAACAACCATAACAACTGTAACAACTGTAACAAGCTGTGACAAGCTGTGAGCTGTAATCGTAACACTTACGAGCCAACTTGTGAGCGAGCCTGAGAGCGAGCCTGAGAGCGAGGTTCAATTAGGTGATCCAGTAATTGAGAAGGCTCGACAATCCACCCTGAAAGCAAGGGTCAAAATGGTTGAGAAGTACTCTAAGAAGCACGATATCCAGCACTTTGATGTTGGAGATATAGTCTCTTTGAAGGTCCCTAGGGGGGATAGAACTTCAACTGATAATAGACGCCTATTTGGGCGTATATTAGAAGAACCTTATTCTCATAGGTATAAGGTTTTGACTTCCTCGGGGATTATTAAACGCCTAATACCTACAAAGGTACTAGGTGTTGTTGCAAAGGATCTCTGGTCTGATATTATAATTCCTGATACTACAAAGGAAGTTACACTTGGACTAGCGGCTAGGGAAGCTTCTACAAGTGCTCGAGTTGGAATATCATGTCAGTGTAAGGGGCCTTGTAATACAAAGCGATGTAAGTGCTATAAGGAAAGTAGGCAGTGTAGCGTACACTGCCATGGGGATGATAACGAGTGTGGGAACTTATGGGGCTTAGCTGTTCGAACTGAAGTAGCTCTAGTTGAAAGGCCTCGAAGGAAGCGGGCTAGAGCTAATACAGTAGGAAATAGTATCTGATCAATTTAGTATTTTATTCCACGCTACTCTATTCGCGACTGGGTTAGAGTGGATCATCCCATTCGCGAATAACCTATTCCATTCGCGAATGGGGGTTATTCGTGGTTCGTTCGGAACACATATAATTAGATATTCGCCATATAATCAGAAGATATCTACATGCACCACGACTTGTTCTAATACATCCACGACATGTCCTTCATCCACCGTGACATCAAGCCCGACAACCTCCTCATGGGAATCGGAAAGGGCCAGGTCAACGTTATCGATTTCGGCCTGGCTAAGAAGTACTACTTCAAGACCAGTTCCCACATCCCATACCGAGAGGGCAAGGACTTTATGGGTACTGCTCGTTATTCTTCGATCAACACCCATCTTGGTGTCGGTGTGCAAAATTCAACCCTGTTTTACATTCTAACCCACTCCCAGAGCAGTCGCGCCGTGACGACATGGAGTCTTTCGGATATGTCATGCTTTACTTCTGCCGTGGATCCCTCCCATGGCAGGGACTCAAGGCTGACACCCTTAAGCAGAAGCACGACCGTATTAGGGAGGAGAAGGCCACCTCAGCCGACATTCTCTTCAAGGGATTCCCCGACGAGTTTGCCATCTACCTTGACTACACCAGGTCCCTTCGCTTTGACGACAAGCCCGACTACTTCTACCTCCGAAAGATCTTCCGTGAACTCTCCGTCCGCGAAGGTTTCGAGTACGATTACAAGTTCGACTGGACTATCGCGGGTTGAAGGATAGTTCGGGCCAGGCTTTTCGCCCCGCGAGGCGGAATGTCCCGGAACGGCGCTGAATTACCCCACCAGACTCTTCGATCTGGAAGAGATGAGTAATGTGATGTGGTCCATACATTCGATCTATCACATCGCATTAAGGATTTAAAGAGGCGAAACCACACGCTCCTACGTTTGCTCAAGATATGTTAACTTTAGCATAACTGTACTCAATTGTTGCATCCGACCGAATAAGCTCGCGCCATAAGTGAACCAAAAACCATCGACTCCACAGCTCGATTCTCGATTCCGGCGAGCGCCAGAGCCCGGAAATATTGTGATATCAATTCCGCTACCTTACTGCCGACGGTCGCTGTTCCGGTCAAAAAAGCCGATCTGGCTGTAGCCATCCATAGCGCGACGCCTGTAGCAAGTGTTCCGACCCAACCGTGAGCTGGTCAATAATGAGCTTTGGTAGCTAACGGCTCAGGTATAATCTAATCTGCACAAGATTACAGCGCACGGTAAGTGGGCCTCAAAAAAACTGGGTGCCTATTTTAGGGCTCTGTTCTTTGGAAGGAAAACCTACCATATCCTTATCATCAGACGTGGCTATGGCCGATGGGGGTGCTGAGGGTGCTGCAGATCCTAACCTAGTCCGCATTCTGGCTGCTGCTGAGGCTATGTTGAGGGTTACAAGCTATGTAGTGATACTTCGCCAGACCGGAAAATGACGCAGCAGCGGGCCAATATTGTGAACGAATTAGACGGGTTCCGACATTTCAAGAGCCCGTAGATACTGGTCACGTACTTCACTACTATGAAGCAGCTCTTGGTGTACTACTACCGCGTGGTGCATTGCGAGGGCGGCCATCTTACACGGGCTAAGCCAGACAAGGTGCTGCCTGGGGATATCATCCGGCCGACGAAAACACAGACTCAAGCTATGGACGAGATAATGGCAGCCTTGGCTGTTGAGGATGCAGAAGAGACCGAGCAGGCTCTCAAGCATGCAATTCGGCGACTCTACCTGGCTTTGATTTGCCATACGGTTGGCAGCGTGCCGTTCAAATCACCTGTCTTGAGTTTCTGCGCCATGTTGAGCGGGAAAGTCCGTGGGAAAGGCCGAGGATTGTGGGAGGAGCCGGGGAATTTCAACAGCCATCTGTCCGCTCTAACTTGGGTTGCCCAGCTTGTGATCTTTGACTATGCTTGCTTCCACGAGCAGGATGATGAAGATCAAATCCCCGTCTTTCTTGCCAGGATGTGCAAGAAGTTCTTCCAGCAGCTGGCCGAGACACCATTTGGGCACATTTTGCAATGGCGGCTCTATCTGTTCAAGGTTGGAAAGGCTGCAATCGCAAAGCACCAGGCTCGGTGGTCCCTAAACGGGCAGAAAGTTGAATACCGTGGGGTAGAGTTACAGATGACGCAGATATCACATCTGGTTCTGTCCGAATATCAGAAAGCCCACTCTCTGCTTTGTGATGAGCTATTATTTGGGGGCAAGGGCCTAATTCCCATGGAATCGTGGAGGCTAAAGGATGATCTAGATCTGGAGGAATTTGGAGGGTCGTGGCTCTCCCATCCCAGCAATTCCGAATTCCTCGACGGTGCTGAGCTTGCTCTATTCAGACGGATCCAGGGCAATGATAAGCTGCGGGCCATGTTCTTGACCACAGCTGTAGACGGAAGTGTGGCCTTGTGTCCTAAGGCTATGGCAATCTACGAGGCACATGCTCAGGACTTCCTAGGTTCAGGGTTGATACTCTGCCACGTTCCACCAGGCCCGCCAGTACGGGCGTCTGAGTTGCTATCAGTAACGTGGCGTAATACTGCCCGACAGCGCCATTTATTGATATGGGAGAAGCTGGTTAAGTTGTATGTCCAGTATCACAAAGGCCAACAGCAGTCAGGCGTCTATAAGGACAATATCCGGTTCCTCCCAAAGGCAATTGGGGACTTGCTGCTCACGTACATCGCATATGTCATACCCTTGCGGCAGATGTTCCTCCGGCAGCAGACTCCGGGCGCTCTCATATCCCCATATCTCTGATCAAAACTAGATGGAGCGGTATGGGCTGACGAAACGCTCTCTACCTGCTTAGCTAAGGCATGCACTCGTGCGCAGGTTCCGCGGTTCAAGACGGCACGATGGCGGCAGTTTGCAGCATCGATAACCTAGGAGAAGTTTGCGGCCCAAGGAGCGGGCCAATTTTGATATGGAGGATAATCTAGGAGATGATATAGAGGACGAGCTGGATCTTGTTGTCCTGGCAGAGCTCAGCAACCACAGCTACCATACCTTCAACCATGCGTATGCTGGGGCGAGGCGTCCGGAAGTTCTCTTCTGCGACGAAGAGAGAGTGGCTTGATGCGACAGTCTCTCGTCACTTAAATGTGACGAGTAGGACTACGCCTCAGGATATTATGGTCCAAGTACGGTTCTCAGAGCAGATTAGCTATAAGGTAGCTCAGCTTTGCCGCCTTCGTCTTCTTGACCAAGGCATTGGAGCACAACGGCATAAAACAAGCAATTTAGTAGAGAGCCAAAACCAGGTTCTCCGGTTCGATCGGCAGCTTCCAATTCTAGAGCTTCTCGATGCTATATGGCATCGAGTTATGGAAAAGCGATCGCTGCGGTTCCTATCTGCAGTGAGTGCTATTGAACGTGGAGCTGTAACTACCCCTTGGGTAGACTTACAGCTATCTACTGCAAGGCATTGGGCTGGATCAAACACAGTCCAGGTGTCCTCACCGCTTCAAGGACGAGTAATCCAGCCAAACGGCTGGATCTTCGTCGTTGATTTGGCAGCAAGATCATGTACTTGCCGCCGGTTCCAGAATAACGGTGTGCCGTGCGGCCACGCCATGACTATGATATTTGCTGTCAAAGCAGATATTATGGACTATATACCTCCAGAGCTTACTACTGAGCGCTGGAGGGCAATTTATTTGACCCCTCTTCCTCCGGTAGATATTACGGGGCTCTCTATTTCAGAGACAGAGCCCTGCAGTCCACCCTTTACTCGGGTCCCACGAGGGCGGCCAAAGAAGGAGCGGGTTCGCCGTGAGGATGCTCTAGCTCCTCGCGGCCGCCTTCAAACCCGCGATCATGGCGGGTTATTACCCCTTGGATCTGTCGTTGCGACAGTTCCAGATCCAGTTCGGCACCGGTGTGGAACTTGCGGTGAGGCTGGACATAACGCCCGCCGCTGCCGACGCCCACATCAGTAAGTTATATAGCTAGTTAGTTAGTGAAATAGATTGATTATTATATACTGTTCTATCTACTGTTCTATCTATAAAGCTGTGAATATATAGCATAATATATGGTAGTTTCCAAAGTGATAATTCTGGCCAAACAGTGTCATGGAGTTACGGAGTCATGGAATCACAGATATTACAGTCAAATCTGCAGCCAATTACAATACACAGAGTGGGTTATTACAGGGTAAATGGTTCTTTTCTCAAAGTTCAGGGTATATCGTTCTTTACAGGGTAAAAGACAGGGTATATCATTCTTTTGCCGTTCATTCTATATACTGTAGTCTACTGTCGAGTTTTCCCACCCGTTGCGCAAAAGCCCCAAGGTCCGGTCACCAAACACACCGCACGATTTGCGCGCGGTCGCAATATTTCGGTCCTTCCTCCAACACTTAAATATCAGGCAGCTACGTACTTGGACAGAAGAAGACACAACGTTACTTGACATGAAATGATATCAATCCCATTCAGGCGTAAACACATGATATATGATATTTCTGTCTTTATAAATATTCGTCGTAAATAGTAATATTCAAATGCTGTCGTGATTGTAATAAAAAAAAACAGTTCCCATGCAAAAGGTCCCATACAAAAGGGTAGCATCACCATATTTGCCACTTGTGTCCTCCCTCATACCTTGAACCGCCCTTGTACATGTCCTTTTATGAGTTTTGATTCATGAATAACGGGAGGAAGGAGGTGAGCATATATAGTTTTACATATATGTCGTCTACCATCCAAACCCCTATTCCCATGTTAGCGGATCGAAAAACAAAGGGAGAAAAACAGTCAGCCTACCTCGGTATGCAAAGTGAAAGATGGGCCATACGGCCGTATGCATCGTGATGTGGTGTCCTTCACCGTCTCCAGCAACCCCGCAGGCCCACAGGCGCCAACAATAACTCTCTTCGTGGTATCTTCATTGTCGACGAGACTTCTCATCAGTGCAGGAATATTTGGGCGCCCTGTGAAGGTTGCAACGGTGCTGCTGGATGCCTCTCCTACATCATAACCCATGCCTTTCTCCGGATCGACAGGCTTTTTCGACGCTGCCATTTGCTCAAGCTCAATGGCTTTTTCTGAGTCACCAGATGCCATAGTTGGGAGCGAAGTCTGACTAGACTCTTCTGTGGTTGCAGGACTATCCTTCTCAGAATATCCCGATAAGGAGACCACTGCAGAAGACTCGACGTTGTTAGTTACGTGTATCATAACTTTGATACGTGGGTCGAGGTGGAGTTCACGAAGTTCCGCATGGAACCACGAGATAGAAGCTAGGCATTGTTAGTTGATGTCTGTAGGATATAGTCTTATTTGACAGTGTTACCTTTATCTCTAATAACCCAGACAAAAGTAATACTACCAGATGGACAGGGGCCTGGGTTCCTGCAAAGGTCCAAGGCTACTGCAAAGGTAAAGCTTGCACCGCTACCACCGGCAATTAGTAAGATGCTGTCGTAAGTCTTGAAGTCAGGTAATTCCCCATAACCTGTGTTGAGCGAGCATCTCAAAGTCTTCGCAGGAAACTCTTTCGCATACTTGTGCAATGCAGACGTGAATCCACCGCGAGAGAACACGACAAACTCTGCAGGGTCCGAGGAAACGAGTGTAAAGGGGTGTGTCTCTACAAGACGGATAGCAGGCAACCACAAGAAGGCATGCGAGCCGGGAATCGCCTTCGATGATTGGCGAAGTGTGACTCGAGTAGCACCATTCGGTAGCGCGGTGAGCGCCGCATGGTTACCCATGAAGTTGCAAGAGAATTTCAAAACGCGGATGGCGCGATCCATGAATGACAAAGAAGCTGCAAAAAGGGTGATAATGATGGCACGGCGGCTGAGGTCTGGCACGTGCAATGCGACGACTATTAAAGTGATGGCTGACAGTATGACATGTATAGCGTAGAATACTATATGATAAATTAGTCGGACAGAGCCCATCAGAAGTCTAGTGTCTTAACATACACTCATAGCGTTGGCGGCGAATATATGGCAAAGCCAAGACACCAATGAGAAGCATTGCAATGCCACCTATCATTCCTGCGACCGGGGCGGGCTCCAGCATGTAATATAGAGGATAAACTTGTGCCATACCTACCAGATAGACGATGGCATGGACCAAAGATGCAACTATGCATGTATATCCCGCTGCCTTATGGAGCGGCATCAAGGTCTCGTAGGAAGTGGCGGAGAGAATAGCTAATGGCGTGTTTTTCAAACTGAGGAAAATGACTAAGGCTAGATTGCATAGCGCAACCCTTTTATAAGTCAGTATTAAACACCATATAGTCGACATTTAACCTATCAGATCGGTAAAGAAAGGTCGGAGGGTGTAAGTACCAGCCTTGGTGTTTTGCAACCTTCACTTGGTAAGCAGTTGAGCGCCCAAAACAACGGATTAAGGTTTCTTACATTGAGTAGATTGGTCAAGTCTACGTTTGTGCATGACACGATGACGTTGATTCCCCAGAATAAAATGTAGAGTAGAATACGGCCAACTGATATCTGTTTGAAGAACCTCCTTGAAAGGAGGGATCTGATTCTCCTAAGTCTTATCATGGCTACCGTGGCTGAGCTTCGACTTCCGTTACTATACCGATGGAAAAAGTATCGTGCCCAGTGACTGAGTATAAATAGAGCGATGAGAGATCCGATTGCAATCCCAAATGACTTGGCAGTTTTCTCGTTCAAAGCCTGCTGTGCCCTCTCTTGACCTTTCGGGTCTGCCATTTCATTCGCTTTCCGAGAAGTTATACAAAAAATGAAGAAGAAGAGAAATAGGACTCTCGCAGGACAACTTGTCGAGAATAGAAGCCAAAAATACTGGAAAAGTCCTCAAGAATAATAAGGGGCATAGTGTAGTCTATATACCTCTAGGCGGATATATGGCTTCGCACCGTAGTTTACTTAATTAAGTCGTCAAACTCCAAATATGTGCTCAACAAGGATGCATATCAAACTCCAAATATGTGCTCAACAAGGATGCATATCAAACTCCAAATATGCTCTCCTCGGGTATGCAACTTTGTTGAGATGCATACCCGAGGAGAGCATATGGTCCCTTCCTTATCCCTTGCATGTGGTGTTAGTGAGTGGGCTCATGATGACCCAGTTAAAGACCGAGATCTGTTTGATGTAACACGTATCCGTCGGATGAAGGGCGCCTGTGCGAACTCCATTTCAATCACCCCAAATGAAGGGCCATGTGTGGTTTCAAATTGCTTTGTGAGCCCACGGTCCGACCCAACAGATGTGAGTGTAGTTGAGGATTTTTTCAACACCAACGAGTTCTCATCATCGATCGGGCCGGACCTCATGCTCTCAAAGCATGCTTCACTTGGCAGGTACTGTAGTTATTCGAATAGAGCCTTGCCAGCTGCCCCTGACGAATGAAGATCTGATGTATACGAGTCGCACCAATAAGATCCAGCTCGATAGTATGAATCGCACCCATAAGATCCACGGGGCAGATCCCAGTCCGGTGGACCCACCATCATCAGAAAACTTTACGTAAAAACAGGGTAAATCAATGCTTATAACCGGAGATATTCATGGTACTCAGATCGGCTGTTGCTTGTTGTGTGGTCCAGCAAGTGCCGTACGAACTTTGCTCTTAATTAATAGGGCAAAAGCTCTATATACCCAGCACGACCCCTGTAAAGATTCATATACCCAGTAAATTAAAATAAGATCTACAGTATACTCGTACTTTGGGTCAATAATTGTTAACAGGGGACCCATGTACGTAGTTCCACCTCGTCGCTGTTTTAAAAAGTTGCGAGGAATAACAATCTATATAACGCGTCACGTACGTACGAGTGGTAAAGCAGCATAACATTACTCGGGTTTTTATTGGACTATACTTCTACAAGGGGGAAGACGATCATTGCACGTTTAACAATTATTGACCCAAAGTACGAGTATACCCAGCACCCGTAGACTCCCGAACCCCAGCAAACCTCCGGTCAACCCTCGCTGCCGCCACCGAGCCGCCGCTAGCTCAACAATTGATCTTGGCGTTCTCCTTCGTCACATTCAAGTGACGGGAGACCACATGGTCCAGCCAAGACTTCTTCGGCGGCGAAGAGAACTTGCGCTGGCCTCGGCCAACACAACGGTGCTCGTCATTAACGATGACGAGCACCCACAAGTCGTCGTTCGGGCTGGCTCGGCAGCGCCAGCCACAGCTTTCCTCGGGGCAGACGAAGAATGCCCCTGTCTTCTCCCGCCGGAGGACCCGCAAGCAGAACTTCTGCTTGACGGCCCAATCATCCAAGGCGAGGATGAGGGCGTCGATGTCGAGATACTCGGTGCCATCGACCTGCACCTAGAGCTCCGCAAGGGGCCATTTGGGTGGGAGGGGTAGGGTGGCATCTTCGGAGAAGGCTTGATTTGCTGTAACGCTGCTCCATTTTGTAGCAGCCCCATAAAACTAGCCATAGTAGGAAATATAAACCCTAGTAGGATTGGCATCATAATTGCCTATGGATAGCGGCTGCTTTAGTGTAGGTAGGGCTACAGTCAATGACCGCCTTGGCGATATTTACTAGCCCAAGTGCACAGGGTTAGAAAATCAATTATAATCATAATTATTTAGTCGTAATCATAATCATGATTATTTATAAAGCGTATAATCATATTCATGATTTATAATCATGAATAGTCATGATTATAATCATGACTATAATCTATACCTTATTAGGCTTAGTTATCACCTAATTAGGTATAAGATAAGATAAGATAAGATAAGATAAGATACGATATGATAAGATAAGATAAGATAATCAGGTATAATTTAGATAACATAAGATAAGATAAGATAAGATAAGATAAGATAAGATAATTAGGTATAATTTAGATAAGATAAGATAAGATAAGAAAACAAAAATGTTTCTAGAGAATTCTACAAACTTCTACAAACTTCTAGAGAGTTCGAGATGCTTTTATAAATGCTTTTAAATATATCTATATAGCATATTCTAGAATCTATAATCTAGGTATATATAGAGCCTTTAACTCCCTCCTTAACTAACATTTTTATTAAAACAAAAGCAACAATAACAACACCTTATAAACCTTTATTTATAGCTTTACTACTAGACCCTCATTTAAAGAAAATAGGGCTAAGTAAGCTACATTATACATAACAAGATGAATATAAAGCTATAGAAGCTGTAGAAGAAGTATATCAAAGGTATGTTTATATAACGTGCATGTATAATGAAAGTGCCAAACAAGCGAAAGTGCCAAAATCATGCGTGTAATGGTGGGTGCATCAGATGTGAGAATCTAGCCACCCAAGGAAGGGATGAATTTACTAAGACAACACACTGTCTTAGAAAACAGAGCCAAAGGGTCGTAGCTTAGACTATTCCACAATGCAGCAATCAGGTGTGTGATGTAGTGAAGTGGTTCAGACAAGTTGCAACAAATGTTGAGTCTGGGAACTCAGGGGTAAGTCAGAGGTTAACACCTCACTTGTAAGGACACAGGGAATACGGCTCTCCGTAGGTGCATATGGGAGTGCGAGTCGGAGGTGATGCTGTATTCTATCCTATAGGTCTACTACGAAGGATACAAAAAAGATGAAGGGGGAACCCCGTTGAGTCTGTTTCCTTAACTCCCGAAACGGGCCCAACTCGGTTATCCCAACCCTAGCCCTGAACCTTTCACCGCAACAGGTCTACATCAGCCCTGAACCCTATACACTTACCGTCCCCCACTATAGTGTAACTCGCTATATGATCCTCTACTGGTTCGAAACCCCACCGAGTCGGATTCCATGTTTGTAGTGACCGTAACAGTTCTGAGACAGGTTCTTCGAGTATCTAGGTACGGAGGCATCCTTACACTACCCCCCGTCGTAAGAGAGTGCTTTGTCCGCAAAGCACGCCGCCCGCCTATGGTCCGGAACCCATCCGGGTAGCGTCAGTGGCTTGGGCGTTCTTTGTCGTGGGGTTTGCGCGCGTGGCTGTAATGGTGGGTGCACCAGATATGAGAATCTAGCCACCCAAGGAAGGGATGAATTTACTAAGACAACACACTGTCTTAGGAAACAGAGCCAAAGGGTTGTAGCTTAGACTATTCCACAACGCAGCAATCAGGTGTATGATGTGGTGAAGTGGTTTAGACAAGTTGCAACAAATGTTGAGTCTGAGAACTCAGGGGTAAGTCAGAGGTTAGCACCTCACTGACTTTTCAAAAACAGAGAATAACAAGATCAATGCTTGGAAGCTTGGAAAAGACGTAGAAGTATGTGCTAGTCGATTTACTGTATTGCCTGCTTGCCCTTTCTTAAGGAAAGGGCAATCCTATTTATGCCAAAGGAGTGTAGTTCTCTCATTTTCCATGACTTTCCATGACTAACCAGGCTTGGTAAATGTATTAGAAATCAAGTGCGACCCACAACTAGCTTGCTAATCATGTAGTGAACGTAAGAGAATCCCATAGAACCATCTCTTGGGTTCCTAGCCTATAGGAAGTGAAAAGGAGGTCCAAGGTCAGAGTACCTATAGACAAATTATGTCATAACTTAACCAATCTTGTGGGTAACTAAGGAGCGATGACGTGTAATGAATCATAGAGGGTTGTAGAAGCTTCTAGAGCTATCGTTCATGTTCCTAGGCCTCTAGTTGGTAGAGATATGCCATGTGGTAGTATTGGCCCACCCCCTTAAGGAGGAGATTTTCTTAATAACTTGTTCAATGAGTGTCCAAATGATATGCCGTGATGTATGTAGCATAAACAGATGTAGTAGAAGAGTTTGCAGCAATCGTTGAGTAGTATTGCTTCTGTTGTTGGTGTGATAAGCCAAGATATGTATGGTGACTTGTAGGTTTGAGGAGGAGATTTCTAAGTTTGCTCTTGAGTTTGATAGCAAACTGAGTGCAACGAATGTCAGTATGACATGATCCCCCTTTTAAGGACGTTTGTGGGCTGTCTGCTTGCCCTTTAGCCAGGTGGCTTTCTTAGAAAGAAATTCTAGAATGAGCTTAGATGCATTTTTTAGATTTCTCTTAGGCTCCCAAGTGTTGTCACTTGTAGGATAGCCTTTCCACTTAACGAGGAAGTAGTCCTGACCTCTAAGTGTCTTTTTGTCAAGGATAGACTCTACTTCATATTCTGGTTGATCCAAGATCAGAACAGGAGGTGGAGGAGACTGAAGTGGTCTTAAGGAACTTTCTTGTGCCTTAGACAAGAGAGATGCATGGAAGACATTATGGATAGTCCAAGTAGGTGGTAATGCAAGCTCGAAAGCATTCTTGCCAATAGTCCTTGTGATCTTAAAAGGTCCAAGTCTTTTAGTATCAAGTTTGTCTGAAGGTCTAGTAGTTGTGATATGTCTTCTAGACAAAAAGACTTGATCACCAACTTTGAATTGTGGTGCAACCACCCCCCTGTTAAAGGCCTGAGCCTGCTCGTCTTGTGCACGCTGTATTTGAACCTTGAGATAGTCCTGGAGGCCCTTAAGGTAGATGATTCTTTCAGTAGCAGAAGGGTTTTTGAAATTTTCAGGACAATTCAGTTCTGCCACTTCAAACCTAGGGTGATAACCATAGTTTGCATAGAAAGGTGTCTCTTTTGTGGTGTTAGAGACTGTGTTGTTGTAAGCAAATTCTGCAAGATGGAGAAGATCTGCCCAGTTGTCTTGAGCATAGTTTGTATAAATTCTTAGATATTGTTCAAGTACAGAGTTGACTCTCTCTGTCTGGCCATCTGTTTGAGGGTGATAAGCTGTAGAGAAGCGTTGTTCCATGTTTAAGAGTTTAGAGAACTCCTTAAAAAAGTTTGAAGTGAAAACTGCTCCCCTATCTGAGATCCAGTGTCCAGGAATTCCATGATATTTAAAGACCACCTTGAGGAATAGCCACGCAAGTTCAGAAGCTGTGATAGTCTCATTGCAAGGCTCAAAGTGTGCCATTTTTGTGAGCCTTTCTACCACCACAAGGATAGAGTCATAAGGGGTAGCACCCCCTTTTGGGATAGAAGGAGGCAACTTGACTATAAAGTCAATGGATATGGAGTCCCATGGGCGTTCTGGTATAGGTAGAGGCTGCAAGAGGCCATAGGGCTTTTGCCGTGTAGGCTTGTTCAAGTTGCAAGTAGTGCAAGAAGATATATAGTCTTGAAGAGTAGTCCTTAGACTAGGCCAGTAGAACTTTCTTGTTAGAAGTTCATAAGTTTTTGCAAAGCCAAAGTGCCCTGCAGCTGGAGCATCATGGAACTGCTGTAGGAGGTGTAGCTGTAATCGTTTATCCCTTGGGACATAGATATAGTTCTTGAATAAGAGAAGTCCATGCTGATTTTTTGAGAAATTCTGTAGTCCAACTTTCTCAAGAGAGGAACCTTTCTTCTGGAGGTATTCCAAAGTTCTTTTCGCAAAGGGATCATGGTTGTAAGCAACTTTGAATGCTTTAAGAAGTGTTGCTGAGGGTGTATAGTCTTTAAAGGTCTCTGGTTCCTGAGAAGAGGTAATGGGGGCAACTTGGTCTTGAGGGGATAAGTTTACCCCTAAGTCCTCTGTAGTACTAGGGTTGCTTAAAGATGCTGCTATAAGCTTTGCTGAGTCTAGCAGAGCCTTTGTATTGCTAGTTTTAGCAGAATCTTGGTAGTCATGTCTTCTTGAGAGGAGATCTGCTCTTTGATTCTTGGCCCCTGAGACATGTTTTATAACAAAGTCAAAACCTCCTAGTTGTTCAGACCACCTTGCTTGTCGTCGATTGAGCTGTTTAGTGGTTGTAAAGGTCAAGAGATTTGAATGGTCACTGTAAATAGTGATAGGATAGTTTGCCCCTTCAAGGTAGCATCTCCAATGCTTTAGAGAACATACTATGGCAAGCAGTTCCTTGTCTGTAATGGGATAGTTTTGTTCAGCTGCTGATAGCTTTCTTGAGTAAAATGCCACAGGCTGTAGCTCTTCTTGTTTGTCTTTTGGAGCTTGGTATAAGATTCCAGAAATGGCAAAATCTGAGGCATCTGTCTCAAGAGTGGCAGGTTTCAAGGGGTTAAAGTGTAGTAACATTTTCCCTTCTTTAAATTCTCCTTTAAGAGCATCGAAAGCATCTTGCTGTGTCTTATCCCAGTGATAGAAAGTGTCCTTGTGAAGTAATTGAGTAAGGGGTAAAGCCAAGGATGTATATCTTGGTATAAACCTCCTGTAATAGTTGGCAAACCCAAGGAAAGACTGAACCTCTTTAATGCTGGAAGGAATAGGCCACGTGTACTGCTTTTGTCTTTTCAGGGTCCATCTGAATGCCTTCTGTTGAAATTCTATGTCCTAAGAAATCAACTTGAGACATATGGAAAAGACATTTCTCAAGTTTGCAAAAGAGTTGTGCTTGAGATAGCTTCTCTAAGACTTGTCTAACATGTAGAACATGCTCTTGAGTGTCTAAAGAGTATATAAGAATGTCGTCTAAGTAGACAACAACAAAGATATCCAAGTAAGGTCTTAGAATATCATTCATGAGAGCTTGGAAAGAAGCAGGTGCATTGGCAAGCCCAAAAGGCATTACCTGGTATTCAAAATGACCATAGCGTGTTCTGAATGCTGTCTTCCACTCATCACCTTCCTTGATGCGTATCAGGTTATAAGCTCCCCTGAGATCTAACTTGGTAAAGATCCTTGCTGAAGAGAGCCTATCTATGAGCTCAGGGATAAGGGGTAAAGCATATCTGTTTTTAACAGTGACTGCATTAAGGCCCCTATAATCAACACAGAGACGCAAGGAGCCATCTTTCTTCTTGACAAAGAGAATGGGAGCTCCTGCTGGTGAGGAAGAAGGTCTGATAAAGCCAGAACTAAGGTTCTCATCTAGGTATTCTCTGAGAGTTTTCAGCTCTAATTCAGATAGAGAGTAGATAGGGCCGTAGGGAGGCATTGAGCCTTCTGCGAGTGGTATCTCATGGTCATAAGGCTGGTGCTTTGGCAGAATTGATGCCTTTGCCTTGTCAAAAAGATGTTGGTAGTCTTGGTATGCTAAAGGCAAAATGACCTCCTGAGATGATTTCTCCAAATCTGAAGTAGCTGCTATCTCCAGGACAGGTTGGAAAGGTTTAACCCATATCAGAGATGATATATCGTCCATAGTTTGGTCAAAATCCTTGATCTGGACAAGTTTGAGTCTTGGACCTGAATAGGGGTAACTGAGGCTTGAAGGGTTTTTTCAGTATTGAGCTCAGGATTTGAGCTAAACCCAAGCGATAAATGCTTCCAATTGATAGTTGGATCATGCCTTTGAAGCCATGGAAGACCTAGGATAACTGGGTACTTCATTGGTATAACATCTAAAGAGATGGTGTCTGAAAATGTTGATTTTCCTAGGGGAATCTCAAGTTTGAGTACTGGGGTGTTGCAGGTAATGGAACCTGAACTGATAGGAGTTCCATCAATGACTCGGAGCAACTCTGGAGTGCGTTTGGGAATTGTAGGTAACTGGTGTGTCAAGATGAGGTCTTGAGATATAAAGTTGCCTGTTGCCCCTGAGTCTATCATAGCCTTGTAGACAACACCTGTTGTTTGAAATGGAGTTGAATAGGGATTAACAGGTGTGTGAGACTCTGAGAAAGCACCATCGACACATCTTTTTGTCTAGGGGAGAAGTTATAGTCTCAGTTGAAGTTGTGCCTGCTAGGATTTTTCAAGTTTTTCAGGAATAGCAGTTGTGACTGTGTCTGAGGCTGCTATATGTTTTGAATCAGCACTCCCCCGTGCTGAATAGCACTCCTGAATTCTGTGTCCCCCTTTGCCACAGTATAAACAAAGGTTGTTGTCCATTCTGTGTTTTCTTTCTTGAGGGGTAAGTTTACCCCTTTTCAGTTTTTGAGGGTATCCTGTAGGCTGAGGTGCTGGATTGCTGTAGATCTCTTTATAGAGGCGTCTAGTCCATAGGTTCAGGTGCTGAGTCCTTAGCAGTTGGTGTAGAGGTGTAATTGTTGAAATTTCTTGTTGGATGCCAGTCTTGGTTCTTCTCCTTTCTTCTTTCAAAAAGCCTATCATCAAGTCTGACAGCTTTCTCTATAAGCGTTTGAAGTGTTGTAGGGCGTTCTTCTTTGCTGAGTTCATCCTTAATAGAGCTCTTGAGCCCTTGGTAGTAAGTGAAGACTAAGGCTTCTTCATTCCAAGTCAAGTGAGAAGTGATTCTCCTAAATTCTGTTGTATACTGAGCAGCAGAGGTCTTTTGACATAGCTTCTGTAGCTCTCTTTCTGCTGTAGCAGTTTCGTTGATGTCTCCAAAGGTCCTGGTAAGTTCCTCTTGAAACTGGTCATAAGAGGTAATCAAAGGTGTAGTGGTATTTTGGTTGTTGCCACTAAGTCTTCTAAGATATGGCTCAAAGAAGTTGAATGCAGATCCACGGAGGTAGCTGGCAGCGAAATAGATCTTCTGAATGTCTGAGGTGAACTGATGAGGCCTGAGGGTGAAGTAGATGTCCAGTTGCATAAGAAATCCCTTCAACTTCCTCCTGTCTCCATGGTATAAATCTGGTGTTTGCACTTTAGGAAGTGCACCTGGGGTACTCGAAATAGCCAGAGGAGCTGTGGGAAGCTCTGTATGATGTGTCTGAGTTGAAGATTGTGTTGCTGAAGTGTTGGCTTGAAAGGTGTTTTCCAAATTCTCAAGTTTGTTTGCTATAGTTTGTATAAAGGCAAACAGTTGTTGCATCTGCTGTTCAGCAGTAGTTGTAGGAGCTTGGTCGTCCTCCATTGTAGTATCGAAGTGCTGCTATAGAAATAGTTGAAGCTTGAAGCAGACAAGGTGTAATGGTGGGTGCACCAGATGTGAGAATCTAGCCACCCAAGGAAGGGATGAATTTACTAAGACAACACACTGTCTTAGGAAACAGAGCCAAAGGGTTGTAGCTTAGACTATTCCACAACGCAGCAATCAGGTGTATGATGTGGTGAAGTGGTTTAGACAAGTTGCAACAAATGTTGAGTCTGAGAACTCAGGGGTAAGTCAGAGGTTAGCACCTCACTGACTTTTCAAAAACAGAGAATAACAAGATCAATGCTTGGAAGCTTGGAAAAGACGTAGAAGTATGTGCTAGTCGATTTACTGTATTGCCTGCTTGCCCTTTCTTAAGGAAAGGGCAATCCTATTTATGCCAAAGGAGTGTAGTTCTCTCATTTTCCATGACTTTCCATGACTAACCAGGCTTGGTAAATGTATTAGAAATCAAGTGCGACCCACAACTAGCTTGCTAATCATGTAGTGAACGTAAGAGAATCCCATAGAACCATCTCTTGGGTTCCTAGCCTATAGGAAGTGAAAAGGAGGTCCAAGGTCAGAGTACCTATAGACAAATTATGTCATAACTTAACCAATCTTGTGGGTAACTAAGGAGCGATGACGTGTAATGAATCATAGAGGGTTGTAGAAGCTTCTAGAGCTATCGTTCATGTTCCTAGGCCTCTAGTTGGTAGAGATATGCCATGTGGTAGTATTGGCCCACCCCCTTAAGGAGGAGATTTTCTTAATAACTTGTTCAATGAGTGTCCAAATGATATGCCGTGATGTATGTAGCATAAACAGATGTAGTAGAAGAGTTTGCAGCAATCGTTGAGTAGTATTGCTTCTGTTGTTGGTGTGATAAGCCAAGATATGTATGGTGACTTGTAGGTTTGAGGAGGAGATTTCTAAGTTTGCTCTTGAGTTTGATAGCAAACTGAGTGCAACGAATGTCAGTATGACANGTTATCGGCGTGGGTGGTTTCTCGATCGAGACCAACAAGATGATCAAAGACATCAGGGATTTGGTCGCGGAGCGAGACCTCAGGGGGCCAGACTTTGATGTGCGCGATACTAATGAGACGCACAACGAGCAGCTTGAGGTGGTGGTTGTTAATGACGAAGTTGCACGTCTGTATCGTGATAGTCCGAGGGCTCTCGGCGACTACCCGGGGCTCTCGTCTGTCACTCGGTACTGTGTGGCCTTGGCGAAATATCTTCAGAACCCTATGAAGGAGTATGCGGCCCTCGGCAACGATATCGTATCATTGATATTCCACCGATGCCAGCACCTGGTACCAGAGGAGACGCTGCGCAAGCAGCTGGATACTGCCATGGTTGACATGGTGAATCTGTGCGGTATCGATATCAACGAAGCCGTCACTGACCCGTACGTCGCCAACCTGTTGCCTTATGTTTGTGGACTCGGCCCTCGCAAGGCGACAAGTGTGATCAAGGCTATCAACATGAATGGCGGCATGGTCAATAGCCGTGACGAGCTCGTCGGAGACCCAGACAGCCAGAAACTGCCCGTCGTTGGCCCGCGCGTGTGGAACAACTGCGCTAGTTTCCTGAGCATCGAGTACGATCCTTCCATGTCTACGTCCGATTACCTAGATAACACGCGTGTGCACCCCGAGGACTACGAGCTGGGCAGGAAGATGGCTGCTGACGCGCTTGAGCTCGACGAGGAAGACGTCAAGGCTGAAGTCGACGAGAACGGCCCCGGAGCCGTCGTGCGGAAGCTGATCAAGGATGATGAGCAGGACAAGGTCAACGATCTCATTCTCGAGGAGTATGCGGAGCAGCTGGAGCAGAATTACAACCAGAAGAAGCGTGCTACCCTCGAGACCATCCGCGCTGAGCTCATCCAGCCTTACGAAGAGCTGCGCCGCAACTTCGCTATGTTGAGCGAAGATGATGTTTTCACGATGCTCACTGGCGAGACTAACGATTCGCTTTGCGAGGGCATGGTTGTCTCTATCAATGTCCGCGTTGTCAACGATGAGTTCCTCATCGTCAAGCTCGACTCGGGCTTGGAAGGTCGCGTGGAGGCATATGAAGCCACGGACAACAATGATGTGCCGTTGCCGAGACTCTTTTCTCAAGGGCAAGCTGCGCAAGCTAAATTACTATCGGTGGACAGGCGCGAGTTCTCGGCTAAGCTCTCGATGAGAGAGCAGGAGGTCAAGAGACCGTTCCGCCGTCGCTTGAACCACATGGATGACCAGTGGGACTCGAACCAGGAAGCGAGGGACAGGGAGGAGCTGAGGGAGAAGGACAAGGTTACTGGGCGTGCTCAGCGTGTCATCAAGCATCCTCTGTTCCGCCCATTCAATTCCACCCAAGCGGAGGAGTATCTCGGATCTCAGAGCTCCGGCGACGCCGTTATCAGAACGTCGTCCAAGGGTAATGATCACTTGACTGTGACATGGAAGGTGGCAGATGGTGTGTACCAGCACATTGACGTCCTCGAGCTGCTCAAGGAGAACGAGTTCACGGTTGGCAAGCAACTTCGTATCGGCGGCAAGTACACCTACAGCGATCTGGATGAACTGATCGTGGATCACGTCAAAGCCATGGCTCGCAAGGTGGACGAGATGATGCAGCACGAGAAGTACCAAAAGGGCAGCAAGGCCGACACAGGTATGTTACCCCCCCCTAATTCGTACCTCCTTATCGCATACTAACTGCGCCCTCAGAACGCTGGTTGACGACCTACACCGAGGCCAACCCCAAGCGCTCCGTATACGCCTTCTGCATCGACCCTAAGCACCCCGGCTACTTCCACCTGTGCTTCAAGGGCGGACAGAACGCCAAGCTCAACGCCTGGCCCGTCAAGGTCATCCCCAACGCCTTTGAGCTGCTCAAGAACCCGTACCCGGACATGCGCGCGCTGTGCAACGGCTTCAAGCTGCGCTTTGCCAGCGAGGCGAATAAGAGTCGCGGATGAGCGGTGGGAGGTTGTATTCGCTCCTGCGTTTTCCCGTTTTTTACTTTTATTGTTGCCGCCGTGGCATGGCGGCCAGGGCGGTTGGAACGGATTGGCTTGGTGGTGGGCGCATCGCGCGAGGAGTTCGGGGTATGTTTGGGGAGGTGACTTTATTTGGGTCCATCCGAGGGAGGGAGAGAAGGGAGGGCTAGCTGGACCACGCGCATCTACGGCTACGTTTTGCGCAATGTCGATCCTGTAGTTTTGTATTATAACAACATGATTTTTACAGCGGGGGTTGGTTAAGGGTTGGTGGGGGAGAGAAAAGCAAAAGAGAGAGGATAGTTTTAAGAAAATAGAAAGAATGTCCTGGTCCGAATCTATATAAATCCTTCATTCCGCTCGAGAGTCTCGTTCTAAAATCCAATCTCCCACCTCATGTCCTACTGTGTCAGCATGGCTACTGTGAACATGAACTGCGTTGAATTCTATAACCCCAATCCTGCATTGAAGGCCTCACTCTTGTGCCTTAAACAAGAGAGATGCATGGAAGACATTATGGATAGTCCAAGTAGGTGGTAATGCAAGCTCGAAAGCATTCTTGCCAATAGTCCTTGTGATCTTAAAAGGTCCAAGTCTTTTAGTATCAAGTTTGTCTGAAGGTCTAGTAGTTGTGATATGTCTTCTAGACAAAAAGACTTGATCACCAACTTTGAATTGTGGTGCAACCACCCCCCTGTTAAAGGCCTGAGCCTGCTCGTCTTGTGCACGCTGTATTTGAACCTTGAGATAGTCCTGGAGGCCCTTAAGGTAGATGATTCTTTCAGTAGCAGAAGGGTTTTTGAAATTTTCAGGACAATTCAGTTCTGCCACTTCAAACCTAGGGTGATAACCATAGTTTGCATAGAAAGGTGTCTCTTTTGTGGTGTTAGAGACTGTGTTGTTGTAAGCAAATTCTGCAAGATGGAGAAGATCTGCCCAGTTGTCTTGAGCATAGTTTGTATAAATTCTTAGATATTGTTCAAGTACAGAGTTGACTCTCTCTGTCTGGCCATCTGTTTGAGGGTGATAAGCTGTAGAGAAGCGTTGTTCCATGTTTAAGAGTTTAGAGAACTCCTTAAAAAAGTTTGAAGTGAAAACTGCTCCCCTATCTGAGATCCAGTGTCCAGGAATTCCATGATATTTAAAGACCACCTTGAGGAATAGCCACGCAAGTTCAGAAGCTGTGATAGTCTCATTGCAAGGCTCAAAGTGTGCCATTTTTGTGAGCCTTTCTACCACCACAAGGATAGAGTCATAAGGGGTAGCACCCCCTTTTGGGATAGAAGGAGGCAACTTGACTATAAAGTCAATGGATATGGAGTCCCATGGGCGTTCTGGTATAGGTAGAGGCTGCAAGAGGCCATAGGGCTTTTGCCGTGTAGGCTTGTTCAAGTTGCAAGTAGTGCAAGAAGATATATAGTCTTGAAGAGTAGTCCTTAGACTAGGCCAGTAGAACTTTCTTGTTAGAAGTTCATAGTTTTTGCAAAGCCAAAGTGCCCTGCAGCTGGAGCATCATGGAACTGCTGTAGGAGGTGTAGCTGTAATGGTTTATCCTTGGGACATAGATATAGTTCTTGAATAAGAGAAGTCCATGCTGATTTTTTGAGAAATTCTGTAGTCCAACTTTCTCAAGAGAGGAACCTTTCTTCTGGAGGTATTCCAAAGTTCTTTTCGCAAAGGGATCATGGTTGTAAGCATCTTTGAATGCTTTAAGAGTGTTGCTGAGGGTGTATAGTCTTTAAAGGTCTCTGGTTCCTGAGAAGAGGTAATGGGGGCAACTTGGTCTTGAGGGGATAAGTTTACCCCTAAGTCCTCTGTAGTACTAGGGTTGCTTAAAGATGCTGCTATAAGCTTTGCTGAGTCTAGCAGAGCCTTTGTATTGCTAGTTTTAGCAGAATCTTGGTAGTCATGTCTTCTTGAGAGGAGATCTGCTCTTTGATTCTTGGCCCCTGAGACATGTTTTATAACAAAGTCAAAACCTCCTAGTTGTTCAGACCACCTTGCTTGTCGTCTATTGAGCTGTTTAGTGGTTGTAAAGGTCAAGAGGTTTGACATGGTCACTGGTAAAATAGTGATAGGATAGTTTGCCCCTTCAAGGTAGGATCTCCAATGCTTTAGAGAACATACTATGGCAAGCAGTTCCTTGTCTGTAATGGGATAGTTTTGTTCAGCTGCTGATAGCTTTCTTGAGTAAAATGCCACAGGCTGTAGCTCTTCTTGTTTGTCTTTTGGAGCTTGGTATAAGATTCCAGAAATGGCAAAATCTGAGGCATCTGTCTCAAGAGTGGCAGGTTTCAAGGGGTTAAAGTGTAGTAACATTTTCCCTTCTTTAAATTCTCCTTTAAGAGCATCGAAAGCATCTTGCTGTGTCTTATCCCAGTGATACAAAGTGTCCTTGTGAAGTAATTGAGTAAGGGGTAAAGCCAAGGATGTATATCTTGGTATAAACCTCCTGTAATAGTTGGCAAACCCAAGGAAAGACTGAACCTCTTTAATGCTGGAAGGAATAGGCCACGTTTGTACTGCTTTTGTCTTTTCAGGGTCCATTTGAATGCCTTCTGTTGAAATTCTATGTCCTAAGAAATCAACTTGAGACATATGGAAAAGACATTTCTCAAGTTTGCAAAAGAGTTGTGCTTGAGATAGCTTCTCTAAGACTTGTCTAACATGTAGAACATGCTCTTGAGTGTCTAAAGAGTATATAAGAATGTCGTCTAAGTAGACAACAACAAAGATATCCAAGTAAGGTCTTAGAATATCATTCATGAGAGCTTGGAAAGAAGCAGGTGCATTGGCAAGCCCAAAAGGCATTACCTGGTATTCAAAATGACCATAGCGTGTTCTGAATGCTGTCTTCCACTCATCACCTTCCTTGATGCGTATCAGGTTATAAGCTCCCCTGAGATCTAACTTGGTAAAGATCCTTGCTGAAGAGAGCCTATCTATGAGCTCAGGGATAAGGGGTAAAGCATATCTGTTTTTAACAGTGACTGCATTAAGGCCCCTATAATCAACACAGAGACGCAAGGAGCCATCTTTCTTCTTGACAAAGAGAATAGGAGCTCCTGCTGGTGAGGAAGAAGGTCTGATAAAGCCAGAACTAAGGTTCTCATCTAGGTATTCTCTGAGAGTTTTCAGCTCTAATTCAGATAGAGAGTAGATAGGGCCGTAGGGAGGCATTGAGCCTTCTGCGAGTGGTATCTCATGGTCATAAGGCTGGTGCTTTGGCAGAATTGATGCCTTTGCCTTGTCAAAAAGATGTTGGTAGTCTTGGTATGCTAAAGGCAAAATGACCTCCTGAGATGATTTCTCCAAATCTGAAGTAGCTGCTATCTCCAGGACAGGTTGGAAAGGTTTAACCCATATCAGAGATGATATATCGTCCATAGTTTGGTCAAAATCCTTGATCTGGGACAAGTTTGAGTCTTGGACCTGAATAGGGGTAACTGAGGCTTGAAGGGTTTTTTCAGTATTGAGCTCAGGATTTGAGCTAAACCCAAGCGATAAATGCTTCCAATTGATAGTTGGATCATGCCTTTGAAGCCATGGAAGACCTAGGATAACTGGGTACTTCATTGGTATAACATCTAAAGAGATGGTGTCTGAAAATGTTGATTTTCCTAGGGGAATCTCAAGTTTGAGTACTGGGGTGTTGCAGGTAATGGAACCTGAACTGATAGGAGTTCCATCAATGACTCGGAGCAACTCTGGAGTGCGTTTGGGAATTGTAGGTAACTGGTGTGTCAAGATGAGGTCTTGAGATATAAAGTTGCCTGTTGCCCCTGAGTCTATCATAGCCCTTGTAGACAACACCTGTTGTTTGAAATGGAGTTGAATAGGGATTAACAGGTGTGTGAGACTCTGAGAAAGCACCATCGACACATCTTTGTTGTCTAGGGGAGAAGTTATAGTCTCAGTTGAAGTTGTGCCTGCTAGGGATTTTTCAAGTTTTTCAGGAATAGCAGTTGTGACTGTGTCTGAGGCTGCTATATGTTTTGAATCAGCACTCCCCCGTGCTGAATAGCACTCCTGAATTCTGTGTCCCCCTTTGCCACAGTATAAACAAAGGTTGTTGTCCATTCTGTGTTTTCTTTCTTGAGGGGTAAGTTTACCCCTTTTCAGTTTTTGAGGGTATCCTGTAGGCTGAGGTGCTGGATTTGCTGTAGATCTCTTTATAGAGGCGTCTAAGTCCATAGGTTCAGGTGCTGAGTCCTTAGCAGTTGGTGTAGAGGTGTAATTGTTGAAATTTCTTGTTGGATGCCAGTCTTGGTTCTTCTCCTTTCTTCTTTCAAAAAGCCTATCATCAAGTCTGACAGCTTTCTCTATAAGCGTTTGAAGTGTTGTAGGGCGTTCTTCTTTGCTGAGTTCATCCTTAATAGAGCTCTTGAGCCCTTGGTAGTAAGTGAAGACTAAGGCTTCTTCATTCCAAGTCAAGTGAGAAGTGATTCTCCTAAATTCTGTTGTATACTGAGCAGCAGAGGTCTTTTGACATAGCTTCTGTAGCTCTCTTTCTGCTGTAGCAGTTTCGTTGATGTCTCCAAAGGTCCTGGTAAGTTCCTCTTGAAACTGGTCATAAGAGGTAATCAAAGGTGTAGTGGTATTTTGGTTGTTGCCACTAAGTCTTCTAAGATATGGCTCAAAGAAGTTGAATGCAGATCCACGGAGGTAGCTGGCAGCGAAATAGATCTTCTGAATGTCTGAGGTGAACTGATGAGGCCTGAGGGTGAAGTAGATGTCCAGTTGCATAAGAAATCCCTTCAACTTCCTCCTGTCTCCATGGTATAAATCTGGTGTTTGCACTTTAGGAAGTGCACCTGGGGTACTCGAAATAGCCAGAGGAGCTGTGGGAAGCTCTGTATGATGTGTCTGAGTTGAAGATTGTGTTGCTGAAGTGTTGGCTTGAAAGGTGTTTTCCAAATTCCCAAGTTTGTTTGCTATAGTTTGTATAAAGGCAAACAGTTGTTGCATCTGCTGTTCAGCAGTAGTTGTAGGAGCTTGGTCATCCTCCATTGTAGTATCGAAGTGCTGCTATAGAAATAGTTGAAGCTTGAAGCAGGCAAGGTGTAATGGTGGGTGCACCAGATATGAGAATCTAGCCACCCAAGGAAGGGATGAATTTACTAAGACAACACACTGTCTTAGGAAACAGAGCCAAAGGGTTGTAGCTTAGACTATTCCACAACGCAGCAATCAGGTGTATGATGTGGTGAAGTGGTTTAGACAAGTTGCAACAAATGTTGAGTCTGAGAACTCAGGGGTAAGTCAGAGGTTAGCACCTCACTGACTTTTCAAAAACAGAGAATAACAAGATCAATGCTTGGAAGCTTGGAAAAGACGTAGAAGTATGTGCTAGTCGATTTACTGTATTGCCTGCTTGCCCTTTCTTAAGGAAAGGGCAATCCTATTTATGCCAAAGGAGTGTAGTTCTCTCATTTTCCATGACTTTCCATGACTAACCAGGCTTGGTAAATGTATTAGAAATCAAGTGCGACCCACAACTAGCTTGCTAATCATGTAGTGAACGTAAGAGAATCCCATAGAACCATCTCTTGGGTTCCTAGCCTATAGGAAGTGAAAAGGAGGTCCAAGGTCAGAGTACCTATAGACAAATTATGTCATAACTTAACCAATCTTGTGGGTAACTAAGGAGCGATGACGTGTAATGAATCATAGAGGGTTGTAGAAGCTTCTAGAGCTATCGTTCATGTTCCTAGGCCTCTAGTTGGTAGAGATATGCCATGTGGTAGTATTGGCCCACCCCCTTAAGGAGGAGATTTTCTTAATAACTTGTTCAATGAGTGTCCAAATGATATGCCGTGATGTATGTAGCATAAACAGATGTAGTAGAAGAGTTTGCAGCAATCGTTGAGTAGTATTGCTTCTGTTGTTGGTGTGATAAGCCAAGATATGTATGGTGACTTGTAGATTTGAGGAGGAGATTTCTAAGTTTGCTCTTGAGTTTGATAGCAAACTGAGTGCAACGAATGTCAGTATGACATCTGGGAACTCAGGGGTAAGTCAGAGGTTAACACCTCACTGACTTTTCAGAAACAAGGAGTAACAAGATGAATGCTTGGAAGCTTGGAAAAGACGTGGAAGTATGTGATAGTCAATTTACTGTATTGTCTGCTTGCCCTTTCTTAAGGAAAGGGCAATCCTATTTATGCTAAAGGAGTGTAGTTCTCTCATTTTCCAAGACTTTCCATGATTAGCAGGCTTGGTAACTGTAGTCGACGTAAGAGAATCCCATAGAACCATCTCTTGGGTTCCTAGCCTATAGGAAGTGAAAAGGAGGTCCAAGGTCAGAGTACCTATAGACAAATTATGTCATAACTTAACCAATCTTGTGGGTAACTAAGGAGCGATGACGTGTAATGAATCATAGAGGGTTGTAGAAGCTTCTAGAGCTATCGTTCATGTTCCTAGGCCTCTAGTTGGTAGAGATATGCCATGTGGTAGTATTGACCCACCCCCTTAAGGAGGAGATTTTCTTAATAACTTGTTCAATGAGTGTCCAAATGATATGCCGTGATGTATGTAGCATAAACAGATGTAGTAGAAGAGTTTGCAGCAATCGTTGAGTAGTATTGCTTCTGTTGTTGGTGTGATAAGCCAAGATATGTATGGTGACTTGTAGGTTTGAGGAGGAGATTTCTAAGTTTGCTCTTGAGTTTGATAGCAAACTGAGTGCAACGAATGTCAGTATGACACCTCCGAGACCAGTAAGTGGCCACTCCCCGTCCATTTCTTGATGGTTTACTAACTGATTGTGTAGTATATCCACAATCCACATGAATGAGTAGGTGATGGGAGCGTGTTGGCGCGCTGGTGATCACTTGGGCTTGGCTGACGGAATCGCAGATTCCAAAATTGAAGATGCCGGTTCCCACCCCCTCCGGGGCCCTTACGGTTGCCTTCCGCATGCTCTGTCTGTGCTGCCTTCAGGCCAAAGCCCGTGGAATCCAGTCCCACGACTGCGTCTGGTCCCCGACCAGTTCAGAGTGTGGGTACTGCATGGCGCAGCACTCGCCTTGCGTCACGGTAGGTTTTCTTGTGGGGTTCAGTGCTTGGTTTGGTTGGCCGTTGCTGACTTTGGTGAAAGCTGCCCTGGTTCCTTGGGGAAGAGTTTGCGGCCCTCCGCGCCGCCGAAGAGGCCACCCCCCTCATTCCTGCCGATGTCGCCGCCGCCGCCACCGAGGCAAATCGGGTGGCCCTCCTGGCCGCCCAGAGCATGCCAAAGTTCCGCTCCGAGGTGGAGTGTGACCTCTATGAGGAGGCACGCGCCACTCGGGCTGCCCTCGAGTCGGGGCTTGCCATGAGTAGACCCCCTTCCCCTTGTGTTGTTTCGGTGCTGACTCTGGGCAGCAAATTCAGTCGTCGCTGCGCCGTCTCCAGACGGAACAGGAGAGCGTCCCTGCTCTCTTGGGGGAGTTGGTGGCTGCTGTGGGCAAACTGCCCACCGGGTCCATACCCGGCCACCAGCATTAGATGTCAAACAGCCCATGCCGTACATATACCAACAAACCCCCTCCCTTCACCTTTTCCAAATTCATCCGACGACTTCGACCACCAAAAGACACAAGCACCCACAATGAAAGTCCCCCGCCAGCAAAACACGCCCTCAAATCCATCACCCACATCCAACAGCCATGAAGCAACCACGAAACCCTCCCTGCCAAAAGACTACAAGAAAGTCGTCCAATCCCTCATCCGCCGCCGCGACATCAGTCTAGAAGTCAAAATCGACCTCTGGAAGCGGTTCGCTGAGTACGAAGCCTGCGTGGACGAAGAGAACCATAAGAATGACGCAGAAGACCCTGTCTTTACCAATACAAACGCGACAACTGTGGGTGAGATTGGACCTGATGTTGAAATGCCCACCCCGTGGATGGAAAGCATTCCGAACTTTGGTAGTGATGCTGGGGAGAGGGGGTATAATGGGGGGGATGGCGATAGTGGGTATGAGGGGAATGGGGGTAATAGTGTTGATGGAGTAGAGGTGGCCGAGGAAGACGAAGCCAACACCAACAGTGGCCAGGAGAAAGACAATGGTGATGACAGCAATGAGGATGGAAATGGAAATCGCAGTCTCGACGCCACGACTCCCGCCCCCCTCCTCCGCCCCCGCCCCTCCACAACATCCACCCAAGTCCGCCACGACATCCGCGACTACTTCGCCTCCCTCGCCGAGCGCGAGCGTCTCGTTGCCGCTCGCGAAAAATGGGTTGCCAGTAGAGCGGAAGCGCTGTGGAGGAATGCGAGGGTATTGGGGGGGTTTTGCGGGGGAGGTTAGTAGGAAGAAGGGGATGAGGGTTTGGGGGGATGATGGGGGGGGTGATGGGGGGGGGAGGAGAGAGGGAGGAAGAGGACTAGACGGGTGTAGGGAGGGGTGGGGTGGGTGGATCAAGGGTCGTTCTTTCCTTGGGAGTTGGTGTTCTTCCCTTACGAATGTTATGGCTGGTGGGGTAGGGTGTTCTTTCCTTGTGCAATGCTCTGGCGGTGGATGGGCATTCCTTCCTTGTTGTATGATAGATAGTCTATAAGGAACGCTCCTTCTTCTAAGCGTGGTAGTAGTCAGGAGATTCGGGATGGCGGGAAAGGTTAATTTGTTAGTCCTCAGTAGTAGAATGAAACATCAGCCCATCCAGCAACATTCCAGTCACGTTGTGCGCTTGTGCCTGAGCTTCCCCCAGTGTTTGGAGTGGCAGCGGACTTGTCCTGACTATGTTCGCAAGGTTGTATTCAGGATCGTGCATAAGGCCTCGACCTCGACCAAAGTTTTGCTTGCATTTATCAAACGGATATATGTTGCGAATATATATAGATGGAGAAGATACTCACCAAAGGTCTGCATAGCATCGCTTGAAACCATCATGGGCATCTCCAAGCGCAGCTGCGACAACGACGACCAAGTCGACCAAGTCGACCAACTCGACCAAGTCGACCAAGTCGACCAACTCGACCAACTCGACCAAGTCGACCAAGTCGACCAAGTCGACCAACTCGACCAACTCGACCAACTCGACCAACTCGACCAACTCGACCAACTCGACCAACTCGACCAACTCGACCAACTCGACCAACTCGACCAACTCGACCAACTCGACCAACTCGACCAACTCGACCAACTCGACCAACTCGACCAACTCGACCAACTCGACCAAGTTGACCAACTCGACAGCAACCCGAACCATAAGAAAATGAAGACCAAACCCAGCATCCTTCGACAAAGCACAACAGAACCCGAAGCCCACAAAGACCTAGAGCGGACAAGCTTAAGTGAGGGAGTGAAGCTTAGGCGCGAACAGAGAAGCGATGCGTCGGTGCGCCGGGATATTGATCAGTTCTCAGATTTCGACCAGAACGACACTTTAGGCGAGCAAGGTGATGAAGAGACAAAGGCAAAAAGGCTACCTACAGAAACCGCCCACCTCGCCCACCTCGCCCGTCTTGCATACATCGATACCCTCATGATCCCCCACTGCCCCATGCAACGCTGGCTCCTCGCCCTGCGGCATACGTGGGACGCCAAACACGCACTATACAAGATGGACGACGTCTGGTATACGCGGACAGGTTGGCAGGGCGAGATGTGGGAGCGGGTGCAGCAGATGAGGGAGAGCGAGGGGGTAGACGTGGGGGAGTGGGAGGACGTTTGTGATTTTGACGATGACAGGGAGGACGTTGAAGGGTTTGAGGGTGATGGGTGATGGGTGATGGGTGATGATGGGTGATGATGGGTGATGGGTGATGGGTGATGGGTGGGTAGATGGGTGGTGGGTGGGTAGATGGGCGGGGACGTAGGGCGGAGATGGAGCTCAATTTGGTGGAGGCTGCGGGCTTAAGTTATTGCAGTTAAGTTGGGTAAGCTGGTGTTTCGGGGGTTTCGGGACACGACTCTTTATTAATTTTAATTTTAATTTTTATATTTATATATAACAGCCACCAAATGTAATGACGTCATAACGCATCACTCAGCCCTCCAAGCGGTGACGTTTACTCCTCGCCACCTCGCACCCACCCATCCCACCCCCCCCACCCCCCAACCCCCCCCAACCCCCCCAACCCCCCCCTTCAACAGATTTGGCATGTGCCGATCGACTGGTGCCGATCGACTGGTGCCGACGGACTACGGACTGACGGACTACGGACTGACGGACTACGGGCTGACGGACTACGGACTGACGGACTACGGACTGACGGACTGACGGACTGTTACGCCGACGCCCAAGTTACTTATAAAAGACCTTTGCCCCGCCCCCTCCTACTTCTCTTCTCCCAAGACAATCACAAACAAAACTATTCACAAGAGCTTCAGCAACTAATAAAGTAATAAACACTTCATCAATCAACCAAAACACTAGCAACCCTTAATTCACACAAAACCTTCGAACTTCGAAATGGCTTTCACTGCTAGGTACCACCACCCCCCCTCCAGCTTCAATTCACCAGCTCTTCACCCAGAACTACTAACATATCACCCCCCCAGCGACATCTGCAAGATCATCCTCGCCATCTTCCTCCCTCCCGTCGGCGTCTTCCTCGAGCGCGGCTGCGGCGCCGACTTCCTCATCAACATCCTTCTCACCATCCTCGGTTACATCCCCGGAATCATCCACGCCTTGTACGTCCCTCCCCCGTTCAATTCCCATGCGCCTCGTAAGCACAGCACAGTCACCTAACAACGATCCCACAGGTACATCATCTTGAAATACTAAGCGCGTCACCCCCCGCAGCACCCTCCCTCCTTCTTCTTCTCGCACCCGAGACTCGCCGCATCGCATCACTTCGCGCTCCGACCCGACTCTACCACCACCCCTGCGCGGCTCCTTTCTATCCCGGAAAAGCTTGGCCTACATCCCATCCAGCCAGCGCGCACCCCTGCGCTGCGGCTGAAGGATACGACGTAATGCCCAGCCCAGCCTGACGTAATGCGCGGTACTGGAACTTGTCGGGGGCGCCGAACAGTGCGAACGGGTCGTCTCGGTAGTCTACGGACGCTGGTATTTGCGCTGCGCTATAAGGGGTCGTTGTTACACACAAACATCGGGGTGTGGATGGTGGATGTGGGGGAGTCAGATGGGGAGCTCTGGTGGTTGATAGTTGAGAAATTTTAATACATGATGATTCCCCCATTCCATTCCGTTTCTGTGCCCCCATTTGATGTGCATTGGTCTAGACGGGGAGCTACGTGGTTTGTGTCTTATTGCAACGGAAGGGATGGGATGGGATACCTAACTCACTGCTCTACTAAGGCTGATGGTGGGGGTTGTGGATACCCTGTAGTGCGACCGGGTGGAGATGGGAGGGGACGACATGGACAGGGATGTTTTACCGGCTTGTGGCTTGCGCATTTCTGCAGCCTTGTGGTCTACCGGCTGGGCTGGTCTGGACCGTTTAAATACCGAGATGGCAGGATCGGGAGAGAGGGAAGGGAGGGGGGGGGGGGAGGCTAATTCATCCTTCTATGGATCCGCGGCATGGATAAGGGGTTTAATGGTTTACGGGTTACAGCGGTATAAGTTACAGCACAATGCACGATCACTTACCCGCCTAGCTGACAGGCCGGCCGAGATCGCAGAATCAGATGGAGAGAACTTCAATTCATCCTTCCCGCCTTATGGACAAATGCTGTGCGCAAAACTAGCTAAGAAACCATGTAGGTGTGCAACGCCATCCGGCCCATTCCGTCCTTCCGTCGCCCATGGAAATGTTGTACCGTGCCACCGCCCCGACGCCGAGTGAAGAAGACGAAGAAGGAATCTGTGACTGGGTGTTCACAAAAGGTACCCCGTTATCTCGTGCTTGGGGATGGTACGCCGCGCTGCTGGTGACGCCTGGGGAAAGAGAAGAGGCCGTGGAATGCATTCGTTTCGTCGTTGCGAAGCAAAATAAAAAATCAGAGATGTTACGTGCAAGGGCGTGAGAAAGAGAAGATTATATGAATGTGCTCGAGCTATTACGGTGCCGTTCAAGCTTCCTAGGCCACGTCTTCGTCGGTTCGGTATTCTCGAGCTCTTGAGGGTGCCATATGGAAGCCGCTCGGTTTCGTCCTCGTCAGTTCGCTGTTTGCGTCCTTCGACAGATTCGCATCACCAACCCGCCGCGGTATCATTCTTGCTGAAGAAGGGGGGTTTCTCATATCCTTTGCTTGGCCAATTTTTGGTTGAAGATGAAGCGGCGAGCTTCTTAGCTCGTACACCACTTACATGCTCCCCATGTGCATCTGCACTCCCCGGAGGAACTCCCAGCACGAGAATCGGAGACCTTCGCGCCACAGTTCTTGTCAGAAGCTTGCATGTGGACGTTCCAGATATTGTCCCGCTCGCGACACGTCGCACATACGCATCCCCATTTACCGGAGCAGCCATCGAAAAGAGTGGAGGCTAGGGGCTGCTCGGTCGTAAATATGCTCCATGCGGTGGGCTCGTTGTCCTCCGCTGAAGTGGCAGCAGGAATATTCCCGTGACGTCTGTTCCACTCCTGAATACCGGTGAATTTGTTCTTCGCCTCTATAAGGACTACAGCATCCCTCTCGTCATTCGCCGTGAGAACTGCGGCCACCTTCTTAACATCTGCGAGCTTAATCTTTCTGCCTCCGAAAATCACCCTCTTGGCCTCCTCCTCGATCTCCACCGCCATCTTATTAAGATCCGCCAATTCGGTTTCATTTTGGTTCCATTGCAAAACCTTGGCTTCGACGTACATCTTGACCTGCACCGCCAGCTCGAGCACACTCGGCCAGTCCCCTGTTGATGACCCGCCCCAATCGACACAGGCCTTTTCCGATTCATCCATTAACACCTTATACTGCTTGTGTAGACTCATCCTGAGCTTCTCCAAGCATTTTTCGCGAGACGCCACTGCCGCCTCTCGTTTCCCGACTAGCTGGGTGCGCTTACCTATATCACCATTTTGCTTCGCGGTATCCCTCGTCAGCTTTTCGCGAGCATTGGTCAGCTGCGTCAACTTTTCCTGCATCTCCGTAGCTTGCTGCTTCGTTGTGGCTATTCTAGCTTCTATATCAGCCTCGTGGCGCTGCAACAGTGTGTCGCGGGTCAACTGCTGGTCCTCGCGTTTTAGCGACTGATCTTCACGAGTCTGTAGCAGGCTCCCACGAGTCTGCAGTTGGCATTCACGCTTCTGTAATTGCTCCAGGCGCTGTTGCAACAGCCTCTCAATCTCCCGCTGTGGCTCTTGGTGCTTCTCCCACTCGACCTGGCGGTTTTGCACACTGTGCTCACGCTCCGCCAACTGGAACTCACGCTCCTGTAACTTCTCCTCAAGCTTCTGTAGCAGCCCATCGATCTCCTGTTGCTGCTTCTCGCGCTTGTGCAAATGCTCCTCACGCTGCTTCAGCAGCCCTTCGGTGCCCTGTCGCTGGTTCTGGTGCTTCTCCCACTCCAGCTCGCGGTTCTTCAGGTTCTGTTCGCGCTTGTGTAGCAGCTCCGCGAGCTCCCGTTGACGCTTCTCGCGCCGCTTCAACACGATTTGGGCCTCATGTCGCTGCATCTCGAGGTCTAGCAGCGAGCTACCAATCTCGTGCAGGTGATCCGAGCGCTTCTGTATCTGATCCTCGCGCTGCACAACGTCATGTTGCGCTAGCTGGCGCTCGTGTCTTGTTGGGTCGTGGAAATCTCGAGCAAAACCCAATGGGCCCTGAGTAACTGGGATAGCAGCGCGGACGTTGATTTTTTGGGCGGGGGCATTACGAACGGCTTTCTGGCGGGGGATGTCCACGTTGCCCCAAAGTTGAGACGGTTTCTGGAGCGCCTCGAGCTTCTTGAAGAGTTGCTCGCTATCAACTGCCGTTTTCATGTTCTGTTTATCGATCAGCTCCTTGATTAGAGACAAGTCAACCTTGTCTATCTGTCTTCCAGCGGAGCGTGCTGCTTTATCCAATGGTTTGGGAACCCATACATCTGGTAAAGCCGGATCACATGTGCCCTTTCTAAGCCAGTTCATTCGTTCTTCCCATATGCCATCGCGTGCTGACTTTGGGAATCCGATCAAATACTCGTGCAATGGGTCCCAAGTACTTTTGTCGCCGCTCCAGAAGGCAACCCAGAGGTCGATGTTCTTTTTGGAATGGGAAACATCGGCATACATGACGGGTTTGGCGGTGGGTAAATGTGCCCAATCAGCAGCGATTATGTTTTCACCTCCAGTCGTTCCGAAGTCCTGAATCGCAGGTTGTTCCCTCTCACTTTTCACTTCGAGTTCGGTTTTCACATCGGGTTCGGGTGCCGACATAGCATCTCTGGTAGCATCTCTGGTATGTGGAGAGCTATGATTAGTATCTGCAGTTAACTCTGGACCCTGCGTGTCCATGGGTGGCATCGATATCGACTCATAGCTCTGACCAGAGCGGATTATAAGAGGTTTAGTCTTGGGGATGGCGTTTTTGGTGTCCCATTCAACTTCGTCACTCTTCTCTCTCACTGGTTCTTTAGCCTCCTCTGCCAGCTCTTGGGCATCGTTCGCCAGTTCTTTGGTTTTGTTATCCGTGTTCGCCCAGAGCTTAATATTCGTATTAAGATCAGAAATTTCCTGCAGCATCTTCTGTACAGCCGCTTCTTGTTCAAATGCATTTTCATTGGGCGAGCCGTCTGGGTGGGTTAAATAGACTTGGGTATTTAGAGGCGTGGCTTTCAATTGTTCCGTAATGCTCTGCAACTTGGCATGAAGTTTGATTTGTTCGTCAGTGGAGATATGGCCTGTAAGTGCACCAATGCTCTCGTTTAGATCGTTCAGGACCTCGGAATCGCGAAACTGGCTGTAATGCCTCTCGAATCCCTCCGCTTGCTTAAATTTACTCACTAGCACAGGAGCCTTCTTCAAATCGATTATCTTCCACAAGCGTTCTTCTTCTTCGTCGAGCTCGCGCAAAATAGTCTTCATATCTTGCTCGGTGTTCTGAAAACGATATACCAAGTTTTGGCTTCCGCCACGCTCCTCGTTAGATCGCACATTGTAACCACCCTGGGGTAAACCTTGGTAGACGAATGTTGGCATTATTGCTGGAGGGCCTGTCGATTGAATAGGTTCGCTTAGAGGACTGCCAGTATCTAAGAAGGTAGCCAAGGCTTCGATCTGAGCATCCTGGTCAGAAGTAGGGGCAAATGGCGGAGGGTTCGCAGGTTTGGCGACGATACGCTTTCGCACCATGGCTGGTGATGTAGTGTCGAGAGGTAAACTGTTTGAGAGGTGACAGTGGGTAGAATGAGCTTTGGTTGATTAGCCACCAAGGTGATTTGTGTGAAGAAGGTGGTGGTCCGAAAAAAGTATGAAGGTTAATCAGGGAAGTTTGAGGGTGTGAAGTGTTGGAGGAAGTGAAAACAGGCACAAAGAGTTGTGATGTCGTATTGACAGCAGGTCAAGTGCTACTGTCGCGGTTGAGGTGTAGTGTGTAAGGCTGTCGAGGTGAGGTTACACGGCTGTAGTTTCGATCTCACTCAACATGCCCACGAGGCTCCAACTGTTTGTTCTCTTGAAGTATTTGACAATAGGTGTGTTGTATGCCGTCGAATATAGTCCGAAGTAAAAAGGGTCTACATACTTCAGTTACGGCTCGGTTCCTTTGTGTTGTTGTGAAAGGCGTTGAACGTTGAGGTTGAAGCAAGGGAGTGCAGTCTGGCCCGTGGTGAATTCCAACGTTTTACAGAACTCTCATATCTTAATCAGGTTCTGTAATCACGTGATGTCGATTTCAGTTTGTCAACATTCCCTTTTCCCTTTGAGAGACTCACCCAGAAGCAAACACGTCTAATGCGGCTACATGGCTGCCATTAAGCGCCCCTCCAGTAAGTCCTGCCAGGGAGGTATGGCTCAGTTGGTAAGTATCAACGCCTGGCAGTTGTCACGCGAGTGCGTGTGACTTGGAAACTCAGTTCGTCTGGTTTCGGGGTTCAAGTCCCAAGCAACTTGATTCTCTTTTGCCTTTTGTTTTTGTCTATAGCAGCTCTTAATATCCTTCTACTTAATACAAAAACAATATATCAACCTTGTTAATCACCTGCGATCAGCTGAATTCACGTGATTTGATAAAGTTGTAATATTTGCCAAGGCGGCCCTGCCTAAATGTTGTTCCGTAAAGCCCTATTGCCGTGCTAACACAAAAGTGGATAGCGCCAAAACTCTTGGCACCCACAATCCTCTGATTTGATCGCGACAGACTATTTTACCTGGATCTTCATCGACAATCGACAAGGCGTAGGATTATACTTCTTTGCGACCACCAGTCAACATTCAAAATGGCTCCTAACACCGTACGTTTATGTCCCGGAACTGCTTTGCTGTTGGCTAGGCTTCATCATCCTTCCTGGCCTCATGGCCTTCAAGGCACGATGTCGCTGCGGCGTGATACAGTAGGCTAAGACTATTTTTTATACAGAAATCCGCGAAGGGCAAGCAGGCCAAGATCACCAAGAAGTTCATCATCAACGCCTCCCAGCCGGCGTCTGACAAGATCTTCGATGTCTCTGCCTTCGAGAAGTTCCTCCAGGACAAGATCAAGGTTGACGGCCGTACCGGAAACCTCGGCGACACCATCCAGATCTCCCAGCAGGGTGAGGGCAAGATCGAGGTCATCGCCCACCAGGAGTTCTCCGGAAGATACCTCAAGTACCTGTGAGTATTTCTCTACTGGCTGTCGTAGCCACGGTCGAGCAACACATACTGATTCCGTTACAGTACCAAGAAGTTCCTCAAGAAGCAGCAGCTCCGTGACTGGCTCCGTGTCGTTTCCACCTCCAAGGGTGTTTACGAGCTCCGCTTCTTCAACGTCGTCAACGACGAGGCTGAGGATGATGAGGAGTAGATTTTCTGCTCTCCTTCGGACACACAATGCAGTGGAAGCAAGCTGCCTGGTAGTAGTTAATTCTAGCTAGCCAAATGCACTTCTACCGTTACATATCTTTCTCTTTGCAATGCCTGTCTGTGATATCCATGACCGAATGTCCATTGCGCTCTAATCCCATCAATTGGCCGATATTGCTCGCGGTGTCGTCTTGATAACCAGTGAGAAAATGCCGTATTATCCCTCTACACTTACCAATCGCCCAAGTGACATTGTCCCGGTCTTAACGATATTTAAACGCTTTTATATACTTCAGATCTGAGCGTCTATGAGCCATCTATAATTTTGAGATATGTGCCTTGCAGCAAATGTTCCATTGGAAAGGCTGACGGGGTTTGTAGAACCCTGAAGATCGCCCGCCGGCTAATAATCGATAGCGATTGAGCTCCGACATCCGAAATATCTCCATCAGTGACTCCCATATTGTATCACGAAATAAACCCGCCATAGTCTCCATTTACTGTACGTTAGCTGCCTGATCTATGGCGAAGAAGCTGTAACGGCCGTCCACTTATGGATTGGAGGACTAATTTGTCCAGTTATCGCCAACACTGCATAATCCAGATAACGCCAGCCACCCGGAGAGCTAGATGATGTGCGATTAGGTCGTCAAGTCGATGTCCGCAGAACCAGTGAGCCGGAATGGCCTGAAATTGCAGAGCGCAGGGGCGCCAGATAAAAGCAGTGCTTCGCCAAAACAGCAAAATTACAAGGGCTTCCTCGCTGGCGTCTTCTCTGGGATCACGAAGCTTGCAGGTAAGCTTCCCATGAAGAGCTAAACCGAGGACAAGACACTGACATCTCGCGCGCAGTCGGCCACCCCTTCGATACGATCAAAGTCCGCCTCCAAACCTCGAAGTCATCCCAGTTCAACGGGCCCCTACAATGCCTCATGCAAACGATCCGCAACGAAGGCGTCGTGGGCCTCTATAAGGGCGCCACGCCCCCATTGATAGGATGGATGTTCATGGACAGCGTCATGCTCGGCTCCCTCACATTCTACCGGAAATTCCTACACCAGAACGTGTTCACGCCTCCTCTTGCTGCCACACCCTCCTCCTTCGCGGCGCTCCCAATCGGACATGAACAGAAGCCCCATAAGCTCCCCGTTATCGGCCACGCTATCGCCGGTGTCATGGCTGGGTCAACTGTCAGCTTCATCGCTGCGCCGGTGGAACATATCAAAGCGCGTCTACAAGTCCAGTACTCCTCTAATAAGGCAGAGCGACTGTACAAAGGGCCCGTCGACGCGATCCAGAAGATCTACCGCTTCCACGGTGTCCCAGGTCTCTACCACGGTCTTACGGCCACAGTACTCTTCCGCAGCTTCTTCTTCTGCTGGTGGGGCAGCTACGATATCTTCACGAGAAAATTGACCGAGAATACGAGCCTGAGCACGCCAGCGATTAATTTCTGGGCCGGAGGGTTGAGCGCGCAGGTCTTTTGGTGCACGAGTTACCCAAGTGATGTGGTGAAGCAGCGCGTAATGACTGATCCGCTGGGAGGCGGATTGAATGATGGTGTGAGGAAGTTCCATAACTGGAGGAGCGCGGCGGTGGCAGTTTATAGAGAGAATGGGTGGAGGGGCTACTGGAGGGGGTTCCTGCCGTGCTTTCTGCGCGCGTTCCCGGCGAATGCGATGGCGCTGGTGGCTTTTGAGGGGGTTATGAGGGCTTTGAATTGAAGGGTCCGTCTATCTAGATGAATGGGGGACTTGGCGTCTGGAATTTAGAGGGAATAGAAATTTTGCGGATGCTCTGTCTATAAAGTTTACCTCTAATGTCCACTATTTGAAGCTTACATGCAATGTTAATAGTATCGCCAGCCTCTGGGCACATACCTGCGGCATAGTGGGGCATCAGCACATGAAGGATCATAAGCATGGGGAGAGCCAAATAACCTTGCTATAGCTAGCCAATAGGGCGATGAATCTTACCTCATGGGCGAGCAGCGAATAGTCGGAGCCGCCGGTTATACAACACGAAGAGCCAGCCGAGCCCAAACCGCGATCGTCACCCCGGTGAACGACGGGATGCCCTTTCCCTTTGTTCTCCACAGAAGGGGCAAACCGAAGTACTGAATTACATTGATGTGTAAAGTGCCCACTTTCTAGTTTGGGGTCGGCAATTTGTAGAATCCTAGTCGTTGGCATTTGAGCTGAATACCATTGCAGCCCTTCTGATGTCATCACGCTGATATACATATATATCCCCAACAACGTGGAAAGTGGAGCTATAATCATTGCTGTGAACTACAGCATCTCATATTAGAAGTAACGGCTTCTATTTGATTTTATCTACCTCGTCGCATCTGGAAATTGGATACCACAGAGCAGCAATGGACGCCACTGCTGGGAGAACCATTGCACCCCACCGTTCGTTCGCTGCCTACATCTTCTCCAGCCTCAGCTGATGAAAATACAGCTAATTTTACGATTGCCAGGGAAAATGCCGATGGCAAGCGAAGACCGCAGGCTATCGGCCATCGGGGCTACAAGGCAGCCTTCCCTGAGAACTCTATGGCCGCCTTCGAGGGTGTTGTCAAGGTCGGCGCCGATGCCATTGAAACCGATGTTCACTTAACAAAGGACGGTGTGGTGGTACTCTCGCATGTTTGTGTCCTTCTACCATGACTTTATGAGCTGGGCTAATGAACCTCTAGGACAAAACTCTTAAGCGCTGCTTTGGCCTGGACAAGAAGATTATTGACTGCGAGTGGTCGTACATTAAGACACTTCGTACAGTGGCCGAGCCGAAGCAGTCCATGCCTCGCCTCCTGGATCTACTAAACTATGTTACGAGCCCCGGGCTGCAGCATATATGGGTCCTTCTCGACCTCAAGGTAATTATCCCCTGGTATTTTGAAACCACCGTGTATTTAACAAGCTTGAACAGTTAGACAACGATTCAGACGACCTGATGCGGTTGATCAGCGAAACAATCGCCCAAGCAAAACCATCAACGCCGTGGAAAGAGAGGATAGTGCTCGGATGCTGGGCAGTAAGTAACTACCTGAATGCTTGATAATCCAGGTACTGACCACGTATAGACTGAGTTCTTGCCGCTTTGCTCAAAATACCTACCTGGATTTCCAATCACGCATATTGGTTTCAGCATATCATATGCGCGCCAATTTTTGAAGGTTCCCAATGTGTCGTTTAACATGCTCCAAAAGATCATGGTTGGGCCGTGGGGAGACCAGTTTTTGGCAGACTGCAAGGCATTAAACCGCCCTGTGTTCCTGTGGACTGTCAACGAAGAGAAGTGGATGAAGTGGAGTATAAGCAAGGGCGTTGATGGGGTCATAACAGATGATCCAAAGAAGTATTTGGGGGTGGTTGACGGTTACGATGAGAAGAAACCCCTGGACTGGGTGAGTCTAAGGGATTATCATAACCTGGCGTGGGTGAATTTATTGGTATCGGTATTCGGATTTATATTCAGGCTCAGGTTTGGATACTCCATCAAGCCGGAGGAGATGCGGATACACCCCGAGGAGGTCACAACGGGAAAGTCTTCCTCGTAGCTGGAGAGCATACAGCTACTTAGAATTTATGATTGTCTGTTTCACATGAAATATGCCGCCGAGGAACAGTGCTGGCAGCGCCGTCCTCGTAGTGCAATATAAGCACTACTTTATAGAACATATATTACGAATGAAATAATGTGATTCCACCACTCCATAAGGTTATATTTTGCGATTAAAATTGAGACCCAAAGCCTTTCAGAATGACGTTGAGAAACGCTTGGCTTGGGCCGCGATAATAAAGTGCCAATCGCGACACGAAGCGAAACAACCCCACGAAACGCGTCTCCCTAGCTTTTATTGACCTCACCCCCAACACCAGCACCACGAATGCGCCCAATGCTGTAATAATGCCTAGGTAAATATCCCGCTCACCTGAGTTCAACGACTGTGTTCCTGACTTTTGAATCTAGAGAAATCATTACAGTCCAGGCGGGCCAGTGCGGCAACAGCAGTATGTCCAGCGCTCTTACTTGGTCCCATAAATCGACTTGCTCCAGGCGGGCAATGCTCCTCAGGATACTAATGATATATAGTTGGAAGCCAGTTTTGGCAGCAACTTTGCCAGGAACATGGTATTAGCCAGGATGGAAACCTCGAGGACTTTGCGACGGAAGGCGGCGATCGCAAGGACGTCTTCTTCTACCAGTCCGACGACACACGATACATCCCCCGAGCGATCCTGATCGATTTAGAACCTCGAGTACGTCTAGGATTACGGCTATAGAGAATGCTACATACTGACACCCCTAGGTTATCGCCGGCATTCAATCTGGACCCTACAAAAACATATACAACCCCGAGAACTTCTTCGTTGGAAAGGACGGCGTCGGAGCTGCGAACAACTGGGGTGATGGATACCAAACCGGAGAGTCGGTGCACGAAGACATCATGGAAATGATTGACCGCGAGGCCGACGGAAGCGACTCGCTCGAGGGCTTCATGATGCTGCACTCAATCGCTGGTGGAACGGGCTCAGGTCTCGGATCGTTCCTGTTAGAAAGACTGAATGACCGGTTCCCAAAGAAGATCATACAGACGTACAGTGTTTTCCCGGATACAACGAACGCCGGAGATGTTGTTGTCCACCCATACAACAGCTTGTTGGCAATGAGGCGGCTTACGCAGAATGCGGACTCGGTGGTTGTCCTTGATAACGGAGCGCTCTCGAGGATTGCTGCGGATAGGCTTCACGTCCAGGAGCCCTCCTTCCAGCAGACCAACCAACTGGTATGCCCACGTAATTCTTATTTTTGTTGAAGGCATCAAAGTAATAACGTCAAACAGGTCTCCACAGTTATGTCCGCATCCACAACACCCCTACGATACCCAGGATACATGCACAACGACCTCGTCTCCATCATCGCCAGTCTAATCCCCACCCCCCGCTGCCACTTCCTGATGACCTCCTACACGCCATTCACCGGCACCTCTCTCGAAGCGGCCAAGACCGTCCGCAAAACCACCGTCCTTGACGTCATGCGCCGCCTCCTCCAGCCCAAGAACCGCATGGTCTCCACCAACCCCTCCAAGAAGTCCTGCTACATCTCCATCCTCAACGTCATCCAAGGCGAGGTCGACCCAACCGACGTGCACAAATCGCTCCTCCGCATCCGCGAGCGCCGCCTCGCGACCTTCATCCCCTGGGGCCCGGCATCCATCCAGGTCGCGCTGACGAAGCGGTCGCCGTACGTGGAGATGCAGCACCGAGTCAGCGGGCTGATGCTGGCGAACCACACGAGCATCGCGACGCTGTTTAAGCGGATTGTGAGGCAGTATGATGGGATGAGGAAGCGGAATGCGTTTATGGAGGGGTATAAGAAGACGGCGCCGTTTGCGGAGAACTTGGACGAGTTTGATGAGAGTAGGGAGGTCGTGACAGATTTGATTGCCGAGTATGAGGCTGCGGAGGATGCGGATTATATGGGTGAGGAGGCGCCGCAGAATGAGGCGGGGGATAAGAGGGTTTGAACTGTTGTAGTGGAATTTGTGAGGTGCATGATACAAATGTTGGGTGTGGGTATTTCTGATGGCGCCCAGGAAGGCGTTAGTGGAGTAGCGGTACGACTATGGTAGGAATGATACCAAAGTTTATGTTCTGTACTTTGTTTGTCTTGCCTCACGTATTAGTATGATCATTTCATGTGATTTGGGTGAATACAATCCATGCATTACATATATACAAAATTCTAAGCTCCCCACACCGCGGGGCTTCCCACAACTCATCGAAATGCTCTCGTGGACATTGCTGTGTGCTTTTTCTGGGCCGAATCCGAACCTCTTCCGTACCCCCCTTTGAAATTATAAAGGACGGCATACCAGAGACTTGTGAGACCAAACGCCCGTGTGCGCCATCTGTAGTAAGAGAACTTCTCTCAACACTTCTCATGACTTCCCACATCTCCTCAGTCCCACTTCCCCCTCCACCTCCCAGCAACCAACACACCAGCCTGCCTTCCAATCCCCCACCCCACATACGCGCCCACCGCAATAGTAATCGGCCACGTCTGCCACGGCCTATCCCAATCCAGCGGGATAGGAATCGCGCCGAGCCACGAACCAATCAGTGTGCCAGCCGCAGCGCCAAAGACCTCATCCAGCGGCGCGGTGAAGGACAGTATCTCAAGCCAGTGTCTGGATGACAGGGGGCGGGCGTACAAGAGCGGGAAGAGGGCGAGGAGGGCGATGTGGAGGGTCAGGAGGGTGGTGTGTGGGAGGTGCGTGGTCAGTGGTGCGCCGAGGAGGATGGCGGCTAGGAAGACGGGGGCGGCGAAAAGGATTGTGAGGATGAGGGAGAAAGCGAGGCGCTGTTGGGAGAGTTGTTAGTGTATGGACTTCAATATCTGGGGAGGTAGGGCACGTACGTAGGCAATATCAAGCGCAGGACCGGTCCACCCATTATCCTCCTCCTTCTTGGCTTGTATCCCCGGCGGTCCAGCCTTGGCTTTTGTCTTCTTCTTCTTCTTCTTCTTTGTAGCTGTGCCACCGAGGGCGGGTTGCAGGCAGATGGCGCAGTATGCGCTCTGGATGAGGGCGAGCCCCGCCGCGCCATAGGTGAGGGAGGTTATAGGGTCGGCGACGAGACAGGGCAGGCTGAAGAAGACGGTCGAGAGGAGGAGAGGGGTGTGGACGTGCGTATAAACGTGGGAGAGGGTCGTGTTGAGCTTGTAGATCGCTGTTGTTGGTGGAAGGGAGGTTGAGGTTGGGGCGGGCGTCGCGGGGGCTGCTGGGGATGGTGGGGGTTTCGCAACGGCGGTGGGGGGTGCTGTTGAAGGCATTGCGGAAGGCGATTGCCTGGCAGGGCAGCTTTTATGAGGGATGCCGGATGATGGTGTTCCTGGAGGAGGCTCGTCGTTGCGTCAAGGGGTATCCGCGACTACGTTGTTACGGGTTGAAGCGAGGCGCGCGACTAGCAGGGGTAGGTCCACCGTGGGCCTCGACATCATCATTCGATATCAGATTATTGCCTCACCACATTTCGCATTTCAACCATTCTAAATCTCATATTTTGGGCATTATTTATATAGTTTCATCAGCCAGTCTCATCTAGCTATTTTTAGCTATCTCAAGCCTTTGGCACCAGGCCCCTCAAGGACAGATCATATACCACATCCTCAATCTTCTTGACCTGATATTTAATGCTATCACTCCTCCGCCTCAGAGAGTCATTCTTGAGATTCAGCAGCTGGAAGCCGGCAAACAAGTCTTTGACAAACTTGCTGATCGCAAGCGGGCGTGCGAAGTCGCCCAGCGTGACGGAGTTGGTCGCAAGGCGCGCGAGCTCCTCAATCAAGCTGATAAGGGAGTGGAGGTACTCCTCAATGGTGATATGGAAGGAGTCGTCGACCTTGAGGTTTACGGGGACTAGAGGCAATTAGCATAAGCTGTAGTTATCAAGTAAATTTTAGCATAGACGACGGTATGCCTGGGTGAACTCACCACCGAGAACGTCGCCTACTTCATCGATTGTGAGGAGCCTGCCTGCTTCGGCCGGTTTGGATTTGGTCGCCATGCCACCCAACCATCCACACAGGAGTATTGCAAAGATAACATTCTGAATATCCTTCGTCCACATGCCATTATACCTATTGCCCCGTCAGCTCCGTCCGGCCTGAACATGTCGCACCACGTGATAATACATACTTGTAGTACGGGAATTTACTGGCCACCTCAGATAGCTCCCTCACGCTTTCAACTTCACTCCTGATGGCTGCCTCAGCGGCTTCGATCACTGGTTGCACTGCAAGTTATCAGTCATTTGAATCTCAGGCTGGGAACAGAACAAACTCACGCTGAGCTGGAGGAGTTGAATGGGCGCGAGAGAGGATGGAGTGGACAGAGCGGCCCTGTCTCTCAAGCTTCTGGAGGATGGTCTTGATCTGTTCACGCACTTTGGCGTCCGCATCAATGGAGGTCTGCAGGTCTTCGAAGATCTGGGCGTCCATGAACGCGTCCTTGACTGGATCGGACATGGTGGGTGTTAAGTTGGACTGGTAAGGTAGGGTGGACAGAGATTTCTGAATGGCATCCGTTATAAACAGATGATAATCAGAATAGTTCCAAATAAATTATTGAAGGCGACCGATTCTATGGAGAATATTATAATTTTCAATCCAGCATCTTCACAGACTCAAACCGCCAGATATTCATCACGTGATTATTTCGACAGTTATCGGCTAATCCTCGTCGAGTATAAGATTGATATCTTGTCCGATGTTCGCTATGTGCTGTTCACAGCATTCAATATGGCTCTAGCCTAAACACTCCGTCCTCATATAGGGATATTACTTGCATATGCTTCCATGCAGGGGGTGCAAATACGGACACCTGCGAACAGACCACGAGCCGAAAACTTCCCCTCCTGTAAGTAGGCTGCGCACTACTCGCTCAATACTCGGCTCACTCGCTCAGTGGGTTACTCAGCTGGGTGAGTAGCTGAACCTTTTACTCGACTCGGTGAGTGAGGTCAATACTCAGTTACTCTGTAAAAACCCGGTGAGTACTCGGCTATCACGTGTAAGATTTATGCATCATGTGAACAGTCCCTCATACGATTAATACTGTTTTATGGTTAAGTTAAAGTATTACATCTATTAGCATCACTCTCGCCATCTCTAGTAAGCTGTGAGAACGAATCATGTATATTCCTCTATCTAAGTACCATGATTATCAGAAGATTATTAGAACGCTATTATCTATTATATATGCTTAAGAACATCCCTCCACCTTGCTTGATGAGGCCGGCCAGACCTACTAATACCTAAAGTATTTATAGGGTCTTGATGAGGATCCTCGACTGAGCGGAACGAGCTATGAGTCAAGATAACTGTGTATAGAACTTGTTCATAAAATGTCTCTTGTGTGAGAATATGATCTTATTATAGGTATTAACCTACATAATTCTGGTAATAATCTGGTAATCCTTACTTGTTGAGGTTGCATTTGATTGATTCGCATTTGATAGAGACTATCCTTCCAATCTGTGACTTCCTTTTGCAAATGTCTGATGCAAGATGTGTTGCCATAGACTTTGGGCCAGCAGACTTGATTGCAGGATGCGTAAGGGCCTTCGAACAATAAGTACAAATAACACATGGTTCTCCAGAAAGCCGGTCTGCTCCTTGGTGATAACTTCTCCAGTATTGAGAACTCCAGTTGGTTGAATCCCATGCAATCTTCATAAGGAGTTTTGTAGTATGATCTGAGTGTTGTTCATACCATCGTGATAGCTTCCACCACTCAATGAATATATCGTGTGTATCCTTAGTCCATTTGACGAATTGGTTTAACTTGCCAATATATTCAAGGCCTGCAGGGACTTTGTAAGGATGCCTGTCCCTCAGTGATGGAAAGGATCTGAGTCGGGCAGGTTACGGTCACATGATAAGAGTTAAGGCAGGTTAGCTGAGTCGGACCCGTTTCGGGTACTTAAGGAGATTGACCCAACGGGGGTTCCTCTCTTCATCTTTTTTGTATCCTTCGTAGTAGACCTATAGGATAGCATCCGTTTAGCCTCTGACTCGCACTCTCATATGCTATTACTGTGAGCTGGGTGCCCTGTGTCCTTACAGACTTGATTTAATGAGGATAGTCGTTGAGAAGACGGAAAAGAGTCTGAGAATACTGTCAGAATCAAACAACTCTGAGTATTGAGATGGCATTTGGCAAATTGCTCGATTATCAGAAGGTTACCAGAAGTCTGGCTACGATGAAGTACTTAAATACCTGGTTTTCCAACGCGAAAGGTACTCCAGCGCTATAACTTTAGCAACTCAAGTTCTCCTCTACTCTAGCTCCAGGAACAACATATCCTGTGCAGCTGATACCTTAGCCCACTTTTCCTTATCAAACTTCTTAGAGTAGACAAGTAAGAACGCCTCTTTGAAGCTAGAACTATGAGTGGATATTTGCAACCATCCATTGTCGACAAGATTGTAAGACTTTGGGTACCACTGCACAGGTCCTGGTAATTAGGCCCACTTTCCAAACTGCCTGCTCGTACAAACAGAAATATTTATGTGGTGGGATAACCTCATGAAAAGTGCTATAATAAACAATTAGTATTGCCAGAAGATTGCTAGGATGATCAGAGACGTACCCTTCCTCTACATCAATCCACGGCATATACTCAAAGAGACGCTCAGGCTTCTTTCTCAGCTTTCCAGCCTTTCTCGTATATGAGTGGATACAGCTATCCCAGAAATGTTGCCACTTGCGGAAATTGGACTCTTCATGGGCCTATCAACTATTAGTATCGCCAGAAGATTACCAGATTATGAGGTAGCATACATCAATGTGCGCTTGAGTTAAGAGAGCCTGGGTGCTAGTGATCTCTTCATCGGAAAGCTCATCTGGTAGAACAGCCTCGTCATTTAAAATATCTCGCGCTGTAACATAAGCTCCAACTCCAAATCGTCTTCAACCTCAGTATCCTCCCATTCGCTGTTATGATTGTCATCGATTGGAATACTTGAGATACCCTCAAATGCAGCAAGCTCAGACAGAAGTTGTTTGGGCGGAGTAGATGGTGGGGCTTGTGGAGAAGAAGAGGCGCTAATATTCTTGACTTTCTGATTCGCAATGCAAGATGCATGGGTACCCTTCTCAGTCCTGTTTATAGTTAGATTGAGGCTACCAGAGATTACCAGTAGGAACTTACCGAACACGAATACGCTCAACCTTCAATTCATTCTGTAGACATGTCTTGTCTTCAGTAGAGGCAGCGATATACTTTGCAGACTTATATAACTTCTTTAAGTAGTAGCTCAGATCAGCATGGTCAGCCTTGAGTGCTAAGTGAACAGCCTTCTCATATTCAGTAAGGTTGGAGACGCGGTGGTGAGCTTTGATAGTATTCACATTAGTGGAGAGTTCTTCAGGTGCCTTGCGTTTCGCCATACTAAACACGTGATTAGCAGAAGATCGCCAGAAGTTCTGGCTATAGAATCAAGATAATAAACTTACTTGAAGTCCTAGTGAAGAGGTGAAGGCGCAAAAGGGAAGAAGAATGTGTAGATTGGAGGGAGTAACCAAGGAAGGTGGTTCTAAGGTCGTGGTTATTTTAAAGTTGCAAATAAAAATATTCGTGAAGGAATATTCACCTACAAAGAATTATTGTTCCAAAAGCAACACCACAACATGCACCTTCATATAAAACACATACCTTTCAACCTCTACCTCTTTTCTATACTCTTCTTCTGCAATATTCTTCCTACAAACTCACTGTAAGTACACATATCTTTTGATCTACTTCTTTGTCTTGTGTTTACTTCACTAACTCACCTTGATATTAGCAAATGGCTCGTACCAAGCAAACTGCTAGGAGATCAACTAGTGGCACAGCACCAAGGATGCCACTTGGATTACGAGCTGGCTCTGGGCTTGGTGGAAAGGGAAAGGAAAAGGCCGTGGGCACAGCAAGAAAAGCTCCAGTTCGCTCATCTCAAGCTAGCAACAATCATGCTCAGAAGGCCACGCGCCGCGCAAAGTCTGGTAAGAGGATTACCAGAGGATTACCAGAGGATTACCAGAACTCTCTAATAAACATATAGGCACCAAGGCTCTCCGCGATATCAGAAGACAGCAACTCAATACTAGCCTAATTATCCCAAAGCTCCCATTCCAACGTCTTGTTAGGGAAATTGCAGAAGACTTCAAGTCCAATCTTCGCTTCCAGCAATCTGCTATCCTAGCTCTTCAGGAAGCTGCTGAATGCTTCCTCATTCGAGAATTTGAGAGTATGATGTTTAAACATAGTGACAGGGACATACTAACAGTTATAGTGATAAACCTTCTCGCTATTTATGCGAAGAGAGTGACAATTCAGGCAAAGGATATGATATTGGTTCGGCGTTTGCGGGATATGATGTTTTAATCATGGAGCTGTGGGCTTAATCGATGGAAATGTGTCTCACCCAGGAATTGAGTTCTGGCAACCTTCTGGTAACCTGGTACCTAAAGGCCAAAGGTTATAGTGTGGAATAGGACATCAACAATATGGGAATGGAGTTATGGAGTTATGGAGTTATGGCGTCTTGATCAATGAAGTCGCGCCCCGTTTTTAACATAAGTAATGGCTAATCAAACACGTGATATAACTGAGTTGCCAAGACCCATACTAGGTACTCAGCAAGTGAGTAATCCTCATTCAACAATACTCGGGACATGAGTGAGTAACTCAGCTGGGTGAGTAAAAATTCTACTACTCGACTCGTGAGTACCCAGTGCGCAGCCTACCTGTAAGCCAGCCTGTAAGCCAGCCAATGGATGCACCGCCGAGCCGTGTCAAAGCCAAGATGCGGGAACGCATCGATACATTGGCAATATGGGAATCCTTATTTCCTAGAAAGGGCAGTAACAGGATGTTTTTTTTTTGCAAACATAGTGGTACCGGTATCTGGACTTAATCTGATCTCACGAAATTATAACCATGCTACAGGACCTATACCACAGAAGTAACGGGACTCTCTTGGTCCCATGGAAAAGAATTTAGGCTTCTACTCAGTAGTTTGCTCTTATGCTTAATGTAACGCCAGTGTGCAGAGGAATGGGGGTACGAGCTTTTAGCCTGCTTTTCTTATAAAAACGGCACTACTGTATGTAGGTGGCCCCCAACCAGGATACTTCATTTGAGCCATGGCCGGTCCTTTCCCATTATTTTGGCTTGGTATCTTGGATCCTCGTATGAAGGCTCTCAGCCCGCAATGTCGGCGGCGCGTGTGACGAGCGCAATACGAGGGAGGGGTATGGTCCTCGGGGGCTTGGCTAAGATATAAGAGTCTTGCTTGTTCTCATTTCTCGTCCTATTTGTTTGTTGACCCAAAGTGATATCAGATCTTCAAGATTACTACGCAGCCACGACTTCAGATTCTCCATCCAAGGCAATGGCGCTATCACGTCTCAGCCTCTCCTCAGCACTTTGCCTTGCCATAGCGTGAGTGCTCCTCTCAAATCAAGATTAAACAGTCATCTAACAAAACATCCCTCCTCACAGCCTCCTCCTCACCCCCATCACCGCTCTAAACCCCCCAGTCACAGTCTACACAACCGTAACCCAATGCCCAACAACCACACACCCCACCGCCACAGCTTCCACCGCGGGACCCCCCACCAAATGCCTCACAATAACCAGCACCACCACCCCCGCAACCTGCAACCCCCACCAATCGTGTCCCATAATCGCCTGTCCCGCAATCGCCATCCAGGAGACCCAACCCTGTGGCTGTCCATCTATAGTTCCCACCGTCTATGAGGCCACTGGCTGCTGTCCAGGGTGTATCATACCTACAGCAGTAGCTATGGCAACGGGCTGTCCGACTACGCCTCCGCCTCCACCGTGCGCGGTCATCACGTCGACGGTGCCGCCGGCTTGTCCGAGCATTTCGGGGTGCATGGTACCGGATTGTGTTTATCTTGAGACGCTGACGATGGGGTGTGATTGCTCGGGGGTGTCGACGGTAACGGAGTGTGATGGGAAGTGTCCGGGGTGTTGGACGGAGTATCAGACGCTGCATGTGTCGTGTCCTACTAGGCCGGCCCTGTGAATGGGTGCGGTGTATTGAAGGGGCGGTTGGAGGAGGGATAATATCTGGTGTTAGCCAACTTAGCAAGCTGCTTGTGATTATGGAGGATTTTTGCTTTGAAGCCATAACTTGCATTTGTGAACATGCGGTATATAATTTCTAGATGTGAATATTTAAGTTTAACCAACTTCATATCCTGCCAACTTTTTTTATTTTTATTTCTCTCTCTCCTGCGAATACTGGTCAAAAATCCTCAACGCCACAGCCTCGCCACTCATATACGCTCCCGCAGCCGTCCCCAGCTCCTCAAACGGCGCAGTATGCTCCCCAGCAAACCACAATCTCCTCTCGGGGACCCCATGTCTAATTGCCTTGACATCCTCATCGGCGTCCTTGATCCCCACCTGGAAATTACAGTAGCTTCCATACCCAGCCAGTTCATCCAGCTGCCACTCGGTGCTCAGAATCGCCTTGGGCTTGCAATTCTCGTCGTCGGCCGAGAAGTTGGGGAGCAGCGAATAGTAGGGGAGAAAAAAGGCGTCTAGTAGAGCATAGTGCTCCTCCGTGGACCTTTCGTGCGCAAGTGTGACGATGTGTTTTGAACAGTCGCCATAGAGGTAGAAGAGTAGTGTCGGGCGCCGGTTTTCGGGCGAGAAAGCAGCGAGGTTCCAGATTTCTTGTGGCCAGCACTTGCGGTTCGTCTCTGGTGCGTATTTGGGTGAGAGCCAGTTGGTGTAGCTCGCGAAGTTATCTTCCTGGTTTACAGTCCAGAATGCGGAAGGAAATGTAATGTACACCTGCAAATATGTCAGTGAGTGAGAAGACGAATGGAAGGCGTGCAAACCTTTTCGAGGTGACCAATGGAAATATTGTCCATTGCATCACTTATCCTCTGCGGCAAGCGTGGATAAAAGCCTCTCTCTTTGACGCCCTTCAGGCATCCAAGTGGTACAGTCACGATAATCTCATCAAACTGGAGAACATCCCCCTTCGTGGTCACCACCTTTGTCTCGCCAGAGAATCGGTCCGTCGGCGTTACAACTTTCATTACCCTCGCTCCAAGCCGAAGATCTGCCTTCTCCCGGGGCAACTTGGCTATCCTGTCCAAGATGGCCTCGTATGTCGTTTCAATGAACGTCTCATCTGAAAGAGTCAGGCACCGCCAACTCGAAGAGACCGTATGACTTACCTCCGCTACAACACTGTTCCATCCAAGAAAACCGCAGACTCTGCTTCGTGACAGGGTGGCCGACATAGGCACCCCACATTTCACTCATGCTCAATATGAGCTTCTGGTCCTCGAGTCGGTCTGGAAGGTTCTCCTTGACATTAGATTCAATGAAGTCGTACAGACTTGCGGATTCTGGTATCGATTTCCCATTCTTCCCGCTGTATGCAAACGCTTCTTCGATAATCTCCCATAGCAATGTTGAGAGTTCAGCGGACTTCTCGGCTGGAAGAAGGTCCCCATCAGACGTGAAGATGTTTTGCTTGTTGTTCCAGTGGTGTAGGGGCGTGTTTGTTTCTATTGCCAGATCACGGATTGGGTGTTTGTCACCAGTGGCGTGCTATAAAATCCGCTGTTAGACTTGTACGACGGGAGTAGAAAGGAAGCAGCTTGCAATCCAATTTGGTCCACTTGAAAATCGTTAGCTCTTTGTCAATCAGCGATTTATAAGTGCCACATACATATCCACAGTATATCCCAGTTTATCACTCTGGCATATCTGCAAGCATCGTCAGCCCTTGCTACAAGAACACCTGGCCATCAGTGCATAAACCTACTCTCCCACCAATCCGATCCCTCGCCTCTAGTATCGTCACCTTAAAGCCCTTTTGGAGCAGTACATCCGCAGCTCGTAGCCCAGATATACCGGCACCAATAACGCAGATATGAGGGGGATTACGGATATCACCAAGTGTCGACGGCTTCTCCTCTTGGTCACTCATATCGGCTATTCTTCACGTTATGATGAGTTGTAGTAATGTGCAAGGATTCAGGTATTATACGAGAGTGATAAAGCTCAGAGGGGTGGGCGGGCATGAGGGCTAAGCGCTAGCCCTCAGGCGGGCGAAGCCCAACACATGGAGCTGCAAGGCAGATTGCAAGGTTCAGATATATATGCAGCTAATCAATACGCCTCACAATTGCCTCACGGTCGTCCGTAATCGTTTTTTCCGTTAATGGCAGATGGTTTGGAAGGAGATCATTCTGATCATGATGCGTGCATTTATGTCAAACTAATAAATATGGAGATCTACACGGGAACGGCCTCGTAGCTTATTCCAACTTCCTCCCGCTCTTCCCTTTTACCAACGCGCCCTTTCCAAAGTAAATTGCAAACTCCTAACAGTACCGTCTATATCCCTTAAAACCCCTCAACTCCATAATAAACTCTATCTCGCTGCCCAAAAAATGTCTTTAAATCATACCTCCACACTTCATCTGTCAGTATTTCAAGCGCTTATTAAAAGCGAGCCATTTACCTTCGAGGTTTATCACTATCTGCTTCCCGCACTTTCAAATCCCTCGCAGCTCTCTCCTCTTCCAGCATAATCACAACATTTGCATGACCTCTATTTGTCGCGAGGCTCTCCGGCGTGTCTCCGTCTACATCCATATTATTCAGATCCGCACCACGATCGAGCAATAGGCGGCAGATTTCAACATGACCACCGTACCCACACATACTCAATGCGGACAACTGCATCAAATCAGTAAAATATTCCCAGCATGAGAAGAAATATAACCTACACCCCATCGATCCCTAGCATTTACATTCGCGCCGGCGCTGATCAGCTTGGCCACTTTGGAAATATCTCCATCGCTAGCCGCCTCAATAATCGCCGTCTCCTTCTTGAACATCTTAAACAGCACAGAAGACACACTCGAAGCCCTCCTAACCCTGAGGTCAGTTCTAATATACGCCGTAGAGCTGTCAGGGTTGATCCGCGAAGGATGCCGCGACAATTCCGCCGCGAACTCCTCATTCGCAACAGTGATAGAAGGCAGACTCGGCGCAGTTGACGTGCCGCCAATAGACGCCTCACCAATGGAAATCGAACCAGCATACCCCGAGTCAAAAGAACCAGCTACCGCAGACCGTCGAGAGCTGTTATCCATTTCCTCGAGCATGCCGTTTGAAATTGCTGCCTTCAGCCAGTTGCTGATGTACATGTGGTGTTCTTCCACGACCGAGGCGGATATACCTACGTCCTCCAGCTCGCGGCGCAGGAGGAGCCATACATCCTCAGTGTCGATGGATTCCGTGACGCCCGAGGATGTAACAACGGATCCCTCGCGAAGACCGGCCCGGACTTCTTCGATGAATTTATTGAGTCGTTTTTCGATCCTCGCGGTTGAAGAACTGTCCCACAGCGTTAACTAAGCCCATCCCCATCATAGATTATGAGAGAAACTTACTTTGCCAGACTGCTATTAAACGCAGTAAGCAGACTAGTATTCGAGATAATCCTCGATCTCACATCCGCCAACTCCTCCAACCCCCACCTCACACGATCCCACGACCGCTGCGCCTGCGTCCCCAGACTCTTGTAGTTATTCAGCAAGCTCTCCAGGTCGGCAAGTACCTCCTTACACCCATCGATCAGAATCGTGAGTCTTGCATCCCGCGACGGGCTGAGGCCTTCGGTCTCACTAACGTACTCCTCGGTCTCCTTGATGACGACGTGCAGCGACGCGACTTCGCTGGATATGCGGTTGAATTCCGCCGACGACTCTTTGCAGTTCTTGTACAGCTTCCAGGTCAGGGTGCCGAGGAGGATGATATCCCCGATGCCAACGCCGAAGCTCATCGTTGTATGGTGATAAAGATGCGATGATTCAGTCGGTCGGGAACACGTCGAAGAGAGACACGATTATATAGAGATTCCCCATAATCCCAATGTCCGAGTCATTTAGACTCTGGTACAATCCTGTAGCTTTCGGGAGAGAGACCCCAGAGACCCCAGAGACCCCCACACGGGTTCCTAGACGCCTTGTCGCCTTTGAGGGGGTGCACGGCGCCTCCACCACGGCACGTACCTTGTTCACAACCATGCACGCAAGAATGCAGCGCGATTGACCTGTTGGAAGTTGACGGCCAAGATATTCGCTTGAGTAATTATACTGTTCCCAGTTCCCCCGTGCCTGTCACGAGAAGCTTCGGCACCACGTGAATGACGGGGAACGTGGGCGCGTATCACTCGAGTACTCCGCCACAGCGCCTCTATTAACTTCAATCTCGCAATCTTTCACTTCACTTCAAATAATCCATGGACCCCACGAACACTCAAATCAGCCCTCAGTCTTCCTCGCGACATCGCCACAGGCGATGCCCCAATGAAAACAGAGGCCCAGTGTGATACCAGAGACACCCACCCCATCCCAGGACCTTGGGAGCAAGCCCCCAGCGCGTCCCAGGATCGCGTTTTTTTTAAAAGTTGGTTTTAATCGTGAGATTGTTGTCTCCAGTACGGAGAATTTCAGTCGATTAAACTGAAAAGAACAGATACTACACTTGATCTAAGCCACTATGGCAAAGGAAGCTGGAGAGGAAAGGACAAAGGAGGGATGTGAGAATGGTGGGTGAGGGTTTTATAGGTGAGTGGGGGAAGAGTTTGGCAGGTACAGTGAATTGAATTCACTACACCGAAGTAGACACCTCGCTATGAGTTAGAAACAAATAGCTTCAATATACAAACAACACAGGCCAAAAAACCCCACATCCAAAAATGCCTCCCAAAAAATGTCAATATCCAATAAACACGATGCTCATACTGCTGCCGATCCGCCCAGCATCTGCGCCCCAAACAACGGCCTTTTCCTGAGAAACAAAACAACGGCCTTCCATCCTAATAAACAGCCTTAACATCCCACCCCACCTTAATAATCCTCACCACAATAAACGCCGCCAGCCCCCCGCCATAACACACCCCCGTAAACGTCATCAAGCCCCAATACTCGCCGTGGTTCGCCTTGACGATCTCGCCGGCGATAGGGATCCCCGTCAGGCACCCGATACTCACGATGGTGTAGCAGGTGGCGAAGTAGCGGCCCAGGTTCTCGGTGCGGCACAGCTTCCCGATACACACGGATGTCAATCCGATGTTCGACCCGGACGCGAAGCCGAAGAAGAGGCAGAAGATGACCAACCCCGGCATCGTCGTCCCAGCGGGTAACCACACGCCGAGCACCATAACGACGGAGAGGATGGTAGTAAGAATCATCGTGTTGAACGCTCCAATCTTATCCGCATAAAACCCCGGCAGCCACCGTCCAAAAACCGACCCAATATTCAGTATAATAAGGCACTGATACGAGAAGTCCTCGCTAAACCCCGCGTGCAGCGCATAACTACTAATATACGTCAGCGGCACAAACAGCGCCCACTCGAGCAAATACACCGCGGCGACCGTGAGCGCGAACACGCCGTCGCGGAAGATGCCTAGGTCCGGTTTGGCGCTGCTGTTGTGCTCCGGGGGGAGCCGGCCGCGGACGAGGACGCAGCCGATGGTCAGCAGGAAGATGGAGAGGAAGCCGAGGCAGCGGGTTGCCCAGGCCCAGCCGAGTTGAGGGATGAGGTATTGCAGCATGAGGGGGTAGAAGATGCCGCCGAGGGCGCCGCCGGTGGCGCCGATGCCGGTGGCGAAGCCGCGGCGGGCTTTGAACCAGTGCCCGATTGCGGCGAGGGAGGGGGAGAAGATGAGGGAGGTGGAGGCGCCGCCGAGGATGCCGAAGACGAGCATGAAGTGCCAGTATGCTGTGAGGAGTTAGTATGGTGCTCTAGAACTCCAAACCTGGCAGTTGGGAGAAAAAGGAAGTGGAGGAAAAGGGGACATACTCTCGCAAACACTCAACAGCATCAAACTCGTCACCACCCCCGCCGACCCCGCAAGCATCAACCACCTCGCCCCATGCTTATCAAAGATCGGCCCAACAATGACCCCAAACCCAAACGCGAGACACGCATACATGCTAAAAATCCACCCAATCTCCCCCTCACTATACTCCCTCAACTGGTTCCTCGAGATATACGCCTGGAACGAACCCAGCGTATTCATCACCCCCAACGCAGCGAGCAGCGAGCACAGAGACCCGAAGACGACGAGCCATGCCTGCAAGCCGCCCTCGGGGTAGAAATTCTCGTCTTCGCGGAGGGTGAGGGCGTGGGTGCTTTGGGAGGGGGAGGGGATGACGGCGGCGGTACTGAGGACGCCCTTTTCGGGGTCGTGGAAGGAGAGCTTGTCGCCGTCGCGGGAGATGCGGGAGATGCGGCTGCGTGTTTTGGAGGGGACGATGTGCAGCCCTATTGCGTCTGAGGAGTCTGAGGAGTTGCCATTGTGGGAAGTGGTGATGCCCTCCGTTACGGCGGGCTCGTGGTCGGTTCGTAGGACTTTTGCGTCCACGGGCGTGTTGCCGTGGCTCCTGGTGTCTTTCTTCTCACCACCCATCATGTAGAATGCACTCTCAGAAGCGCTTCTTGTTGAAAACAAAAAGTATAGAAATCCCTTGGCACGGTATAAAAGCCAAGCCCTTTAAAAAGAGAATTCACCTCTCCCAAAATAAAACGAGCGTATTCCAAAAATAAACAAAGTTAATACTTTCTTCCTTTCTTCCTTTCTTCCTTTCTTCCTTTCTTCCTTTCTTCCTTTCTTTCTTCCTTTCTTTCGTTCTTTCGTTCTTTCTTCCTTTCTTCCTTTCTTTCTTTCTTTCTTTCTTTCTTCCTTTCTTCCCTTCTTCCTTTCTTCCCTTCTCCCTTTCTTTCTTTGTTTATTCCCAAAACCCGCGGCGGCGGCGTCCTCCGACCCTATATACCCGGACCCCTCCCCTCGCTCTCCACCGCCGACACTACCAGAGATTTCTCTTACTTCATCGCCAGCGTGCCCCGCTCTAGCGCGAATGCGCCCTTTGGCGCACGCTAACAACATGGGTTTTTTGTGGTGCTTTGCTTTGGGGGGGGCTAGGGGGACGCTAGGGTGCGGATAGGTGCCGCACTCCGGTGGAGGGATGGGGGGGAGGTAGTCGAGGTGTGGAGGAAGGGGAATCGCGGGTTGGGGAATGGGATGGGATTGAATATTTCCAAGCCCAGTCCAAGCGCTGCCGAAAAAGTGTGCCGCATCTGGCAATTTGTTAACCTTTTCGCCTTGGCTTGGTCATGACTCTTCCCACCCACCCGCCACCATTTCTTCCCTGTTCCCTTTCTTCCAACTTGCATTATGAAAACTGTAGATTCTTATCTTCACCTTCATACGCCACTACGTCTCACACCAACAAGTCAAAATAAGGCTTGGATGATGGCATGAAATAGCTAGTCTACCTAACCTCTCAAATCTAACCAACAACGCACCAAAAAATCAGTACGCCGCGAAAATGCCCCCTATCACCCCCCCCCCCCAAAAAAAAACCCAAAAGACCAAACATAAAAGAAACCAGAAAATTAACACCCCTTCCCCAAAAAGCGCCGACTCATCGCTCCCTACACCCGCTTTCCCAACAAAACCAGCAGCAAAAACGGGACCCAAGCTGGTCCCGCGAATCAAAAAAAAAAAAAAAGTTTATATACACAAAGTACTGCGCCTGGTTTCCTTGAAATGCGTTTGTGAATTCGTCTTCTCGCTTTCGGAATGCTTTTTCTAAGCTGAGCCGATGGGACTGTTATGTCTATATGCCCTTGATCACAGTGGTGCGCTCCGAGTTCAGCTGCGCTGCGTTGCGGTCGTGAGATTCCTTCTTGCACTTTAAAAAGGTGTCAGCCCAAGCTCTTCAAGATCAAGGCCTACAAGCCACCACTGCCGCTCCGCCGACGAGCCGTCGCCGCACAACTCCCCCAACGGAGAGAAGTCGGCAGACGGACTCGTCGCCATCGCTACAGCAGCAGCCACGCCACACCCAGAGTCGCTAGGGGAACAACTTACGTCTTCCAGCCCCGTGCACTTGTGGTCCTCCAAGAGGCGGTGCTTCCCGCAGAAATGCCCATTGCAGAACCCGCAATCCCCCACGATGCGCTGCGCGACCTCCCTACACTCCTTGTGCGTGCAGCGGATCTTCTTGGGCGGCATCCCCCCACGCATCGGCACGACGAGGTGGAGTGTCGATTCGGGCTTGATGCCGTGGGCGGTGAGGGGGGCGGTGGAGGAGGGCAGGTGTTTGCCGGCGTGGACGAGGTTGAGGGATGTGGTGGGGAGGGAGGTGCGGAGGGAGAGGAGCGTCTTGATGTGGGAGAGGGAGATGTCGACGGGGACGGTGAGGGGGATGACTGGGGGGGGGGCGGGTTAGCGGGTGGGTTTGGAGATTGGGGGGGGGGAGGGAGGGCTTACTGTCGCCGCTGAGGTTCTTGATGAAGATCTGCATTGTCTCCGAGGGCTCGGGCGAGGCGGAGCTGGAGCGCGAGAGGGAGACCATGTTGTCGGCTGGGGAGAGTGGTGAGCGGGAGTTTGTTGGTGGTTGTGGGCTGGTTTGTGGTGGTTTTGGGTTTTGGGTGTGGTTGCCGACGTTTGTGGGCTTGTTATTGGGATGGGATGGGCTGGAGAGTTCGAGTTGTGAGGACCGACGTTCGTTCTCCAACAAGGGGAGCTGAGGTGGCGAGATTTGGGGGTGTGACGAGGTGTGTTGCTCGTTATGCTTCGTTTATGAGGTGGCGACGATGGTATCGATCATGAAGTTGGTTTTTTGAAGACGACGAGGAGTCGAGATCAGGAATCAGATAAGTTTTTAGATGTTGGGGAGGCGAATGGGGGGGGGGTTTATGAAAGAGAAAGATGGGAAGGGGAGGGAAGGGGAGGGAAGGGGAGGGGATGATTGATATAGGAGACGGTTGGGGAAGTGGATCGCCGAGGACATTGGCTGGGGTGGTGGTGGTACTTGGTAGTGGTAGGGAGTTGTATGGAGTGTAGTATGGTATGTAGTAGTGGTGATAAGTACCGTTGATGGTACCAGGAAGGTTCTAGTAGAGTGGGTGGCAGTTCAAGTACCGGAACTGCCACCCACTCCTCTACCATCTACCACCAAAACTCTACTACCATCATCCATGTCACGTGGTGGTTTCCATTCTTGCTGTCATGATATCGAGTTTATTTACTCGGCCTCAACCCTGCTCAACATCTGAAAATATACTCAGTAACACTACTAGGCCTTCCAAGACAAATTTCATTTTGGTCGGTTGGGCACGTGCTTTGGCCACTCTGAGCGTTGGTGATGTAATCAACAAAACCACTAAGTTAAGTTAAAACTTAGTTAGTTAACTTGGAGACCAGTTTTCGCTGCATTTGGCTGGCTGTGGTTGGTGCCTGAGTTGCTCTTTCTCCTCCGTAGTGTCTTGCTCCTTCCCACTGCCTGACCAGCCCGCGTCCGACGATATTTAATTTTCCCTCACTTTCTTCTTCTTTCTTTACATCACACTTACATTTTCCGACGCGACAAGGGCATTCTAATTCATCGGCTTCCCAGAATCGCAACAACCGATGTCAATAAAGTGCTGGACTAGAAACTAATAGCGCCTCATCTGGATCATCATCACGCCAACGGCCATCTGTGCGTGACAACCCCCATCTCGACCCTGCCGTTTTGTTTACACTTGCGACATCGGCAATAATACGACTTTCGACGCACTCCAGTCCTACTTCGAAGTGAGCCTGATCTCACGCGCGGTCTCGAATGACACAATAGGAACCCTTTTATCTCGACCGATCTCTTTTTCCTTCGCGACACACATACACATAACACACAGACATCATGTCTGATACCCCCCGCCAACTGAACGCGGCTCAGCTGGCTGCCAGAAAGATCAAGGCGCCAACGAGGAGGACGAAGCCTAGTTCGAACCACGGTGGCGACGATGGAAACCAGGCTCCTCTCTTCGCGCCGATGCCGACGTCGAACTTTGGCGCCCAGAGTGCAGGCGGCCTGTTTGGGGGAGGCGCGGCGAGCGCGAATAACTCGTTCAACTTTGCCGCTCCCTTGCAGGCCAACTTTGGCGGCTCCGTGTCCTTCCCGCCATCGTCTACTCCGTCAGCCATGGGCAACGCGTCGGATAACGAAGAGGCTGCAAGACGCAACAAACCATTCCAGATGACTGGGTTTGGGTCGGGCGCTGCAAGCCCTGCACCACAGGCAGGTGGCGGAATGTTTGGACAAAGCGCGGCCGCACCATCGAATCCTTTCAGCTCTACTCCCCAACCCCAGGCCCCAAGCAGTGGCTTCTCCTTCGGAGGCTCATCGAACCAACCCACGAGTAATCCATTCTCCTTCGGCCAAAGCCCACACGCACTGCCGGCGACCGGCGGCTTTACCTTTGGTCAATCTACGGTGCAAGCCGCGCCTGTAAACAACCCTTTCCAGACTTCGCAGGCGCCATCAGGCACATCTGGGCTTAGCTTCGGAGGCACGGCGGCGATTACACAAGCTCCAGGCGGGTTCAGCTTCACGGCATCTCAGCCAGCTGCTCAAGCAGCAAACCCATTCCCGTCGTTTGGCAACGGCGCTCCCGCTGAGAAGCCAGCGACCCCATCATTCACCTTTGGACAGACCCAGCCACAAGGCGGGTCGCAAGCTGGGTCCTTACCTGGTTCCCAGACACCATCGCGTGCTGAGTCTCCCGCATTCAACTTTGGCGCACCGACTCCTGCGGCCAACAAGCCAGCTGGGGGCGCGTTCACATTCGGACAGTCTCAAGCACAAGCCGCAATGCCTGCGCAAACGCAAGCACCTAATCTTTTCGGGCAGCCGACGCCAGGCGCAGCTGCTCCATCTAATCCCTTTGGCCAGGAGACTCCAGCAGCCGCTGCTCCAGCTTCTAACATGTTTGGCAAGCCAGCAGGACAGGAGGCCGCGGCGCCATTGAACCCATTTGCGCCTACGGGCGGCAACCCGTTTGCGAATATCAAAATACCAGATGCTGCAACATCCCCTGCGCCATCGAGCAATTTTTTCGGGAGCCAAACTTCTAGATCTGTTAGCCCTGAGAAGGATATGTCTGGCACTGAGTCTGCAGCTGAGCCTACGCCAAGCTTGTTTGGTTCGACTATGAAGCAGCCTACTATTGCGAATGATCTCTTCAAAGTTCAAGCTGAACAGCGAGCTCCGAGCCCTGCAAAGAGCATATTCAGCAACTTTGGTGCTGCAACAACACCTGCGAAACCAGTGTTTGGAGGCCAAAAGACTTATGGCTCCAGCTTATTCGGATCTCATACTCCTAAAGCCCCTCCGGCCACGGATTTATTTGGAAAGCCAAAAGTTACGGAGGCGCCTAAGGCAGCTGCAACTCCTTTCGGTAAGCCTGCTGACGCTATCAAAATCTTTTTGCAGCCGGAACAAAGAAATGGTTCTATTGATACCATCGACAATGCTAATGAGAAACCATTAGCGAATGGTAATACTGCATTGTCCGAAATTAACAATGGCGCTAAATCACCTTCGCGAAACGCGTCAACTCTCACTTCCAAACTGGGCGATATAAATTCATCCACAAGACTTAACCCTCCCACTTCTTTCCAACCACAAACAAAATCACCTTCACGCATCAACCACTCTTTTGAATCCACCCCAACAACAATAACAACTTCAACTGAATTGGTTAAACTACCTGATACTTCCAGCATGGATATTTCCGAATTCCAGAAAGTCGTCCTCGAACGTGCTGAAGAGTACGATTTGAATGAGTTGTTTACCAGAGCCCACAAGACAGAAATCGCACGTATCGTCGCAAAGTACTTCCCACCCACTCTATCTCCCAGACAGCAACTGGAGGCGTACGCTGCTATTCAGATCAAGGCCCTGAAGAGACGTGCCGAGATCGACATGGAAAACGCAACTCAGCCTGCGAAGAAGATGAGAATCAAGGAGCAGCTCGCCGACTGGGAGCAAGATGTTAAGCAATGGAGCGTGGTTCAGGCCAAGAGAGTCGAGAAGCGCAAGGCCGATAGCTTGACTGATGATGCTGGCATGAATGGCGAGGGATCCAATAAGCGTCAGAAGCCAGCTGAGCCAAAGGTTCAAAAGGCTGTTGCCCCTATGTTTGGGTCGCCTGCGAAGTCAAACTCTGACAAGGTATGTGATCGATCTTGACCTTCACACCTTTACATCTCGATCTTGACCCTTCAATTCACCTGATCTTATCTTGTCGATCTTGGACTTGTTCCAATCACAACCTTACCTTTTCTTACCCCGATCTAACCTTGCCAATCTCCATTTACAACCCTCGCATTGTTTTTGCTGTTCATCCTGTTAATTCCGATCTAGGCTCCTCTTCCAAACGCCAACAAACCGAAGGTTCCATCGTCCCTGAAGAATGTCTTCACACCAAAGCCCGCCGAGGCTACACCACCAAAGCCCACTGAGGCTGCACCAAAACCCGCCGAAGCTGCACCAACTCCGACGCCCAAGGCCAAGCGCAAGGCTGATGTTCAGCTTACCAAAGATGATCCTACTGGCGATGAGTCTACACCCAAGAACGGCAAGGTTGGGTCTGCTACATCAAGCTTGTTCCGAAACATCGTTGGGAGCACCCCAACCTCTACTCCAGAGAAGCCAATATTCTCGCTCACCAAGACTACTGAAGACAAGCCTCGTCCAAACCCATTCGCGTCACTGAAGCTTCCACCAAAGGCTGCGTCTACCCCAAATGGCGCGTCACCGTTGAAGGCTCAACACGCGAGCGCAACTCCAACTCCAACTCCAACTCCCGCACCCAAGGCAGCTGGAGGATTTGTTTTCAAGCCCACCCAGCCATCGACTGGCGGATCCACGGATTTCATGTCTCAGTTCGCAAAGTCTGCCAAGAAGACTGCTGATGCTGCGATGGAGAAGGCCAAGGATGAGGATTGGGATGAGGACGACGAGACTGAGGCTGAGTGGGAGAAGAGATATCACAAGGAGCTTGCTGAGAAGAGGGAGGCGCTGAAGCAGAAGCCAGCGCTTGCTGTTCCGACCTTCGGGTCCGCAGCGTCTACTCCCTCTGCTCAGTCTCCGACAGCGAAGGGTCCGGCAGGTGGTAACGAAGGGTATGAATTCTAATTTCCTGATTCTATTTTATTAGACTTTCTTTATAGCAACTAAGTGGTTCCACTCCTGATGTCAGTTTTCCAAAGTTGGTTCTGGCTAAGGTGTAACCTGAGACTCGTGAGGCGCATGTTAAGCAACATCTGCCTAGTTTTACGGGGCCAGGCTTTATGGGCTCTTTTTGAGGCTTCAAAGCCTCAGAAAAGGAACCTGCCCCGGAGAAGCTGGCAGTGGTGGGAAGTTTCTACCAAGCCTGAGCCTGAGGCCTAACGTGCACACTGGTCCGGCCGGGCCTTTCCTCCTAGGGAGCCGCATGCCCTTCACTGGGTGTGTCGGGGAACCAGGACTTTTACTTTCCCCGCCTTCCCCAAGAACAATCAATGTTATAAATTGAGCCATGCTGACATCTTTTAGGCTGACGAGCAGCAGCCGATCTGGAACCTCGAGCCCGAACTCAGTCCTGAATGAGTACGTTCCGGGCTCGGGTCGGATCGGTTCGAAGCTGGGCAACCCGTTCGCCCACCTGTCGGACGCATCGAGCGGGAAGGGCAACGATGCCGACGACGACAGCGATGGGGCTCCGGCCCCCACGCCAAAGGCCGCCAGCAGCCTCTTTTCCCGCGTGTCCCGCGGCGCCCCGACTGCGGCCTCGGGTGGCTCCAGCATCTTCGGCTCCGTCGCCAGTTCTCCGGCGGCGGCTGAGCCGGTCGACAAGACCTGGAACCCCGAGAGCCCGATCAAGTTCGGGGCGTCCGCGGGCGCGAAGTCGAACCTGTTCGGCTCTGTTTCGGGGGCGGCTTCGCCTGCGCCTGCGTCGCTGTTTGGGTCTCCAGCAGCGGGTGAAGCGTCGCCTGCCCCCATGTTCGGCAAGCATGCCGTGACTGGTTCTCCCGCGGCTGCGCCCTCCCCGGCTCCCCTGTTCGGGAAATACGCCGTCACACCAGCTGCGCCAGCATTTGGCGCCTCGGCCTCATCGGAGGCAAAGGACAAGCCCACCATGGGCTTCAGCTTTGGGTCCGGCCCTGCTCTCTCGGCCGCGCAATCTGGCGCTACCACCCCCACTGCCCCCAAGTCCGCGCCGTTCAGCTTCCTCTCCAACGGCGGTGGTCTGGGCCCGACCCCCTCTCTCGGCGCATCTCGCGCGACTACTCCCAGCGTCACGACCGAGAACGAGAGCACGGCCGGTGAAGCAGCAGCAAGCCATGACGACAACGAGCCTGGTGCTGAGCTCCCGCAGAATGACCTTGCCAGCGGCGACGAGCCGGGCGAAGAGACACTCATCCTCACCAAAGTCAGGGCTCGCATGATGACCCCCGAGAAGAAATGGGGACCCAGCACCGTCGGGATGCTGAAGCTCCTGCGCAACGAGAAGACCTCGACCGTGCGCTACCTGATCCGTCTCCCGAACGGGTCGGTGGGGATGAACAAGGCGTTCCTGAACTCGAAGCCGCGGCTGATGGGGAAGAACGTCGCGGTCATCATGATGGCTGATGCGCCGAAGGAGGGGGAGTCGCCGATGACGACTGTGGGTCTTGCGACTGATTCGGAGGGGGCGGCGAAGAAGCTGTTTGAGGCCATTGAGAGGGTTGTTGGGGAGATGGAGAGTAAGGCATAAATGGACCGTGCTTGATGGCGGAAGAAAAGAAATCTTTGTCGCGTCGGTCTTTCTTTGCTGGACTGGGTAAGCCTGGTTTAAGTTGACTTGCCTTGTCTTTGTGTCTCGATGAGGAGAAGAATGAATTTGTAAGAATGGAGAGGATAGATGAGAGAGAGACCGCAGGGGTTTTTGTGGAGAAGCAGTTTGCTTTGACTTGACACCCCATCGCGTCCTCGTCACTCCACCTAGACCGTATCTACCCGCCTGTCTTCGAACAGGGTCTTGGGGAGTCTATGGTGATGAAGTGCCTCTGGCGGGGCGCGGTGGGGGGGGGTGATAGCGGAGTGGATTCTGCGAACTTATCTCTCGTGGGGGGTGTTGATTTGTTGGAATATGAAAGAGGCCGGTGTTTAATATGTTGAGTTGAAGGGATATCGCGAGATGGAGGCAGATGATACGGGGTACATCTGCAAATGCAACGGGGGACGATATAAAGGGTACATCCCGGGAATGAAGATAAACGGTACATTTGAACAGTGGAAAAGAATGGTTTTTTACAGTGGTTTTTCTGTGTCGAATTCAGAACGCACATAACTTGGGAGCGGGCGGGGCGTTTTTGCATAGATCTGGGCTTGGGTTTTTTGTTTTTGAGCTTTTGAGGCTGAGGATGGGTGTGGTGTGTATTATAGTATAGTGTCGTTCAGTTCAGTTCAGTTCAGTTCGAGAGGCAGTCGGGAAGGAGGGGATGGGATGGAATGCTTTAGTTTTTACCTCCGTATGGGGGTATATACGTAGAAGGATTCAGAGATCGTTTTGTGTGCATTGCCTGCTTGTGAAATATGTGATGTGATGTGTCAGCTTTACTTGGCTGCAGATGTAGTCTACGATGAGAGGAAGTCAATTGACATGAACATGGGCGACGAGAGAACAGCATCATGTGAACATATATATTAAAGCTACCATACCGCCATCCCATCATGCCCAATTTTCGTATACCCCATCCATGATAATTGATACCAGAACCCCATACGAAAACAAGACTCCAACCCCAAATCCCACAACGCCTCAACCGGCGGCCCGGGGGTATTCCCAATGAAAAGCCAGACTCCTCGTCAAACAACTCGCCTATACCCAGAAAGCCGCACGAATAAAACAATACGAAAGGCATTTTAATCATCCCTTATTATCTCCGCGATGATCAAGTACGAAGCGGCGATCAACCTCCATAGTAACCTGCTCATCCTCCTCGCCCTCAAACCTCAGCTTAACAAACTTCCCATTCATCGCCACGACCTCGGCCTTGTAGAACGTGGTCGTGTCCGGGTAGCGCGCCAGCACGGCCTTGCCCTGCGGATAATCCGGTAGCGACTGTCCCAACTCGGGGATGGGCACCATGCGCGCGGCCGAGGACTTGTGGATCGCGCCGGGGCGGTTCGTGACCTCGTCCGGCTCCGGGTCCTGCACGTCGTAGCGGCGGCTCTTGCCTTCGCCGATGATGCGCACGACGACGCCCTGGATCCACTCCGTCTCGACGTTGGGGTCCTGAGGTCTCGGGCGAAAGGCCACCTCGGCGCGCAGATTGAACGTCACCTTACCCTTGGCGTCGATCTCGTAGCTCGGGGTGGGCGCAGGGGCGTCCTTGCTGGTGGTGCTCTCCTTCGGGGGCTGGCTGCTGCGGCTAGTAGCGCCCAAGTCGCGGTTTTTCCGGCTCGGCTTGTCGACCACCATGGGGGAGGGCGCGGGGGACTCGGAAGCGACATCGAGGTCCATGGAGGATTTATCGCGAGAGGGTCCGCCGCGACGGCTGGGCTCGGCGGAGGCGCCTTCGTTGTGGGATTGCAGGCCGCGGAGGACTTTGAGGCGCTCGATGAGGGGTGTGTCGCCTGTTTTGCCGGCGGAGAGGATTTGTTCTGAGAGTTTGACTTGTTCGCGTTGGAGGGAGGAGAGAGCGTCGATTTCTAGGACGGAGGGGGGGTCTGGGGGGGGGGTGTGAGTGTGGTGTGCGGGGTTTGGCAGTTGGGGGGGGGGAGGGGGACTCACTGCCGAGGGTATCGCGCTCCTTCATTCCTTCTTCCATGAGTAGGATCTCTTTCTTGCACTCTTCCATGCGCGTGACGAGTGTGAGCATCGACTTGATGGTGTCTTGGCAGCCCTCCCAGATGGACAGTTCGGCATTACCATCATGGCCATTCCCGCCAACTCGTCCGCGCTCCACCCTCTTCCGCTGACTAGCCATGGCTGGCTTTTTCCCGTTGTTCGATTCTTCGCCCAAGCCGGGTGATCCTCCGGTGAGTGTGGCTTTGCGGCGACGCGAGGTCGGCGTCTCGCTCCAGTACTTTGATGGCCCGTCGAGGGCGAGTTCCTTTAAGGGCTGCATGTTAGCATGCGATGTCTCTTCTTCAACGACGTGGAGGAGCGGCAACGAAAAGGTTTGAAATCAACGCAGGGGATAACCAGGAAGCAGACCATATAGACAGGAACAGACATACCTGAGTATTTCTATTATCCAGGCAGGACGCGACTTCCCTTTTCCACCGTGATAAGAGAGGAAGTTGCGACCTTGTGCTGAGCAGAATCGGAAGGAGCGCCTGGTAGAGGTAGTGTATAAAGGAAGTTAAGAAGGGAAGACCACGCGAGGAAAGAGCGATGGCTGATGACGGTGGCGGTTCGGCCTTCAGCCTTACCGATCCCATAACGTTGCGATGTCGACTCATGGTCCGTGCGCTGTTTCACGCTATCTGTACGTCATGACGGTTCCTGGCGTGATTATACGTGGTAGATCGTTGCATTTATATTCTAACATCTGCGCTTCAGTTCACCAAGATATAGTTAAGGCTTAGGATTCCAGCTCTATTTAAGGCTGTTATTATATATACATTTGATTTGGGTATCTATGTTCCATCTCTAAATGGGGTGGAATGGAAGAGTAGACTATCTACATTCTCATCACTGGATTCTTCCTGATCTAATCCGAACAGTGCTCCTTGGACTGCCTTGGGAGTGTGGGAGAGAGTAGAAGGGCTTCTCTTCAACTGTCCCTGCTACCATATGCTGTTGAATCCGATCCTATGGCTCATGTGTGACGAGGTTATTCTCGTGGACGCTTCTGCCCACGTGTGCGGGACACATACGAGGCTAGCCAGCCATCATGGCAACGCGGTTGTTCATAATGGCATAGAACCTCAACAGCTGCGTATAACGGTATCTATGTGAGGTCTTGTCCAACTTCTTGGACATCCACTAGTTCCTCATACCAACTTCGGCTTCCTCTTGATGCCCAATAAAGCACCGTGATCTTTTTTCTTCTTCACAGTCCGCGTGAACGTCGGCACCGCCGTCTTTTCCGGGACAGCCGTATCCTCCTCAACTATTCTTCCAGCCGCTTCCTCAGCCCTAGCCTGGAACGCGCGCTTCGCCGCCTCCTCATCCGCAAGTTCCTGGGCAGCAACGCTCTCATCAACTTCAGGCTTCGCAGCCACACTACTCGCCTCGCCACCGCCTACGCGCTCAAATCGTGCATTCCGTGTCCTAATCTCATCGAGCGCATCAGCCACAGCCATCTCCGTCTTAGCATCCAGTGTCTTCGCCTCCAGCTCCTCCATTGTATCCTTCTCCGCCTCCTCCGCCTCGAGGCGAGCCAGGCGCTCCTCCTCTGTCTCCTCCTTCAGACTGCCCTGGCGCCATGGCTCGAAATTCCGCTTCGCGCCGCGCTCGCATGTGTAGTCGAGTGATTTGGGATCGGTCTTGAAAGTGATTTCGGCAGAGCACCGCGTGCATCTGATGTAGAACCGGAAGATAGTTATAGAAAGGTATTTCTCGTCTGTCGTCTCCTTGCGTGCGTTGAACTTGCGGCCTTTGTAGATATATTCGCCGCATGCAATGCACTTCATCGAGAAGGGAGCCATCAGGCGGACGGTTTGGACTTTGGGACCTGGTGCCTTTGGGCCTCTCGACCTTGTGATCTTGCTAGGATCGAAATCCGGGGGGTAGTATTTCTGGAGAACTTTGCGCTCAGACATCTTGAGAGTCTGCGCCGGGGCGTCGTTGCCTTTTCAAATTCGCCTCCACTTTATAGGAGGATACTTGGTACTGTAGGCACGTGCGATCCGTATGGAAGTTTGCGGACTCGATGGTATAAATAAAACCAAGAGAATATTAGGCTTTGCGACCAAGTACAACTGCCGTCTAGGTTGGTGAGGATGGGGAAGGAGCGATGGGTTGTCGGTTCTTGCGCCTGCCTGGATTGATGGCTTCAAGATAACGAGTATTACGTAAGCGTTGCTTTTTGCAAGGTTATGTAATCAGTCGGCCCCTCTGGACCTAAATCCACTCCTGTCAATAAAGTCCAGTTGAAGCTGTTTATGGTATATTCTGAGCAAAGTTGTTAAAATATTTATATCGAGTAGGCCGCGCGGAATTAACGACTTGAAGCTGGGTTATGCAAAGCTTGAATCATGGTTTGATGAATGGCATGCTACTGCCACTCGGATTTATCATTTGCACCAAGGGCAGTGACTAGACGTAGGTAGTATACTTTAATGCACGTTGAAATGATATATATAAGGTTCTAATTTCATCAAAGACGCTATTGCAGACATATAAGTTCTAAGTTCTCACATTTTCTGATAATATTCTATGCGTCTTGTGACGTCATATTGCAAGGCTGTACCCCGTCACAACACGTGACTAAGAATGTGGCCTGTTGGTATTATTTTGAGGAGATATGCACATTACGAAAAGCAAGTAGTCGGCAGTTGAATAGTAAAACTATTTGACTCAGGAGTTGAGTTGCTTAAAGTGGAGTTTAAAACCTTGTCCTCTCAAAGTGGCAGGAGGTTGCAAACGATGACGAACTGAAAACGGTCGTTGATCTTACCCCGCCAAACTGCCTGACATACATGGTTATACAGTGCAGGTAGTTTCACTTATGCACAATAAACACCCCACTCCTAAAAGGGTTCAATAAATTTTCTTCTTTATTTCAGAGGCCATACCAGCGACCAAGATGCCTATGCCAGACGATGAGTGGGAGGAGGTTGTCCAGACGGTGCCATCCGTGGATGAACCATTCATCCAGAAATACCTCAGCGGGAGAGACGCATTAATCGCCCAGGAGAAGAAGCAACGCAGCGGTAATGCCCCTTTACACGTCCCCTTTGAAGGCGCCAGCTTCTGACAAACGCGCCAGACTATGCATTCCGCCAATCCCTCTCTCCCATCGCCCGCGACGCCTGCGCAATCGTCTCCCGCATCCGTGACGAGGAGCGCGACACGATCTGGACACCGCAGCTCGATGCTGCCGTGGCATGCGAGAGCGAGACGGCCGCATACCCCGGTATGATGTTTGGCCTCGCGAAGGAGACAATGGAGAGGACGCGACTGTGGAAGGTAATCCGGCAGATGCCTAAGGGTGCGCTGCTGCACGCGCATATGGACGCTATGGTCGATTTCGACTTTCTGATTGACGAGTTAATGCGGACGCCGGGAATGTGTATTTTTTGCGAGACAGATTTGTCGACGCCGGAGAAGGCGGAGAATTGGATGCTGAGGTTCTGCTTTAAGAGTGCGCCGCCGAAGGAGACGGATATTTGGAAGGCGGATTATAAGAGTAATGATCCGGTGCTGGTGACGAAGGCGGCGGAGCTACATCCGGGTGGCAGTGAGGGATTTATAAAGTACCTGAAGAGCAGGTTCACGATATCGAGAGAGGAGAGCCTGCAACACCATCACGGTGTAGACCATGTGTGGCGGAGGTTCCAGTCGATTTTCGGCATGCTTGCTGGGCTTACGTCTTACGAGCCGATTTTCAGGGCATTCTTGCAGAGGATGATGCATCTACTAAATGCAGATGGAGTCAAGTGGGTTGACTTACGGCTTGCTTTCGCATTCCAGTTCCACAAGGAGGGGAAGGTGACTCCAGAAAAGGGGTACGTCGGAATGTTTAAAGTCCTCGGCGAGGAAGTAGAGAAATTCAAGGCATCAGAAGAAGGAAAGGGGTTTTGGGGCTTGAGGATGATCTGGACAGGTCTCAGAAGGTTGGATCTTAGATGGGTTATTGAGGATATGGATAACTGCATCGAGGTCAAGCTGGCATATCCACATCTCATCTGTGGCTATGATCTCGTCGGCCAAGAGGACATGGGAAGGCCGCTGAAGGAGATCTTGCCAGAGCTCTTCTGGTTCCGCAAGCAGTGTGCCGATGAAGGAGTCAACATCCCCTTCTTCTTCCACGCAGGAGAGACATTGGGTGACGGCAACGATACGGATCAAAACATCTTTGATGCTATTCTTCTTGGAACTCGCAGAATTGGGCACGGATTCTCACTCTACAAGCATCCGCTACTTATCGACATGGTGAAAGAGAAGAAGATTCTCATCGAAAGTTGCCCTATTAGCAACGAGGTATTACGACTTTGCACTTCGATTATATCTCACCCGCTCCCTGCACTACTTTCTCGTGGCGTGTCTTGCTCGCTCTGCAATGACGACCCTGCGATCCTTGGTCAAGATACTGCTGGTTCTACACACGACTTCTGGCAGGCTCTTCAGGGCTGGGATAACCTTGGTCTAGCGGGCCTGGGCTCGTTGGCAGAGAACAGCGTCAGATATGCAGCATTCGAGGATCAGACCAACGCCGAGTGGCTTGAGGGCATCAAGCAGGGCACTCTGGGCCAGGGTGTTAGAGGGGAGAGAATGCGGGAATGGGCGCTTGAGTGGGAGAAGTTCTGTCTTTGGATCGTGACGGAGTTTGGGGATGATGCGGCTGGTAAGGCTTAGTGGGTGGGTTTATTGGCGTTCTTGGGAGCGGACCTGGGGACAAGGGACATTCATCATAGATGGATCCCCATATTTCAACTCTTGGGGATGTAAAATCTGTTAACGTATTTCACATGCGAGTGACGCACACAAGCGAGTGACGCACCAAAAGACCAAAATCCGACTATTACTACTGCTACTACACCACCACCCTATATAATGACCCTTATTCAATTGCAATTGATTCCTGGCGCCTCTCGCACGTACGGGCATTATGGCCTGTAACACTACATAACCCATAGCGCCGCTGTTGCCCTTAGAGCCCACCTGCCGACTACTATTACTTGCCACCTCTGTTCGGACTTGAGCATCAACCTCGGCACTCTAAAGGATATCCTCTCCCTCTTGTATAGAGAGACTACCCCCTTACATTATACGCCTCTTACGCTTCCTTTCCCTCCTTTTCTGTTCATTTGCTGTTATCTGCGTTGTTAAAGGAGTAGAAGAATGCATCATCATTTCTACTCCTTTAACAACGCAGATAACAGCATCATTAATTAAGCTAGGAGAGCTGTTCTAATATCATACGATGTAGTTCTTAATGTGCTCTGTTTAAAAGTTAAGCTCCCTTATAGTTTAAGGAGTCTTTGAAGTCTAATTGTTACTCTTAACCATAGGAGGAGTTAGAGTCCTTAAGTGTAGATTTAAGTAAGAAAGGTGATTCTGTAGCTTGTGTAGAACTAATCCTGTTACTTAGAACCTACTCTTGAAGTTCTGCTCTATAAATGCAGCTTTAAATGCTTCTTTAAATGTAGAGAGAAACTTAAGTTTTATGATATGATTTAGCCTGTTCTATACAAAGGTTTTAATCTAACATCTATATAAAAGCTTTAATGGAGTAAAGCAGCTAACATCAAGTGGCTGAAGTATGTGTGACGAGTGTAGTGGAATATAGAGAGTGATTATCTTCTGTTCTATATAGTAGTGTTGAAATTAAGCTAAGAGGTAGCTCTTATGCCTATTAAGAATAATAAGGTAATAGGTTCTAATTATACGACTGTTTGTATGTTAATCAAAGTGTTAAATCCAGTCTTAACTAATTCAATTTAAACTCTACCTATTCTTACTTAGTGTAATTACCTAATCGCCTAGCAATCCTAATGTAAGGATGCCTGTGTAACGCTGACTTCTAAACGATAGAAGACACAGAGGTTTCTTGCGTAAGGTTGACTTGACAGAGGAGGCAGGGGATTAGACACAAAGGCTTTCCAAGTAACACGTTACAGTATTGTAAAGAATACAATATTGAGTTGAGCACGAAGCTCCTATCTAAGGAAATACTATCTACTTATATAGTGGCGTCGTGCCTCATGGGTAATCTGGATAGTTGGCGGATAGCTAGATATTCAGGATGTTTGTGGATAGCTAAATGTCATGACACTCCTTCGATATTTGTGTCACGACCCTTCGATTCGCTTTAGTCTCTAGTACTTATTTCACTATGTCATTCACTTCACCTGCTTTGCTCACTTCACTCACTTCGCTTTACTTGCTGACCTAGATCAGCCCAAATGTTGACTACTGGCTTAGGCTCTCTTGTTATTGGCTTGCTGCACTAGGGCTCACTTATTTGGCACTAGGGATTTTTACTGTTATATAAGCACTTATTGCTCATGTCTCTTATTGATCTTTAGCTAGCAAATTATATACTACTTGGCCTTCTTGCAATTCCTCCTGCTTCGACTTACTCTGCATTCCCTTACTTCGAGTAGAACCACTTGGCCAACCTGTTAGTCTCACCACTTGACCCCGTGGTATAAAGTATATGCTTTGGAGCCTGAATTACTATACCTTGTCCTACTGCTTCGAGTATCGAAGTCTTCACATTATACTTCGGATACTTCTGCAGACTTGAAGGTCAGCCTCAGTTCGAACTGTCCTTACACTCAACTATCCAATATCCACTAGTTTCTGCAACTATCCATTAGCCCTGTCATATGGCAGCCTACCCCGCTTGCCCCCTGTGACTCACACGTCACGTTACTAGGCCCTGGTCCTGTAACCATGACGTCACATTACCGTAGCCGTAACAGCATGTCCCTCAGTGACGGAAAGGATCTGAGTCGGACAGGTTACAGTCACATGATAAGAGTTAAGGCAGGTTAGCCGAGTCGGACCCGTTTCGGGTACTTAAGGAGATTGACCCAACAGGGTTCCTCTCTTCATCTTTTTCGTATCCTTCCTAGTAGACCTATAGGATAGCATCCGTTTAGCCTCTGAGTTGCACTCTCATATGCTATTACTGTGAGCTGAGTGCCCTGTGTCCTTACATTATACAAAAAAGATCACGCCTGCTGGGGACGGCCGTACTTCAATAATATCCCACACCGGACTGGAACGACTCAGGAGAACTACCATTACAACATCGACCGCGACTCAGTGACGTTTCAGAGAAGAGACCTGACGACTTCAAATAGCCATGTTTCCAGAGATCTCACGGACAGCCAGTGGATCAGGGTTTGATTCTTCAGAACAAGCTGGTAAAGTTGCCGACGCGTTGGCACCAAATAGGATACAAGATCCTTAAGAACCCCCTCCTAGCACAGAGGAAATTGTGGACAAGAGCATTGATAGCTACGAGCTACCGGAAGTCAAGCTCTTTCGTATCAATACCGATACACACCCGAGGCAATATGTTGAAAAAGCTGACATCAAACACACCCCAAGACAACGACGGTCAACTGACCAGAATGACTACCAGACAAACCACCGCTGCAGCTACGACCACTGTGCCATCCGAAGACATCCCGAGTCGAATGGCCCACCTCGAAGCACAGATACAGGAGGTCCAGGATCTACTAGTTACCCTGACGGCAGCCCAGACCAGAATCCCGTCCACACCGCCGGTGGACACCCCCATACCCACAGTCGAAGCTGCAGAGCAACGAAGACCTCGCACACGAAACACCCCTGAGACAGTTCAATTGCCGCCTCTTCAAGACTTTCGTTCTCCATCGATCCCAAGCACATCACGAATGCACACCGAGGACCCACCGGCTCGCTATAAGAAATCTACCATCTCAGAGAGAATCACTCCACTCAGCGATAGGATAGAACATACCTTCCTACAATGGAGCGCTTCGATTCGGGACCTACTCGTAGTCAATGAGGACCACTGCCTTAGCGACGTCTCGCAAGGACGTCCACACATACCACGGATACAGCAAAGGCGTCGGCGTCGAAGCCGACTCGATCCACACCTGCTCTGTTCACCCGAACCACGTTCCTCCCCAAGCCAACGATGCTGGAGCGCGTGAAGACCGCAGTCCCAGCATCCTCAGGAAACTGTTTCAAGTGTGGCAAGCCTGGCCATTTCCAGGACAAATGCCCCCTTAATGCTAATATCAAGGAAATCGACCGTAACGACCCTGAGGCAGAAGAACAATGGGAAGAAGCCGTGGAACTTCAATCGGATACGTCCCTCGAGGAAAACGACGAGGCCTAGGAGAAGGCTCCTTCCTAGGTCTACACAAATGTGACCTGCGAGGACTAGACTTACGAGAACTCCTGGGAGGCACCCAGTTCTTAGTCGACATGACCCTGAGTATGAATGGACTCGGGGTGCAAACGAAGTCCCTAGCAGACACAGGAGCAAACGGCTACCTCGTCATTAACAAGCCTTTCGCAATACGACTGTCGAAAGCACTTCAGAGCCCCATATGGAAACTACCCTACTCTGTACCCATACGTGGATTTCAGCGCAAAATCCAAGGCCACGTATCGGAGTATATTCGGTTACACTTAACAGTCGAAGGACGCCGAATATATAACTGCCCCTTTGTACTCCTGGACCTCGGAGCACAAGATGTGATAATTGGGAAGAAGCTTTTCAGCCGCTTCCGAATACTACTCGACTCTACAAAGAGCCAGTTAGTATGGCCAAAGGAGTACCCGCCGACTCCTAGCTGGAGCAAGGAGATCACCTTGCCCTACCACTCACGCGAAACGTCCATTAAACATCCTGCATACCAGTCGGATGCGAATCGCCGGGATTTCGCAATCCACTGCGAAGACAGACGCCGCGCAGGCGGACGTTCAATGGAAATGAAAGTGATAACTTCCGACTACGAAGAGATCACCGATACGCCATCGAACCCACCACAGAAAACCCTAGTACATAGGTTTATGCCCATGCATATATGCGAAATCAGTGCAAATGCTTTCCACCACGAGATGATGCGAAACGACTCCGAGTTTTTTCAGACTAGCATCTACGAAATCGATCAGATCATTCATGAAAAGGAGTTGGTAGAGGACGAAGAAAAGCTCCGCCTCATCCAGCAGAAGCTTCCGCATATGCACCGGAGGTACACCGATGTCTTTTCGAAGTTGGAATCAGATCGAATTCCCCCCCACCACATATATGACCACAAGATACAGCTCGAAGCCCCTTTACCAAACGCTTTCTCCCCGTTATATCGACAGGGCACCGAAGAGCTTAAGGCTACCAAGCAATACCTGCTGGAAAACCTGGAAAAGGGATTCATCGTCAACAGCAACAGCCCCTTCGCGTCCCCTATCCTATTTGTAAGAAAGCGGATGGCAAATTAAGATTTTGCATCGATTACCGGAAGTTAAATGGTCTCACCCGGAACGATCCCTACCCCATCCCGCGTATCGACGAACTACTAGGACGGGTGTCAAAAGCAAAAATCTTCACAAAGCTAGATATCAGACAAGCCTTCCATCGTATATGGATGCACCCCGACTCGGAAGAGTACACGACCTTTTGGACTCGCTATGGATCCTATAAGTGCAAAGTGCTGCCATTTGGACTGACGAACGGTCCCGCAACCTATCAGCAGTATATGAATGACGTCCTGATGCAATACTTAGACGACTTCTGTACCGCATACTTAGACGACATCCTAATCTATTCAGAGGACCCTACGGAACACATAGAGCATGTGCATAAGGTCCTACAGCATCTCTGAGAAGCTGGACTCCAAGCCGATTTGAACAAATGCAAGTTCAACGTCACCAGGACAAAATACTTGGGTTATGTTCTAACTACCTCCAGTGTCGAAGCGGACCCTGACAAAATCGAACCCCTTCGTAACTGGATCCGACCGACCACTGTTACGGGTGTTAAGTCCTACCTGGGATTCTGTGGCTTCTATAGACAATTCATTCGTAATTTTGGCAAAATAGCAAAGCCCCTCACCACCATCACTAGTCCCTCGGAGCCGTTCCGGTGGACAGACGAATGTGAGGATGCATTCGAGGAATTGCGACGACAACTTTTAGCGGTACAGGCACTTCACCACTTCAACCCCGAATTGCCTACGAAGCTGGAGACCGACTCCTCTGATGGAGTGGTAGCTGGTGTCCTGTCTCAAGAACACCCTGACAAGCGATGGTACCCCGTAAGCTTTTACAGTCATGTCCTATCCGGACATGAGATCAATTGGGAGATCCACGACAAGGAACTATTCGCAATAGTAAAGGCCTTCGGAAAATGGAGGCCCGAGTTGGCTTCGGTGCGCCACCGAGTCGAGGTGTACACTGACCACCGTTCGCTGGAATATTTCATGTCTACCAAGGTTCTCACTGTGAAGCAGGTTCGATGGATGGAGCTACTCTCCGACTTCAACTTCTGCATTACGTACACTGCGGGCAAAAATAACCAGAAGGCTGATATTCTGAGCCGAAGAGACCAGGACTTGGTAACGCAGCAGAAAGTCAAACTTGATAGTAGGGTGAGGGTATTGTTAGGTCCAAGCCGCCTACACCCCCGAATCAGCACTGAACTCGCCGAGAGCTACATAGTATCCATTAATTCGATGGACACCCCCAAGCCCCAGGTGCCCTTCAATTTAATAGAGGCGCTATGTGTGGACAATCGGAAGTTGTTCACCGAGACTCGCGCGAAACAACCCCTACCGGACGGATTCGCGATGAACGACCAGCTCCTCCTGTACAAAGGCCGCCTATGTGTGAATCGCCACACCGACCTATGTACGAAACTGATCCGGGAAGCACACGATCAAGTGTCGTCAGCACATCCAAGTGGCAGGAAAACCTACCAATTGCTCGCCCCAAAGTATCATTGGGTCGGGATGGAAGCGGACTGTTTGCGGTATGTATGAACTTGCATAACATGCTGGCTTATGCACACCAATGTCACCAAGCAGCAAGGCTTCCTACACCCGCTGCCCATACCCGAATATCCTATGCAACACCTCACCATGGACTTCAAGGAGTTCCAAAGGGACAAGCATGGATACGACAGCATCTTAGTGTTTATGGACCGACTTGGAAAGAGTTCGGTGACAATACCTTGCTACAAAACCACAACTGCCCACCAGATGGCGCAATTGTTCATCGAATGGATATACCGATTCGGACACACTCCGGACTCGATTGTAAGCAACCGCGGACCCCAATTCTTATCATCCTTTTGGCAAGAGTTCTGTCGAATTATTGGCGTTAAGGTTAAGCTGTCGACTGCCTATCATAAGCAGACCGATGGGCAGACGGAAATCATGAACCGATACATCGATCAGAGACTGAGGCCCTTCGTATCCCATTATCAGGATAACTGGAGCGAACTCATCCCCATAATGGACCGCGTGCAAATGACACTCTCCCACGCATCCATTGGCATGACCCCCTACTAACTCAAGTATGGAACTGATCCGCGTACGAGTTGGGATTGGAACACTCTGAAAAGCACCAACCCCCGGGAGACCCTAAACCGAGAGGAAGCCAAGGCGGTGGCAGACCGAATGCATACCGCATGGGTCCACGCAAAGGAAAACATGGCAAAGGCACAAGAGGAAATGTCTAAGCACGCGAATCGACGCCGAAGGACCATCGACTGGGACGTAGGAAATAGAGTGTACCTATCGACCAAAAATTTGAAAAACTCTCGTGCTAGCCGCAAGCTGGGCCAACAATGGGTTGGACCATATACGGTGTCAGAACGGATTGGGCACGCATTTCGATTGGAACTACCTACCGGTTCGCAAATACACGATGTGTTCTCACCAGATGTACTCATGAAGGATCCGAACAATCCCCTACCTGGTCAGGATCCGCCTGAGGCTAGCAGGGAAGTGATAGACAGCATAGAGGAATGGGAAGTGGAAAAGATCCTCGCCGTAAGGCTCCACCGGAAGCAACTACAATACAGGGTTAGTTGGGTCGGATACGATCTGGACCCGGAGTGGTACCCAGCGTCAAACTTCATGAACTCTCCCCAGAAACTCAGAGAGTTTCATACGGAATACCCAGATTTACCAGGTCCACCTCAAGAACTACTCGGAGGGGTTACGGCAGGGGAGACGGAAAAGAAACAAAACTACGATCACGGAGGGAAAGACAAAGCGGAAACAGAGTCGTTGCTGTCTGCGACTCTAAACTAAAATACCCTCCGAGCCAGGGTGCACTCACCACCGTAACCCTTGTGGGAGCCACCCTTCCCAAACGTCTCACCGGCGTCGCAACAAGCGGCTACCACCATGAGAGACGAGGGGTCAAAGTGACCCCACGCGAAGGGCCAGGCCTGAGTCCCCAATGACACAAGGTCTTCCCCCACCTAGGCCCCATAGGCCGCCCCAACTTCCCCATCCTCCCCCTCCCTCCTTCCATCACCCCGAGTCGGAGCGACCGCGGGAGCGGCAGCAGTGGGCAGTTTGCCCACAGCAGCCACCAACTCCCCCAAGAGAGCAGAAACGCTCTCCTGTTCCGTCCGGAGACGGCGCAGCGACGACCGAATTTGCTGCCCAGAGTCAGCATCGGAACCACACCGAGTCACAAGGGGAAGGGGGTCTACTCACGGCCAGCCCCAACTCGAGGGCAGCCCGAGTGGCGCGTGCCTCCTCATAGAGGTCACGCTCCGCCTCGGAGCGGAACTTTGGCATGCTCTGGGCGGCAGGAGGGCCACCCGATTGGCCTCGGTGGCGGCGGCGATGACGTCGGCGGGGATGAGGGGGGTGGCCTCTTCAGCGGCCAGGAGGGCCGCAAACTCTTCCCCAAGGAACCAGGGCAGCTTTCACCAAAGTCAGCAACGGCCAACCAAACCAAACTCCGAACCCCACAAGAAAACCTTCCGGGACGCAAGGCGAGTGCTGCGACGTGCAGTACCCACACTTTGAACTGGTCAGGGACCAGACGCAGTCGTGGGACTGGATGCCACGGGCTTTGGCCCGAAGGCAGCGCAAACAGAGCACACAGAAGGCAACAGTAAGAGCCCCGGAGGGGGTGGGAACTGGCATCTTCAAATTTGGAATCTGTGATTCCGTCAGCCCAGCACAAGTTATCAACACTGCGCCAACGCGCTCCCATCACCTACTCGTTCTTTGGATTGGAGGATACTATACAATCTATCAGTATCATAAACAAACGGACGGGGAGGGGCCACTTACCGGTCTCGGGCGGGAGGGTTGCTGGCGTTGTTGTTATAAGGTAAAAACAAGAGGAAGTGGGCGAAGCGGAATACTC